TATATATATATTTGAAGGGGCTTTTCAACCACACGTATTCTTGAAACAAATTTCAAAACTTGAAGCCAGCATATTTCATAATTGTTTTTAAAAATTATTAAAAAAAGTCTACAAATATTTTTAGCATGAAAATCCCTTTTAATTGAATGTAAATTTTAAATTTAAGTGTTAAGCACTAATAGCTCTAAGCTTGCTATTAGCATTGATAGCATTTTAAATAATTTAATAATTTAACTTTAAGGGGCTGTTTGGTATCAACCAAGATTTCATTTAAGCAGGATTTTGTAAATTCACTGGATTTACGAAATCTTGGGTGGGGTTAAATCCTGAAAACTGTTTGGTAATATTCATGATAAATCCTGCTAAATCCTATGTGATTGTTTGGCCATAGAGCGTTAAATCTTGAAACGAGCAAACTCTTCTTCCCTCTAGCACCAATAGAGCGTTAAATTCGCTGAATCAGGGTATTCTGAAAATTCGGGATTTATCACGAAAAGGGTAATTTTCCGTCTACCATGGCTTTCATTTACCATGAGATTTGGTTTTGCATTTTAGACGGTTTGGTTGGATTTTGCTCAAATCCGTCCTAAATCCTGCTACCAAACAACCCGTAAGTGTTTGCATAACATATCAGGTCATATTATGCAAAATATTATTCATTTTAGCAAAGCATGTCCTATATAAGGTTGAATTTTATGACTTTATTTATTTATTTATTTTAAGAGGTTACTCAGCCTAGGAGTACTGTGCTATGAGCAAACTTAATAATATAATTCTAAAGAGAATTTTACTTATAAGTTAAAAATGAACTCTGTTTATTATAGCATGCCTTTTTATTTAAGTAGATCAATATGTTTGCTTTCAATGTGGATTTTAGTTCATTCATGTACCACTTTTTCTTCGAAAGCATATGAACATAGAATCTTGAATGCCGTAAGTAGGGCCTCAACCTTGATGAGCATCTTTAGTATTACAACATTAGGCGATATAATAAATTGGTCGATATACTTGCCTCTACTTTTGGTGAAAGTATTACGTGCGGTCACCGGGTGCCTTCCGGAGGCCAATCAGAATGTGCAACGTCACCAATACGCTGTGTATCAGGTGATGTAATGCGTCCTGATTGGCCTCCGGACGGTCCGATGACTACATATAATAATCTCTCCTACATTGGACATGGCGTTTGATTTATTGATGTACATGTAATAATCTTTTGGTGCTTGTATCATTACTCTTCATTATTTTCCTTTGCTTTAACCCTCTAATTCTTCTTTCATTTCTCTCTTTTTTGCTTATAGGTCAACATCTCCTACGTTATTAAATTTGAAATGAGATTATTCATAAAACTAAATATTAACAAAAAAAAAAAGGAAAAAAAATCTAAATCAGCAAAATAGATCAAGTCGTGTGTGGATGGTGACTTGTCTTCCATATGGACATGTTGTCGTTCCATGAGAACTTGATATTGTTTGTTCTATTTTATAAATGCAGGAAACATTATATTTAGATATTACTTTTTGTCTTCATGCTTGCTGCTTGTCAATGGTCTCCAAATGACAAGTGGGGGCTACAAAATATAATATAACACCTACTATATCTCTTATTAGTATTATAAAGTATCATAGAAATAGACATAACATTTTCAGTCTTAACATATGATACTTTTCATTCTATGAATATTTGTATAAAACATTCACTAACATTTACATTTTCTACATAAACAAAAACATCTAATAACTTCAATTACATCAAACAAATACTTGCAGAGCCACTAATAAAATTCAAAATATTACACCGTCAAACTGTCTACATACCTCAGTTGTAGACTCACAAACAAAGTTAAACATTAACATATAAAATGAAATAATTTGAAACTTATTATGCTTCGACATTTTCCTGTAACAACAACTAGTATGAAAAGAACTAATGAGCTATGAGGCTTAATAAGTTATGCAATTTACATAAAAATTAAACATCATATTATAAAAAATAATATGATTGAATTAACTTAGAAATATTTGCAAAATAATATAAACCATATTTTAAAAATCATCCTTTCATTTATTTGAAGTATATACAGAATATTAATATTAGTCTTTTAAGATTTAGCTAAACTTTTATAACAATGTTTAATAGAGTCCATATAAATCTAACATTATAGTTATTGAACAACATAGATGTCCATTTTGTCTCTTTAAAGATCTTTTTTATCAAACTAATTATGCAAGTGTCATATCTTTGGGATCTATTTTTTCTCACTTACAATGCATTGTCATATATGGGGTCCCTTTTGCCCCACCTGAAATTATAAGTTGCATCATTTTATAGCCAAACATTACTAAATTGATATTAACTAAGCTTCACATATTCATAGTTCATACTTGCATTATAGTGTTGCAGATTTTCATAACAACACTACAATTATATCATTTACATAAATAATATGGTTATGCAGTATGTACAGAATAATTTTCTTTTCAAAATGTACGTTTTCAACTGAAAGAATCTTTAAACATTCATATTACACTTTATTGTAAATTTGATTAATTTAAATTTGCAATTGGCTGCTCATGCATGAATATTTGTCTGTGAACATGCATTACTAACATCATTCTCTCTTTATAAATCATTCCTTAAATTCTCATTTTATAACTCTTTCCTTAAATTCTCATTAAATGTTTGTGCGTGCTACAAAAAATAACAATATATAATTTTAAATTAAATTTGCATTACTTACATTCTTGAAGATTTGTCTCCTCAATTTCTCCACATAGTACTCTTTTCCTTTTTTAACTTGCCTGCACAAATCACTTCTATATCTCTATAGTTTCTATATATAATTTATCATTCAAATAATTTGGCATAAAATCAATTTATACCAACATAATCATTTACCTTAAAATCTCTCTTCTTCTTATACTCGATGAATCCTAATTTAAATTAACTTTAAGTTAATACTTAAGCATATTTTACAATAATTTCTTAATTACTAATTTAATATTAATAATGAACAATAATTAATAATAATTAAACTTTAGTTTTTCAGATAAATTTCAGGTTAATTTAATTAATCCAAATATATTTACCTAAAACTTTTGGGTATTACGTTTAACCTCTCCTATTATTTTTTAAATGAGAAAATGATCAAAATGGTCGTTTGACTCTTTATGAAGGATCAAAATAGCTTATAACTATATTAAAGAACCATTTTGATCACTCATGTCTTTAAAAACGAATCAAAATAGTCCCAAGTTAGGATCTTTTTTGTTTCCTTTTTAAAGAGTTGAGATACTAGAATGGTTATTTAATATAGTTAGAAACTATTTTGATCTTCGTAAAAAGTCAAGCAATTATTTTTCTCATTTTCTCATTTTCAAACCTCTCAAATGAAGCCTGCTTCTTACTTTACCTCAGAAGTAATCGTTTCTTTGAACACTGCAACTTCATCCACTACTAATTGCTCAGCTGATAAAATAATATTCTTCTTGATAAGTCTCTTCTTCTATTGATTCACCATCATTAACTTACCTATAATTATGATTAGCTAGCTATTACAGCGTTGTATAAAGTTGATTGTGAAATTATTGCGAAGAAAATAACTTTATTATTATAATAGCAGAAGCAGCTTCATGAATAGAAAGCTTTCAACATTGCCAGCAATTCCTTTATATTCAAAACTTAAAAAAATAGAGGTCTCTTTATGCCATGATTTAAAAAAAAAAAATTAAGCTTTACACATGAATGAGTCATTAATTTAGAGAAATAAGCTTTCATCCCAACCATGGCAAATGATGAAAGGAAACTGTTAAATTTAGAGAATTGGAGACGGAAATGCTTAATTTTATTATACAAAATTATTTATATTTATAGATCTATACTTGGTAACATAATAAAAAAAAAAAATATTTATATAATCATGCATAATTGCCCTAATATAATCCTTCCTAAATCAGATTTAGGAAGGAGATCGACGTGATCGAGGTGAGCCTCCCACGGATTCCTATCCTGGTCGTGGGATCAAGTGTCAAGGGACAGTTGGAATTTAACAGAGATCGGTGTGAAACATATGAGCCTCCCACGAATTTCCATCCTGGTCTTCGGATAAGTGTCAATGGACGGTGAGATACTAAAAAGTTACTTTAAAAAATAGTAATAAAGTTGTTTTAAATAAAGCTAACATGTATAATGTATATCATATATGGCAAAATAATTGGTATGCAAAAATTCCTGGATCCAATATTTTACATTGAACCCCTTAATAAATATTGATAAATTAGCTATTTTTTGGAACATGTACATAGCTTTGAAAAATTATTAAATTTATTTAGCATGCATCTTATCAAAAATAAAAAAATAAAAAATCGAACGAAAAATAATGTGAAGTATTATTTTAATTTTAAAAATATTCATTGATAAGTTTTATTGAGAAAATAGTATTTGTTAAATGAATATTTGGTAGAGATAATCTTTTAAAAATAAGTTCAATATAAAATAATTATATGCTTATGCTTAGATTTTTGTCAAAGAATATATTTTCACTAAAATGTATGATATCCCCTTAAAACTTGGATTTGAGTTTACATATCTAATATTAAATTTATTAAGTTATGATTCAACAAATAATTCTTTATTTGATCTTTCATTATCATTCAGTTGATAATAAAATATGCATTTCTTCCATTGGATTTACTCCTAACTAAGGAATTTTTAGAGATTATATTTTTATTTAGTTATTTTTACATTATGTATATCATGTTTTAATAATAAAAAAATTCAAATTGTCCCTCAATTATTCGTATGTGATCAATTTAATTTCAGATTATTATATTTCTCCAATTGATTCTGTCAAATATATATTATTAGCCCGAAATGGTGCCTTAGAGATTAAATATTTTATTTGGGACAGCTGTTTTTCTGTATAAAATTTTTAGTTCAAAAAATTTTTATACTAAAAAATAGTAAGAAAGTTATCTAAAATAAAGTCTAAATATGATCAATTTTGTATTAGATTATTTATAAATTTCTATATGAGAAACTATTTTAGTTATATTTTATACAACAAAGGGACTAAATAAAAAAAAATGTAATGGTTTGATATTAAATTTGTCATATATGAATAGTCTAAAAATTATTTTGAATTTTTTCTCTAATTTTAACTATTATTGACTTATGTGATTTGACACAAAAAATACTAAAGCATATCTTTTGTTGCTAAACACATAGAATTTTAATATTTATGTGATGCAAGTATTTGAGGAATATTATTATAATATTAAATGTCATTAATATATTAATAATTGTATTTTCAAATTAATAAAAATATGCATAATATTAATTAAACTTTAACTTTAATTTTGAAAGTAAGGAAATATAAATAAAATAGCACTTTTTAAAAAAAGTCAAAATATAGATAAAATTTTGTCATTTTTTCTAAAAAATTTTAAAATTTTACATTTACATTTACATTTAAACTAATAAATTCAAAATTTAAAATCAATTAATTTATGAAAGAACAAACTTTATTAAATTTTAATTCGGCACGCTTCTCCATAAATGGCGTTGTACGAGCATAAGTTAATGGGAGAGAGAAAGAGGAGCCTTTGAAAATAAGCTATCGAGAGGCGTCGGGGAGTCTTCTGCGTCTTCCTTTCTCCTTTGCGGTCGACTTCGCGATCGCTAGCGAGAGGAGGACGAGCAGCAGGAGGAGGCTAATAGAGGAAATGGGGTTGCTTTCGAACATGATCTCTAGGGAGGAGCTGAAGCCCGGCGATCATATCTATTCCTGGAGAAGTGCCTACATCTATGCTCATCACGGTTCGAGCCCTCACCTTTATCTTGAGCGCCTCCTCCTTTTTAATTAAAGACCTATTCCCATTTTTGTTTTGTCTTTTTCCCGCCCTCAATTTTCAGTAATCTGCCCCTGACGAATCGGATTGGAGTGTGCGTAATTTTTTTTTTATTATTATCTAGGTTTGTTGAGAAAGGTATTACCAAGTCTCATTTTGAGGTTTACTTCGTCAAGGTTTTCGATGTATGCATTGAGAAAGATGGTTGCTTTCTTATATTTTGTGCAATTGTGGACGCATTTAACTGATTACTCTGAATTTTTGAGGATTTGGTTGCAATGTTAGAAAGTATGGACGGCTGGTATATTTTGGCGTGTGAAATTGCTACAGAGGAAAAGCATGTATGGATTTGTTGTTTTATTTGGAAGATTCTTCTTTGGTGATGATTTGTCAACATTTAGGGCATCTCCAACCGAAAATCCCATTTTTCATTCCAAAAGGTAGTGAATCTAAAAAATGTCATGATTCATCTCCAATCGAACTTCATTTTGCGCCCTTTTGTGAAGGTAACCGTCACTCCTCTTTCGCACGTTTCTTCGGCAAATACGATAGAGACAGGAAAATATCGTAGGTGAACAATGTGGCACTAATATTGACGTCGCACTATTCACCCGCAACCAAATAGCGGAAGTTTTGTTGTTCGGCTGGAGCTCGCGAGCGACGCCATTCATGCATTTGGAGTTTGGTTGGAGAAGGCCTTAAATAGTAGGGTTAGTTTTGGTGCTTTTATTGGAAGGTAGATCTTAAATTATAAATTGCGAACATTCAAGTGACCAAAGGTACTGTTTTCTTGGGGTTCATTTTCAGATTTCATCCTCGAGCGAAACTACTGGAATTCTTTCTATAAGCAAGGTCATTTTAGCAAGCATCTACTCTATTCTTGGCAATCCCTGATATTCACTTAAATTTTTCAGGGTATGGAATTCTAACATTAGAAACAAATGCACTTTATACAAACCATAATCTGAAATTAACACGACATCATAATATAATCATATTATGATATCAAATTGACTTAATCATGATGATGAAATTTTTGTGGAACCGGTAGGATTTATATGTTGCTTTGGCTTTTAAAAAGGGGCATGCAGTGATCTAGGGTCTCCTATGATATCAAATGCAAGAATTTTCATGATAAAGCAAAAATATTAGCTCTTTATTAGGAATTAGAAAATTGTTGGTTTTTTCCATGATTTCTCCTTCTTGGCTTGTTCTTTACCTTTGGTATTTTTGGATTTTTAGCCTTTAACAGTGAATGGTTTCAATCTTAGACACCAAACAAAGAACAAAAAACAATAACAATTGCATTGTCTTGGTTCCTCCTTAGATGATCTCATTCGGCGGTTTTAGCGGCAGAATTGTTGAAATGCCAATCGTGTTAATCCTAGTGAAAATGAAACGAAGAGAGATTGAGGAGTTTAGCACTCTGCCGTGACTAAGGCTAGGTCTGACAAGTACTAAAGGAGAGAGAAAGTGGAATAAGAATAGGAAGAAATAATAATGCCAATTGAATGGAAATGTGTTCTACTTAGTTTCCATTTGATTTCCATTGATCCAAAAACTTACTCATAAGCTATATTTATAGTTGTTACGTGTCATAACATTCGCGATAGTAGAGAAATATAAAGTTTAACATCTTAACTTTGTACGAAGATTTAACACACGCACAGATAAAAGAGGGGTGTAAGTCATAAAAGCACTAAGATTTTTATGTGAAAAATCTTGAAAATGGGAAAAAATCACGGGACATAGCCTTGTTGAAATAGTTTCACTAATGTTTGTTATTGATTACAAAGGATACCCATCTGTGGGGGAAGGCCTTAACATAATATAATCAATATACATTGTGTAGAGTATGTTACATGGTTGGAGTTGAAAAAAATCCACTGGAATAAAAGCTATTGTTAAGAGAAGGTAGGCTTGTTTGTTTGGTTGATGGGGCCATAGTTGGGGGCGACGTTGGTCGGAGGGATCGTAGTCGGGCGATTGAGGTTGGAGGGACTGTAGTCGGGCGACAAAGGTCAGTGTGACCGTTGTCGAGTGACGGTGGTTTGAGGACCGTAATCAGAAGGACTATAGGCAGGCTACAATGGTCGGAGGGACTATAGTCAGTCAACGGTGGTCTGAGGATTGCAGTCCATAGACGACAAAGGCCAAAGGAACCATAGTCGGGCGACCGAGGTCGAAAGGATTGTATGTAGGTGATGGTGTTCTGAGGACCGTAGTTGGCGACAGTGGTCCAAGGATTGTAGTCGGTAGGCAACAGGGGTCGAAGGAACGTAGTCGAGCGATGGTGGTCGGAAGAACCATTGGCGCATTATGAAGATTTGAGTACCGTAGTTGGTCGGCTAACAAGGTCGAAAGGACTGTAGTCAGGAGACGGTGATCTGAGGATCGTAGTTGGCGAGCGATGGAGGTTGGAAGGATCGTAGTTGGATGATGTTGGTATTAGGAACATAATTGGGTGAGGTGGTCCAAGGACCGAAGTTGGTGGGCGACGAAGGTTGGAATGATCATAGTTGGGCAACTGAGGTCAAATGATCGTAGTCGGATGACGGTGGTTTACTAGATTATAGTTGGTGGGCAACGGAGGCCGGAAGAATTGTAATCGAGCTACACAGATCCAAGGATTGTAGTCGGCAGGCGGTGGATGTTGGAAGGATTGTAGTTGGACAACTTTGGTTTGAGGACCTTAGTTGAGCGACTGTGATACAAGGAAAGTGGTCGATTGAAGGTCCGATGGCAGCCGGGAGACTTGAGGTCTGATGTTGGCAGCTAGGTGGATGTCCGACAATGATCGGTCGGTGAAAGTCTGACGACGATGGCCAAGCAACGAGGGTTCACCGGTGGTGCTGCCTAGGTGGAGCTCTGAGATTCTTAAAGCTTTGACCTCTAGCTCAAGGTCTCGACCTCCTTCAAAAGGCACCCCTCATGTAGAGAGTGAGCGTATATTTATAGATTTTGTGAGTAACATGCCTCATAAATATGAAAAAGATATGGAGAAATTCGGAGTGCTCCATCGGATGATTCATATTGATTCTCTCAATCATTGAGTGATTGTTCAGCATTTAAGTACCTTAATGATGTAAAATTTATTCATTCTTGGGCTCGTTGGATTGATCTTGTCAAACTGCTCAATTCGACTATAAGCATATCATATTTGAAGATCATTTGGTCATTCAATTAATACTTTGAAGCTTCCAAATATGCTTTTTGTCCCTTCTCGAGACGTTCAATTTGACTATAAGTTTGCTGAAATCAGAGTTTGGATGGTACCAAATTTAATTGTGAAAGTTTCCGATTGAGATATGCGTCGAGATTCGTGTCCGATCAAGTCGACTTTTGGTGATGTATCAATAATCATCCATTATCCTAAGAAAGAAATAATAATTTTATATAGAAATTCAAATATAGCTAAAATAATAAATGTAAGATAATTTATATCCATTCTAGATGTGCTTTTTGATAAGGCAATTCCTTATCTAAATGTTAATCACATTGATTTGATAATTAAAGGGAAATATCTTAGAGAATATCCTCTAGAATCATCTTTCATTGATCTAAGTGGCTAGAAATCAGGGAGATTTTGTGAAGTTTTTTTTTTTTTTGAGTTGGCTTAATTCTCTTAAAAGCCATTCCTTGATCAGCCACCCCCTCCTTTTAGGAGATGTAATTTGAATTTAATATTTAACTTTCTTCACGCTTGAATTGATTTATAGAGTTTATTTTAAGTTATCCATAACCTTCTTAAATGGTGGCCTCAGGTCTTACTTGTATGTTATGATGCACAGACACGAACACGACTACACATACACGACATGACTTGTACACTGGATAGATCAATTATTGAAAATATAGGGCATGATATTATAGTTTTATATCTTGAAAAATAATGTATAAAAATTGAATAATCGGAATATTATGAATAATTGAGAAATAATAAGTCATTTAACTAGTATTTAAGCTTAAAATGATTAATATTAAGATGTTGAGAGTTGGGCGTCGATGTCGTGTGTTAGGCATCGAGAGAGGAGATGATAATTCTATTGAGAGTCAGGCATCGATGTTGTGCAATGGGCATGGGGTGTTTAAGTCTAAACAACATTAGCCATCATTGTTAAAATGATGTTGGACAAAGATGAGATATCAAGATGGCATGAGGCATGATTGTGGATGTCGAAATTGCTATCTTCAAACTTCGATTTTGATGGATGTTGTGATGATGTTGGATGTTGATATTGATATTACATTGGTTGTTGTTGTGAAACCTTAAGCGCGATCTTCTAAAGAGAAATGAATATGGAATGTTTTGGGATTAAGTTATTAAGTGGGGGCAATTGATTTAGGGCTATGGAGAGGAAATACAAATTTTAGTTTTTATTTTTTTATAAATAAAAAGTTAAAATTCAAGAAATTATATTTTAAAAATTCATAAAACTTTCAAGACATAGGTGTCGTACAAGCGTGTCCAATTTATTTTTAATATTTTTTAATTGGACAAGACATAGACGTGTTTGATACTTGTCAAAGATGTGTTGGACGCATGTCGGGCACTGCATACTTCATTGAGAAGAAGTATCAGTGCATCATAGGTTGTATTGCTTGAATTGGGGAATTAGTTTTGACTTCTTTAAAATTTAGAATAAACTCAAATATTCATCATCCTTGTTGTTTTGGATAAAAATCAGTTCTAAACTTTTTTGTTTTAGACCCATTTAGCATGAATTAAAGTCTCACCTTGAAAATGCAAGTCCCCTTGCTAATTCCCCTTGCTAATTTGTAGCTCTTATGGAGCCTATTGGCCTTGATTTTATGTGGCTAATAAATATTCATTTTTATTTGGTTAGTTCATTCAATCCCATTCGGGCTAAGTTAAGGTTTTGACTGCCTCCTGGATAACAATTCCCCTTATTAACTCGTTTGTCCCTGTAAATGACCATTAGTTATAAATAAATAAAAAGTAGTAGTTGACACTCCAATGATGCATTCAACTCAAATAATGTTGTAGTTAGATTTGTTGGTGTTGTAGCTGACCAGTAGGATATAATTAGAACATTTGATGCGTGCAACACAAGCTATAGTAGACGCCTTTACGGTAGATGAATCATTTGTGGTAGTAACCAATCATGATGCTAAAGTTGGACCATAGTTTCTTGAGTAGAACTACCATCCATATTAGCCAACCATGCGACCAAGAAGGCTTTGTCAAACTAAATTGGAGTTGAGCTAGTACTTGTCCTCTTGGTTGTTGTATGTTATAGCCCTTCATATAGTTTTTATGGCCCATTATGATAACTTGCCATCCTTCTGGAGTGATAGTCATTGGAAGCACTCATAATACTTCACGAGCTTCTTTATGGTTGATCCATTAGACCTTAGTTCCCTCTTTTAAAGGATTATTACACCTGCAATATTGGATTATTAATAATTTAATCTTGTCCTTGATTGGGTCTATCTCCTCACCATATTACGCAAGTATAGTTATTGTTGTAATTCCTGCTGGTTATTCATTTTTTCTATATTCTTTGATTGATCAATTTTCTTTTCCATCATCAAATCGCCTAAGACAGCTTAGGTATATAGTGTGTTTTTGGGTACTCATTGGATTATATGTCGATTCTTGTAGTTCTTGTAAACAATCATATTGTTATTCTATTGGGTATTCATCATATCATTTTGGGATTTGGTATGATATGGGGATTTTATCCTCTAGTGGATCTGTTAACCTTTTTTTTAAGCATGGTAATCTGAGCAAAGCACTGCTATATTCTTGTTAATCCCTGCGACTGGAAACAAATGTGTTATGATACCAACCCCAATTTAGGATTAAGTCGACACCACAATACAGTACTATTATGTTATTAAATTTATTTGGAAATGATAATGCAAAATGGTTTGGAGTTGATATGACTTGTATGTAACCTTGTTCTTAGAATGGCCATGCAAAGATTTTGGGGTTCCTATGAGATCAAATGCAAGAACCTTGCATGATAAAACAAAGAGAGAAGCTCTCTTATAGGGAATTAGAAATTTGCTCCTTGTTTCTTAGATTTATCTTTGTTGGCTTGTTGTCCACTGGTTAGGAAAGTAGATGTATTAAATTTGATTTATATTAAGAAATGTAGAGGTAGACCTAAAAAGGATTAGTTAGAAAATATTAGAAATGACTTTTCTTTATTAGATTTAAATGATAATTTAACTTTAAACAGGGCACAATGGAGAAAAAGGATTTATAGAGCCAACCCCACATAATGGAAAAAGGCTTGATGTTTAGGGGTGTAAGTGAGCCGAGCTGGCTTGAACTTGACTCGATAACGAGCTCGCGAGCCGAGCTTATCGAGCCGCGAGCTTGTTTGCTAAACGAGCTCGAGTTCGAGCTCGGTGAGAGCTCAGCTCGATCGATTGATTATTTGAATTAAAAAAATATATAAATGACCAAAGGCGGTAATTCAAAATGAAGAAGGCGGGTCATCGGGTGGGAATTCCAAAAAACTCAAGTTGCAATTCGGTATTTCCTATCATAAAATAATATATAATGGTAATTTTATTTGAATATAACCAATGAAAACTGCTGAGCTTGCTTTTACTTTTTTTTGGAAAGGTAAAAAGCTGCAGCTTACTTTTAATTTTTTGGGGAAAGATAAAAAGCTGCAACAAGCTCTTCTCTTCTCCCTATATGAAAAAAAATATATTTTATTTTCAATGTCTTCCCCGATGGCAAGCTCGACGGGATGACGCGGATGAGGACGGCTCGCTCGAAGGCTGCCCGGACCGCCGAGGCTCGCGAGTCGGCTCGAACTCGATAACAGTGGGATGAGCTCGAGCTCGAGCTCGCTTTCTGGCTGACGAGCTGAGCTCGATAGTGTCAAAACTCGACTCGACTCGACTCGTTTACACATATTGAGGGTTTTAATCGTTAGGTTGATCCTTTATGGCCCTTCAATTGTAATATATATGTTTTCTCTTCTTATTTTAGATGCCGGTCCCCCCGCGGGGATTTTTCTTTTTTTGTAAATAGCTTTGATTTTTTATTGCCAGTTTTTTTTCCAGAAATCTATAAATACTTCAACATTTTATACTGAATCAAGGAATTAATTTTGTAGTTGCGCAATATGTAGGTTCTACCTAATATAGAGTCATTTACTTAATTCAATTGCTAGTTTTAATATTTAAGAAGAGACTCGTGCAATCTCCACACCTCCAGTGAAGTCGAACTGCAACGAAGGAGCCGAAGAAGCGACTCGGGTTTTGCTTCTAAATGCTTCCGATCAAAATATGCAGGTCGGGTTCGGGTCAGGTCAAACAATCCCGGGTCAGTTTCGGGTTGGATCCAAACCTGACCCGTGACCCGATTTTGAAAGCCCTAGTTGTTTACAACATTTGTGATTGTTGCGTCATAGTTTTTACTATATTCTACTTTTTGGTCTCTAATTTCTTAATTCTTTTTAATTGTTCAATGCTAGAGACTATTAGGTTCTTTTTTCCTGTTTAAGTAAATCAGTTTACTTTTGCATTAATACCAAAATTCTTTGTTTGTTAATTTCCCAGACTTATTTCTAGCTCTAGTTTATTGGCTGATATCAATATTGTATACATGTTTCCATTTATTTGTTTATACTGAAGAAAATTTGCAAGAAATCTTAGTTTATCTATTCTGCTAAAACTTAGAAATTATCTTGTATGAGAATTTTCTTCAAGTTTTGGTTTCTATTAATTGATTTCCAACAAACCTTAGCGAGGGTAGCACTTCCTCAATGTGATGTTGAATGTATCACTAAAAGTCTTTTTATGCATTTGAACTTTCCTATTTGTTTTTTGGCCCCTAAATTATGTCAAGTTTCATTGAAACCTCCTCTATAAATGTGAGAGTTGTTTCATGGATCAGCAAGAGAGTACTTGAGTGGTCCCAATAAAGTAAAATAAAATTAAAAAAACTTATCATAATTTAACCAGGGTTCACAGTGGTGTACGAACTAGAATGAAAAAAAGAGGAATTCTTATTGGAATTGGAATTATGATCTCATTCAAAGAGAAAGATAGCAATGTTTGATGTTTCCTTTTTAGTTCTATTTTGATGATCCAAGCCATCGGGACCATGATTGGGAACTGTTTGGAAGCATGCACTATGCTACGTTCCGTTACATTTAACTTGTAAGGTCTATGGAAACACATTATGATACAAAGTATTAGCTCTTTCTTGACTAGAAGAATAAGCAGTTGAGGTTTTCTTTTTAATTTTCTCTATATGAATCAAGAGAGATAACAGACACTTGGTGGCATGAAATGCCAAGAACGTTTGATTATTTAACGTATGATTTACTCTTGCACTATAGGTAGGTACAATCATAGTTTTCATTAAAAGGTATACTGTATACATATATAAGAACAATTTTTCAATATTGGATTGTATCAAAAGTTTTAGATCACCCTAGTCATTCAGTAATAGTTTGCAAATAATCAATCGAAAGAGAATATTATGATTAGTCATTCAATAATAGTTGGCAACAATTCAATCGAAAGACAATATTATGATTGGTATAAAAAGGAACAAACTATGACATCAAAAATTAGTGCAGTGAGTATGGACCAACAGAAATATCATCATCATCATTATTAGCTTAATCCCAACTATTTGAGATTGGAGTTTTATTGAATAATTTGGGTTTACTCTTTAAATCCTCATTTTTTCATTTACTCTTAAGTGACGGACATTGTGAATCTATTGGGAGTTTATCCTTTCATGCCATGATGCGCTCGGGCCATGTCCAATTCAATATGCAATAGGAATTCCCACAGATGACCATAGACTCTCACTTGCTACCATGAAAAGCCAAATTGAAAGTGTTAAATTGGAGCATATCCGCACACAGATTTCCTATCTTTTAATTCTCACATTCCGTTGCCCTTTATGTTATGGTTTTTATTTAAATTTGTATCTCTCTCTGGTATATGGTATGCCATCTCTGCTTCTTGCATTAGTTCTATTCATCTTCACCATGTGCTGCCTCTGAAAAATAAGTAAATATCTGGATGTCGTTTTCACCTTTACACAAGTTATAGTTATAACCTAGCATCAAGATGGCACTATATATATATATATATATATATATATATAATGCCAGGTGACTATTAGTTTTTATTTTTATTTTTATTTGTTTAAATCAGTTTACTTATACATTGATACCGAAAGTCTGTTTGTCAATTTCCCAGGCTTGTTCCTAGCTCTAGTTTATTGGCTGATTTATAGATTGTATCCATGTTTCCATTTATAGTTTGTACAGGAGAATGTGCTTGAAATCTTAGTTTTTGAATTCTGTCAAAGCTTAAAAATTATCCTTTACTAGAATTTTCTTCAAGTTTTGGTTTCTACTAATTGATTTACAACAACCCTGAACGAGGGTAGCACTTCCTAAATTTGTTGTTGAATATATCACTGAAACAGTTTCTTTTTATGTGCATTGGAACTTTTCTTTTGATTTTTTGGTCCCTGCATTCAGTCAAAGTTTCATAGAAACAACTTCTATGTGGGATAAGACTGCTATATCTTTCAGAAAGAAATAATTTTTTTTTTTACTGATTATCGTACCCACAGGTAACATGATCGGGAATTGTTTCTACATTCCATCATGATACAAAAGGCTTCCAATAAAAGCATTTTTTCTTGTGAACTGTCATCTAACAGCCGAGCTCTACTTGAGAATTGTCACCTTTACTTTTATTTCCCCCTCCTTCAGGAATTTATATCGGAGATGACACGGTCATCCATTTCACAAGAGCAGCAGGCCAAGAGGTTGGCACTGGAACTTTCCTGGACAAACTTTTCCTTAGCTCCTCACCTGTACCAACCGGAGCTATATGTGAGAGATGTGGTGATCAGAGCCATCTTCATGGAGTTATCAAATCATGCATTGATTGCTTCCTTGGTGGCGGGAAGCTCTACATCTTTGAGTATGGTGTTTCACCAGCTTTCTTCGTCGCCAAAGCTCGAGGAGGAACATGTACTTTAGCTGCTTCAGACCCAGCAGAGGATGCCTTGCACCGAGCCAAGTCTCTTCTCGACCAAGGATTTGGCGTCTACAGCCTCTTTAAAAATAACTGTGAGGATTTTGCCATCTATTGCAAGACTGGTCTCCTTATTCAGACTCATTACAGCATAGGGCGAAGTGGCCAAATGGCATCATGGACTGCAGTTGCTTCTACAGTAATGTCTTCGCCTCTTCGCTTCTTGACGACCAGTGGGACTGGATTGGTGTTTGTGGCAGGAGCTATGTACTCGGTCAGTCGCTTTGTCGCTGATATAGGTGTTCGGCGTGATGTCATCAAGATTCCGGTGGAGAGGCTCATTATAGAGGCTGGTGCTGAAGAACCTCAAATAGTATCAGGATTGCTGACAACTTGATGCAAGTGAAATTTTACCTGTTTAAAAAAATATTTTCAAGAACATGTACTTTGATTCTCCTGCTACTTGTTTGAAACAATTTGCATGTCTGGTTTCTGCCATTTCAGTTGTTATGTTTAAGGTTTCGTTTGGAATGACTTTTTTTATTACTTTTTAAAGCAATTTTCTAGCACAAAAATTTTTTGAACTAGAAATTATTGTATTAGAAATTTGCTTTAGAAAGTATTAAGAAAGCCACCCAAACAAAACCTAAATTTGTCTCGCCAGGTTGGAACATGTACATACATCTGGCAATGTTGTTTAAACATGGATTGAAATGCTTAATATTATAGATTTGAATCTCAAAATTATCAAATTTATTTTGAGGTAATTGTAGTATTTACTGATTTTTTTTGTGTTATATATATTTGAAAATAAATTTAATGATTTTAGGAGCTGACATGCTGACATAATTTGATCCCATGATAGATGGCCTTGATCTTGCAAGGACTTTTATAATAACAACAATGATAATACCCAGGTCCAATTTGTGACTTTGAAGAGCTAAGTTTGAATTATCTCTTCTTTACAGTTAAACAATCTAAACATGGCAGGTCAGAGCTGCAATCAATGTAACTCACAATGATTGAAGAAGAAACTCTTAGGAAGATAAATTGTTCAGTTAAAGTTACAGTAAAGAGAACAATAATCGATGTGATTGAATGCAGATATCCTAACTCTTAGGAATGTTTTTTCCAACAATCTTAGCAGGTGTTATACGAAGAAGATTGCCAGGCTTTCCAGGGAGAGCTCCCTTTATCATGAAAACTCGTAGTTCATTGTCTATCTTGACAATCTTCAGCTTTCTGATCTTTCTTTTAGTTCCTCCCATCCTGCCAGGCATCTTTTTTCCCTTGTAAACTCGACCAGGTGTTGTTCCAGCACCAATGGAGCCCAAAGCTCTATGACTTTTGGAGCCATGAGTCATTGGACCGCGGCGAAAATTGTGCCTTTTGATACCACCTGCACATATTAGGCATACAATTAGAAGAGTTACTAATTCATTTCAGTAAAATTGTTGATAAGATTCTTTATGGTTTTTTTTACTAGATGTTTTTTAAGTTCATTGGTCTGGAAGTCTATTGGAAGCTAAGTTTAGTTTTTGTATTTGGTGATATCTGGCAGTCTTCACACCCTCCTTCATAAAGAGTTGATATTCATTCATATTTTTATGTAAACCTGTTTTTCTCATTATGTATCCACAAATCTTAATTGAAAGTAGTCTATTCATCTTTAGGCATCACCTGATATTTATAATTCTCTTTTTAATAAGAAAAAAAAATTGAGAATTTGAAGTATAAAAAATTCTGTTGTATTACAAGGAATTCCTTTCCAAACCATACCTCATATACCATTTTATACTATTGATAAAAAATATTAAACCGTCTTTCACCAACATCCTTGGAAGAGTACTCTCACTCTTTTGCCAATTCTCCAACCCTCTTACAACATTACTCTCTTTCTAGCTGCTTGTTCTCATTCCATATAAAAATTAGCAGAGAAAAGGAGAAAGCTAAGATATACGTATAAGATGAAAGGGGGTATAATGTGTAACAGTCAAAATTTTAACTATCGAGATATTGTCCGCTTTGACTTAAGGGCCTCACATTTTTTTCATATTTGTATAACTTCCCAAGAGGTTACCCATCTAAGATTTCTCTATGATTAGCACGCTTAACTACATAGTTTCTAAATGAAATACCAACCATTACACCAAAAGGACTCTCGATGTTGATTTTAGCTTTTTTTACATGAGGGGTTTCACAATTTTCTACACTTAAGTAACTGACGTCCTCATCGGCATCTTTATCCTAGAATCATTCACTAGACATATAGGATTCTAGAGGCGGCCACTACAAATTTAAGTGGTGACTCCCGCCACGTATCACTTTGTCCCATACAGGGTTCAAGAGGTGGCTCCCATGACTGATGGGGACATCAGATCGTGGAGAGTCTATCAGAGACGTGGCCGTAGATCGACGGCCACGATTGAGTCATTGTATTTCTGAGTTGTTTATGTATTTTCTTATTTATGATGTCATATTGTATTTGATTTATTAGTTTCTCGTTGTACCCTTTTATTAAGGGAGGTCGTATGTAAGCCCTAGGGGCATTGTCATCCTTTATTTTGTGAATCTTTGTACAAGGCTATTTATAGCCCCATTATTCTTCTTTTCAAGTTAATGAATGATTGATTAAAATATTTCTTCCCCTTGCATGAGTTCTTGTGAGAGCTTAAGAAATCGGAGAGAGATCCCTAGGAGAGAGAGAATTGTGCATCACCCAACAACCTAAACGAGTCGGGTTCGTGGTTATATTTCCTATCTCTTCCTTTCTCCTCCCACCACCACCAGCCGCATCACACCCAAAGCCTTCTCCCTTCCCAAGCCCTTCCCCTCCACTCGACCAAACTCCGCATACTCCCTACCTAGCCGTCGGCCCCCATACCCGAGCCCCTCCAACCAACTGGCCATAGCTCCCCTCTCCCCATTGCTTTCCATTGCCTAATTTGGATTGACATAATTTGGGCAAATTTTGGAATTCAAAATTTGGAAGAGGAAGCTCAGAGATTCGGGGTCCAAGATCAAAACGAGCTTGCCGGCGTCTGGAGGGATTTTCATTGCCTGGCGCCATATTCGTGCAGCCAGGGGCGGCCGATAGATTCACTACTTCAGCGCAGTGACCACCGCCCTTATTAGATTAGACAAGCCATGAGGCAGCTGAGTAGGCAGAACTGACGCATCTTTTTTTCAAATCTTTCCATTTGGCATTTAATTTGAAATTTAAAATCTTTCCTAAATTATTAAATCTATTTTAGGAAAGTTCCTAAATTAAATCTATTTGAATTTCAAATTCAAAGTGGATTTAATTAAATTCTTTCCTAATCCCTAAACCCAAGTTAAGAAGCTTGATTTCCTCCCATTATTAAGCCCAAATAAGCCCCATATCCGCCGGCCCCATTAGGAGAGATTTGGGGATTTATTTCCTAAAGCCCCATCTTCTCTCTTGGAAAGATTTCCAAAATTTCCCACCATAACTCCTAATTTATTTCCAAAGACAAACAATTGATTTAGGAAATAAATCCCTCATCCCTATCCCTCATTATGCCGCCGTCCCTCTCTCTCTCTACCCGCCCCCCCCTCTCTAATATTAGCATCTCTATCCTCTCTTGGAATTAAATTCAAATTTAATTCCTAAATCCCTCCCAATTAGAAATCTGAAATTTATTTCAAATTTTTAACTTGTTCTTCCCTACTTAACCTACTTCTCCTCTCCAAACCCTCATCCCTTGGCCGATCACACCTCTTCATTCCAACTTCAAGTTAAAGAGAAACTTCTTTATCTTTAACGGAGTTCAAAGTTGCTAATAATCTCCAGAAGCGACCGTCGCCTAGCATTCATGAATGGCCGATCCCGATCTTGACTACAGCCTCTCCTACGACGAGCAAGGATTTGTTTGCATCTTGCACTCGACCTTCTTCGATGTCAACCCGCGCATCGATCACACCGTAGAAGAGTACGTGGAGCGCATCTTGGACACTTTAGTCGAGGCTATTGAGGAGCAACTTGGTACCGTCCAGTGGAGGATTACAACTGATCCTTGATGAAGGCCTTCTAATCCTTTTTCTTGTGATTTGATTTTAATCATGAAGATCGCATTCGCCTAACTCTGCTGAGCTTAGGGATTAAGTGCACCTCCTGTGTTTCTAATCTTATTATTAGATTAGGAATTTTCATTGAAAGCTATTATATTTGTATGTCGTTGATTTCCTATATTATTTTGATGATTCAAAATTCTTATTTTACAACTTAGCCTAAAAGGAAGTGACCGCTCTTACGTTTTATTTTATCGTTTTATTTGCTAATAGTTCTAATTGTTATTGCTCTAATCATTAAGTGGTGCAAGCTCTTATCAAAATCATCCCAAGCATTTTAGTCCTACATCAGTAACACTTTATCTTGTGTGACACTTAGTTATCATCTTCCGGTTAGTGTATTGCTATGATACCATTTTGTAATAATCAAACTCTAACTATCAAGATATTGTCCGCTTTGGCCTAAGGGGCTCACAGTTTTGTCTTATTGGTGTAACTTCCCAGAAGGTCACACATCCCAAAATTTCTCCGGGATGAGCATGCTTAACTATAGAGTTTTTTAATGAAATTTCAACCATTACACCAAAAGACGTTTCGATGTTTAAAAGTTTAACTTCTTTTACTTTAAGGGGTTTCACACAAGGGATACTATTGGCCAAAACTTAAGTGAAACCCTTTCAATTGAGGGTGAAAACTAATTGAGAGACCAAAGTGAAGACCAAAGACATATTTAGCACAACAAACCAAAATATTTTCAAGACTCTAGTTTCCATGGTGGTTCCATAGTAGGATCCCTCTTTGCAAACCTGAAGTAGCATCGGATCACGTGATATAAAAGTCTCTAATTTATTAATCATTGGTGCATGGTGTTGGTAAAGAAAGGCTACAAACAAATCGGTTAAAGATTTTATCAAGCATGAAGCCTCTACATGAAGAAGGATAACTATCATGTCGAACAAAGTAGAAACATCAAGGGACTTAGCTGCCTAGATCTTTTGCAATGACAAATGGTCATGTTGATGGAGATGTTCAATCAAAAAACATTAACAACAAATGAGGAATCAATCAACTTGGATGGTCCTCACAAGTGAAGAAAATACCTCACAAAGATGAGAGACTAGAAATAATTTTGGCGAGAAAGAATAAGGTTTATATGAAGAGGCCTCGTCTTATACCATCGCTTTGAAAAATAAATCCAAAAACTATTAAGATTGAAGGCTTGAAGCTAGAATTGATATCCAAACATATGACAGTTCCATTGATAGATAAAAGTTAGACACCTAGTCATAAACAAGTTTTAGCTCATACACGTGTTGCATCAGGTGCGTCAAGTAGTGAAGAATGGAAGTCAAACTCCTTGCTCAAGCAGTGAATAACTCTTTCATCGTTGAATACTTTTCAAGCTATTGAACTCTTTCCACTTGGTCAAAGTACTTCTCTTCTTGATGCTCAAATCAAACTTCCTCTTAATCCGCTCCATTATGGTTAACGAGAAGTTCTTCCAAATTACGCTCCTCACAAGACATTACACTTCTTTTTACTAGCAAAACATTGGCCCCTTCGGAAGAATTGCACCCCCTATATATGGTCTCCAACCCATTGCATGTCTATCACATTAACTCCTATTGTCACCACCCCTAAGATTTTTCCTCCCCACAACAAGCAACAACCATGCAAATTCTTCTGGACCTATAAAGGCCCTTTGTACAAACATGAGGATAGGAAGACAGAGAAAGGCTAGCTAAGAGGGTGAGAGAAATTGAGATACAGAGATAATATCTCTTTAATGTTAGTAGAGTTGCCTTCCAAATAAAAAAAAAAAAATTTAGGAACTGATCTTCTTCTCAATAGCAACCACGTCTACTCTACTTAAAGAGATCCCAAGCTCAAAAGAGCATAATCCTTTTAGCATCCACTTTGGAAGACTTTTGAATTACTTGAACTCAAAAGGCTTCCTTATTTTCTTTATAAAACCTATGAAATTTTATGTAACTCTCGATAAATAGCAAATAAATCTACTCTATCTTTATAATGGATGTATGCATTTATTGTTGAACCACTATAATTCTTGTCTTCGTTATGTGATGCAATCGCTTCCTTTCTCTGGCATTAACATGCGCATCACTCACGATTGATGATGGAGTAATTCAAACTTCTAAAACAAGCCTACAACTAATAGTTCCCTCGATGTCATGATCACTCGACAAAGTTCATTGACAATCACAATTTAAAACTCCAAGTCAGAGAGATAGAGCATGTATTTTTTTATTTAGAACCCTATATTTTAAAGAATAGCTAAATAAGGCGAAAAATGTTAACCAAATTTGAATTCAGCTCATTCACATGTTGTGTTTGTTGCATCGAGTGGCTTAGAATGATAGTTGGACTCCCTCCTTTGGCCATCGAGTTTCTCATTCATTGCCAAATTCTTTCAAGTTGTTGAATGTTTTTCGCTCGTCCAGCTGCATAATACTTTCTGTCGACTCAATGGCAAGTCCTTAGAAATACTGCCATCCATTATCGCCACTCTTTGCCCGTCACATGTAATTGCAATTGATTTGCATCCAACCAAATAACTCGTGTCTTTCTAAAATACAAATATCTATTTTACATTATATTTAAAACTTCCTTGAATTCCAAATTCCTCCAAACAAACAGCCCCTCGGAATAACACGGCTAAAATTTGCAAGGAGAATTAAAAAGACTTAGTAAACAACAAGAGGAATGATGGACAAGAAGAATACATAAAGCTTGACACTAAATAGTTGAAATATTGATAATGATTTACGGAAATAGAAACCTACAAGAAGAATAAAAGAAAAAAAAAAGTTGAGACAAAATAGTTATAATAATGACATTGATATTGATGAATTACATAAATTTAATATAAAAGCTTAAATGAATGAATGGAAAAGAAGAATACGCAGGAGTTGACATCAAATAGTTCGAATAATGATAATGATATTGATGCTAATGATATGCTTCTTATGATCTTCAATCTTGCCACAGGCGTGATATCTGGCTGGATCCCATCCTATTTCTATCATATAAAATTTCGAATATTGTTTTGATAATACAAAACATCTATATAATCAAAACTAATTATTTTTTTGAATTTATTTGGGGATTAAAGCATTATTCTTAGAGAAGTCCATGCAATACATAATCAATCAACTTTAGTATTGCATTTATTTCAAAATCAATTTAATGTCATTGAGATCCATCCTCAGCTAATTTTGATCAAAATATTCTGATTCAGTTTACTACGAGAAAAATGTAACAATGATTAATCAATCAAAATTTATATTACAGTCGTTTTAAATCAAAGTAACAAACAAAAATGAAACTTAATCAATCAATTCTTTAATTGAATTGATCAAATTGAAAACCAAGCATCAATCTTCATTCAAAACATCAACCAAACATCCGAAAAAGGAAAAGATAAGGAAATTGGAACATTAGATCATACCTTGGAATCCCTTGCCAATGGTTGTCCCGGACACATCAACGAGATCTCCCTCCTTGAATATATCTTCAAGTACGAGCCTCTGCCCCGGCTCGAAGCCCTCAATGGACTGGAGCCGGAATTCCTGGAGATGGCGCATTGGGATGGCACCGGCCTTGCTGAGATGGCCGAGCTCCGGCCTAGTGAGTTTCCGGTCGCGTACGCGGCGGTATCCCACCTGCACTGCGTCGTATCCGTCTGTGGCGGCGGTCTTCAACTGGGTGACGATGTTGCCCTCGCGGAACCCGACGACGGTGACGGGGACGACGGTGCCCTCCGGTTCAAAGTAGGACATCATTCCCAACTTCGTGCCCATGACACCAACACCCGCCTCCATGCTCATCTTCGTCGCAGCAGCTGTGCCGCCGCGAGTTCCGCGGGTGAGGGCGAGGGAGAGCGAGTGGAAGGAGTTGGAAGATGAGGAGGAATTGAGGTGAAGGGTTTTGGAGAAAGAAGAAGAGAGGGAGAGGACGGTTTGGCTAGAAAGTCCGCGCCTTTGGGTTGGGGATCGCGATAAGGGACAGCGCGCCCCGGCCATCGGAGTAGTGGCCGCCATTCTTCAGTCCTCGCTTGCTTTTAGCCGTTCCTATATCTTTGGGTAGGGAAGGATTTCGTTATCCTATTACTCTTAATTAATAATATTTATTAAAAAAAAATTCAAACATCCTAAATAAATACTTTATATTTTTAAAATAAGTATTTTGGAGTTAATATTTTACTCATGACTTTTATATATATATAAGAAATTGATTTAATAAAAAATATGAGAAATTTACCCATGAATTGATATATATACAATCAAATATATAAAAATATAAGAATGAAATATATATCATAAAATTTGTAATTATTAATCACATAATTGTATAATGTTATAGAAATTTGATGTTCAACAAGGTCTTTTATGATCAATTTTTTCTTTATAGGTTTCTTTTATTGAGAATTAGGCATGTATATATGCTTTTAGTAAAGAATAACGTTTTACTTTTGTAAAATATGTTTCAATATATCTCTTGTGAGAAGATCTTCTACATTCATCTTGATATAAATAATTATTATTAAATAAATAACAAAAAAACTTTCATTTTTATTAGGATTATTATACTTATTTTTTGCATTATATTTTAAAATATTCATAAGTTATTAATTGAGCCTTCAATATTCAATTATTTGTTATAAATATACCAATATAATGCTCGTAATAGAATATTAAGATTTTATTTGGAACAGTTTCTTTATCATTTTCTAAAACAATTTTTTAGTTTAAAAATTGCTCGTTCCATGCCCTCAAATAAATGAGAAAAACTTATTAAACAGTCAATGAAAGGATAGAATTAGTGACTCCAAACTTAACGAGAATAGATTCCATCAACAAATGCTTGAGGTGGCTTTGATAAAACCGTTTAGTGTAGCTTACATTATAATAATGACAAAATTTGAGAAAATAAATCAAATGTTTGAGCATATGATATTTCAACAACTGCAGATCCTCTCTTCCCATTCTTTCATCATCTCCAGCTCCTCAATTTCTGTTTTGATGAGCAAAATAAAATTAAACATTGGATAGAATAAGCAAATGAAAAGACAATTTAGAGTACTCCACCCTAGACAATCAAGCTCGACATCAAAGCAGAGAGAGCTGCGAGTTTTTGATTTGAAATATCAAAGCAGAGAGAACTAAAAAGCAATACTATCAGCCAGTAAAAGGAGCAGCAACTTGAGTTCCATATTTGTTTAATATCTGAAAACTATGGCTAAGATCATAAAACATTCTACAATGCTCTTCCCTTTTCTTCATACAATCAATAGTAAACATACAGTATAACTCCATTTCTGAAGCGCATAAAACAGAATAAACAATACTTGCTCTCTTCAGGATTGGAGGGCCGCAGGGAGTGGGTGCTTAATATTAGTGTTACCAGCTAGTTCTCAAAAGAATGCAGTGCCCCTGCAACAAATCATTTACGAAAGCAACACAAGATACAGCATTTTCCATTGATGTCATCTTCCCCACCTGTCAAAATAGGATGCTCAGAAGCATGGCTAATAGTCTTCATTGTTGGGGCAGTCAGATGCTCTGTGCCCAGTTCGGCCGCATTTGAAGCAAGCTCCTCCGAAACTCCTAAAGCATTTCGAATTTCAGTCTCAGTAATTTGTACAACGAAAGAAACTATCTGAACTCACTAATCAACCACCAATTACAAGCAGATCATTTAACAAAATGGATATGGCATAAACTTTCCATAAAACAGAAACATCAAAAGAAATGGGCTTCATTTGAGATTTCAGGAAATGAGTGATTTCCACAAAGGATGTTTGAAGAAAATGAGTGTGAAGAATACCTCTCCCTGCTTCCAAATGATGGTCGATTGGATTTCCTTCCACTTGATAGAAAACCATCATCACTTCCTCTGGATGATTTGGACCAGCTATTCCCAGTTTTGTAGCTACGTCCACCGCGCCGGAATTCATCGTCACTATCAAAATCCCTGCCACCCAGGCTTCTGGATCCTCTATAAGCCCTGTCCTTAAAACCACCTCGAGATGATCCAAATCCATCCCTGAAACTACTGCGGGATCCTCGTTCAGAATTGGAGAAACGACCATAATAATCACTTGGAGGACCATCATCTTGCAATGCAGGCAACTAAACAAAAAAGAAAACTTCAAGTGAGCATACTGAAATGAAAAGAAGCAAGAAAAAAGATCAAATGAGTATATACTAAATATGGGAAAAATGAAAATCTTCGTGAATTTCAACACAAAATCTTACTGGTAATAATTAGCTATAGTGGGGTAGTCTGACCTGCTGGAGCTGCCCTTTCTAGACTGGCCCTAGCCCACCCTCTTTAAAAAATATAATATATTTCCCTAGGTTGAGAAATGGCTCAATCCCTAGTGGCCTAGTGGTTTTGACCACTTTGGGTTAGCCCAATTTCCAACCCGAGTACCCAAGGGTTGGGTCAACAACGGTAAGTGTGTTGGGTCACGAGTGACCTAACCTAGGCTTTGGCTTGATTTGATTTGACCTATGATGGAATTTGGCTCATAGGAGGCTCTCTTTGGACACTTGGGTCAAGCCATATGGCTAACCCAAGTGGGCCCAAGGCTTGGGCCTTCAAAGGGAGTCTCCTAATGACCTAATAGGTCAACCCAAGAGTTTGAATTGGCTTGAACATGGCTTAGTCAAAGCGTTTGAAGTGTATAAAGGTGAATGTGTAATTTGGTCTATTTGACTTGGTCAACCAAGTTGACCCAAGGTCAAGGGTTAGATCCATCAAGTTTGGATTGATGATTTGAATCCAATGGAGGTGGCCATATAATAATTATTAAGTTGGCCTATGAAATCTGGAAAAGAAGAGGTTTCACCAAAATACTTCTAAGTACTATTATCAACATTTTTAAATTAATCATAGGGATGAGCCAAACTTTTAGCGATGAAGCAAATAACACAAAAAAGGAGTAATACGGGTTAAATTTAAATTAAAAGAATATTCTATAAGAAATGTGCCTAAAATAAATCTAGAATGCAAGAGTATAAATTCACAGGCTAAATGCTTGCACCAAATAATCATTCTACTTTTCACTTCAACGCAGTTTAAACATAAAAGCTTTTCCAATCAGTCTAGTTCCCTAAATGATTCAGTTAAAATGAAGGAATGCAAATGTACTTTAATGAAGCATAAGATGAAAAAAAAAAAGTTTTCAAAAAGTTACATAAAGCAACTAATAGAATACTACCTTTGTGATCTTGAATAAGGTGTTCCCAGGGGGTAACTGTTTGTTTAGTAGTTCCTTTGCAATCTCCTCAGGCAAATCAAAAACGGCAGCCTGAACCTGGATATTACAGAGAGTTAAAGTTATTACTCAGGTGATGTCAAGATCATTTCCTTTAAGTGGTTCAAAAGAATGGATACTTAGTTTTCAGAGTATTCTGACTACATTTCGACTTGAACTGATACTTCTTACATGAAAGGTTACTAACATAATTATAAAACAAAAGTTCCAATATAATATTTGAACTGATCCTTTTTTCTTTGGAACTTTTACAAAACTATGTGATAGGCTAATTGGTTGCAATTTTACATAAAATTATGGCATGCAGATCTTATTTGCATTGTCAACATATTGAGGAAAACAGGGTTTTTTAGACTCTTCAGTGCTTACACTTTCATCTGCCACCAAGTGTATCTTGCCGACTTCATCAGCAGCAGCCGGATAAACATCAGAAAGGAAACCTGTAACTGATCTAGCAGAAAAGAACCCTCTTGAGTACCCTGACTCCCGAGTTAATTGTAATGTGACCCACCCCTGTACAAAGGATTGGCCAAATAAAGTTAGAACATCCCCTTCAATACGTCGAAAAGGATTTACTGGCTTACTGCAACCTGCAATACACCAATTCAGCCCTAGATTGACATGCTTAGTCAAAAGCTTATGAAGCTGATCCATTCCTGTTAATGCAAATGAAATTCTGACACCAACATTTAGGATTTAAGATTTTCTCCTAGAATTGGATGTATATCATCCTCCTCATCATTACCATCCTTATCCCAACACGTGGATGTTTATCATCAACAAAATATTTCCTAGATTATGTGCTGAAAATGATTTAATGATGAATGAATATCCATCAATTCTCACATAAAAATGTGTCAGAAAATTAGAGATGTGCTAGCAACAGATATTCTGATATAGGAGGAAAGTGAGCAAATATAAAACCCAACTCAAGAAAAAGCCTGTGTTCTTTTTTTACTTTAAATCTTCCATACATTAGTGTTTAATAAACAGCTTCACATTATATACCACAAGATTATATCTACTTATACTCCATCTTTTGCATGCTAGAGGGTAAAGACAATTTTCTTTTGATTATTAGCTACTGACAATAGAACTTCCTCCACTGCCTCTTAATATACTTAGTACCATCTCTTTATAGATTCAGTGCAATCTTACTCTTAAACTGATGAGCAGAACAATTTTTATGAGAATTGACTGTCATAAACATGCAAAAGTAAGGCTTTGCATGGGGAGAGAGGAAATTCTAAGCTAGTCAAAGTTTCTTATATAAAAGTACTAATACCACCTGCTCATGGCTGACCAGTGAACGAGATGAAGGTGGCTGGGAAAAACCACTGAGATGTGCAAGTGCGGCAGCAAGAGCATCCGGCCCTTTCTCTTCTATCAGCTTTTGTGCTGTTGGAAGGAAAAACTGTATTGATTCAGAATGCACACCCTGAAGTGTAGCAAGAACTTGCTCTGCCGATGACTCAAGCACTTCATGTATCTGTGGGGGACTAATAAAGTCAAACCTACACCCTACATCACGCTCAAGAGATTTAACAGTTCTCCTCTGGCTACTAGTAAACATCAATATAGCAGTGCCTTCTTTTCCAGCCCGTCCAGTTCGACCAGATCGGTGAACAAATGTTTCTGGATCATTTGGCAGTTCATAATGGATGATCTACAACAAGAAATTGAAATCTATTAAGCACACGTGAGCATAAAGTAAACCAACAGAATTCATATGCATCGTTAAGTTATCAGAATACAGACTCTTATTGCAGAGTGATGAGCAAGGACATTCAAAAACCCAAACCATAAATAGCTGAAGAAACATTATAAGGATTAAAGTATCCCAAAATAAAATAGATATTAGCAGGAAATGGAAAAGAAATTATCAAGAATGCAGTATAATATATATTTAATCAGAATGGTATTGCATTGCAAATAGAGGATGGTACAACAGGCATGTAAGATACCTACTTGGAGAACAAACTTTTCTTTACATACATGGCAAGTTCATGCTGCTAAGAAAATACAGTAGGGAATACTAGTAATGTTCAGAATAACCAAATTCCAAGCAAACTGAAAAAGTTAATCCAGATTGACTTACTAAATCAACATTTGGGATATCTAGACCACGAGAAGCAACATCTGTTGCAACAAGCACGGTAAACTTCCCCTTACGAAAACCATTCAATGTTCTCTCCCGTTGATATTGTGATATATCACCATGCAGTGCTTCAGAGGCTATGCTGTTTGTTAAGGCTTGTGATACCTCATCAGCATCATTTTTGGTCTGTGTAAAAACAATGGTCTTCCCACCCTTTGCATATACCTGAGGAATTCTTAAACCATTACCATGAAAACTGTCCTATTATCTAATTAATATGCTTCCTGCAAGGACAACAAGTTTCAAAATACCGTAATAAGGTCACTGAGAATTGTCCGCTTTGAGGTAGAAGTTGTTGACACGGCATAAAGTTTAATTCCCTCAGCAAGTTTCTCTTCTTCTTCACCAACCTAGATGAAAGAGATTAACAGCAAACAAAGTGAATTCAGAAAAAAAATATATCAAAGTCAAAAGCAAATTAGCAACAAACTATAAAAGAAGGGAACCAGAACAAGGTAGACAACATCGCAGGTTGCCTTTAGCTTGCAACCAGGATGCATGTCCCTTGCACAAGTGAGGTCTAAGACGTCTCACAAAAAGCTAAAAATAAACAACAGCATAAATGCATTCAAAAGTATGACCTTCCTTTTTATTTGCAAAAAGCCCTGAGCTCCCATAATATTCTAACAAAGTTTATAAATTGAAAGAGAGTAGAAACGTCACAAATGCAACTAAAGATTAGGAGTTACCAAGTCAATGGTTAGAGGATTGTCAAGATATTTTCTTGCCAATTTCTTCACCCAACCAGGCATTGTCGCAGAAAACAGCATGTTTTGACGCTTTGATGGTAGCTTTTCCAAAATGACTTCCACATCTTCCTCGAATCCAACAGCAAGCATCCGGTCAGCTTCATCAAGGATCAAATACTGAACTTCTCCCAACTGAAGGCTGTCATTATTGACTAAATCAATAATCCGGCCAGGAGTTCCCACAACCACATCAACACCTCGAGTAAGAGCATTCTGCTGAACATTGTAGGAAACTCCCCCATAAACACATACAGTGTTAAGGTATGGTGCTGACTCCTTAATTTCCTTTTCTACTTGCTTGGCCAGCTCCCTTGTAGGAGCTAGAACAAGAACTCTAGGGAGGCGGCCAGTCCGTCTTCACAAAGCAAAAGAATAAACAGATTAATAAGAATAAAGATGAATGAGATAATATAATAGAAATTAACACTCAAAAGAAATCAGCGAATGCAACCTCCTTGTTCCCTCATTTCCTTCGGTGAGCTTCTTTATGACAGGAATACCAAAGGCCAGAGTCTTCCCTGTACCTGTTTTCGCCCGGGCAATGATGTCCCGTCCTTCTAAAGCAGGTATCAGCACAGCTCTCTAAAGAGAAGCAAGTTCAACGAGAAGAAAATCAGCAAATGGATGTATATCAAGGAACTAGCATCTAGCACCAGCTAAAAGATAAGAATAACAAAATCTAATTACAAAGGCATACAAAAATAAGAATTTCACAAAGCAGCATCAAAGAAATATTCCCGTTTGGTATCTCACAAACAAGCATCTTTCCATAGTTCAAAATATCGCCTACACAATCAAAAAACTTTAAAATAACATGGTAATTAACATTATCAGTATGAACTACGCCCCCAAAACACGGCAATCAGTCATCTAATGTAATGTGTTAACAAGCTTTACCATCAAGGCCTGGACGGCTGGACGTTAAATTCATTCATTAACAGAAATCCCATCTTTCAGTAATTTGAATGGTTCAATTATAACCATACTTTCAGCAATTTGAGCATAAGAATGAGCCTTAATTCAACAAGGATTTAAATATTCACATAAACAATGATTACACTACACAGTTGAAGTGGGAAACAAACAATAGGGACTGAATAAATTAGTATAAAAATAAGCAGGATGTAAAATAAAACAAATATTGTGAAGAAAAAAAAAATATTTTTTCCCTTAAAACAGGGTACGTCATCAATTACTCGTTACCTGGATGGGAAAGAGATGGGTAATCCCTCGTTTCTGGAGGATATCGACAAGCTGTTCCGGCAAGCCTAGCCTGGAAACATCGAGCTCATCCTTATCCCCCTCTGTATTCTCCTCCCCGAACTGATACTCTTCGTCTTCATCCAGAGAGGAAGAGCCCTTGAAGCCGCCAAGCCCCTTGAATGCCTCCTCACTAAGCACCGAGTTTGGTGAGGCGATGGCGAAGCGCAAGAATAGCGGGTGACCCCTCGAGCTCCTCGTCAAGCAGTGGCATACATCGATGCCCCTGGCAGTGGGGGAGGAGGAAGCCCTAAGCAAACAGACATGGTTCTTTTCGAACGGAGAAGAAGGGAGAGAAGGGAATACAGGGACCAGTCTTCTCGTAAGGTCGAGAGAGGGGACGGAGGAGAAGCTCTGGAAGAGAGAGGAAACGCAGGGATTGTATGCCATAGCAAGCTGCGAGGTCGAGCTTCTCTCCTCTCTTTGGAGGCGGAAGTATACGATAAGGCTCCTGGTGGCCTCACAAGCTTCCACCTCTTCGGCCTCCTCGCGCTTTAAAGATAAAAGCCAGGTAGTGAGCTGAGGTTTAAGGAGAAGGGCATTCTATCAAAACCCTGTCTTGGCCTGTTATGCAAGTCTAAGCTCATTTGCTCTGGCCCATGGGCTTGGAGTTGGGCCTAGTTGGCTAACATAAACTCAATGGTAGAACTCCACAAAATCCTATTGTTATGGATTTGAAATACTACTTAAATTAATTAAGTTAAAGTGAGTTAATTAAAATGAAGCCTTACCTTCAAAGATTAAGTAGATTGATGATTATCATATTGGTAGGCCAACTTAGAAGAGGGATCCTAAGATTGTTAAGAAAATTTTCTTAAAAATATCGTTATAAGGATGAAATGAATATATAGTCACCTAACTAATATGTAAGTTACAAAATAGTAGGGTTATATGTTTTAAGGTTTAAGATTGTTCAATTGATTAATGTCACTTTTAAAGACTAATTAAGAAGTAGTGGATAGTTAGACATATGATATGTAAGATGCAAAAATATAATTATAAGTATTGGTTGAAGGATTTTCTATTGAGATTGAAAGAGAATAAATTAGGAGGCTCTTGGAGCTTTTATGGACTGGGCTTCCCGAGAAGAAAAAAATGTCAAATTTTATAGGAGATGCTTGATAATTTCTTGGATTTATGGTTGAGGCATGGATCTATAAGTTTGCTTTCGAATAGCAAGTTGATATGTGGTTAATTATTAATTTTGGACATAAGGGGTTCAATTTCATGGATCAATTAAGGAGTAATTTTTAAGGATAATACATCTTTAGCGTAGTTCCTCGAAGTGATGACATGATGAAATAATATATAGTGACTAAGAATAGGATAGTAAATATTAAAACTTTCAGCTTTTAAAAACTTTTGATATGGCATTACAAAACATGTGATAGTTATTATGCATAAAACATTATATTTATATCGAAAAATGGAACCATTGTGTAAATCTAATTAAACATCAATCTGTATTACAATTTACAATGTATTTGAATGATGTACCAAAGGCTTATACAGCAACTATTTGTTAATACAATGTAAAAATATTTGAAGAGTACGGTTGGTGTTGTTAATAGTACTAATTTTTTATTCATATAATACTTTGCACAATATATTCACATTTTCTTATGAATATTATAATATATCTTGCCCTTTGATACTCTTTTTGGAGTGATACAGAGACCCGCATTTTATTTTTTAGATAGCAATGAGAAAGTAGTCAACATGAAAGCCTTTGACTTGATAAATGATATGCATATGTGGACAAATAATATATATCATTTGTCAGATGGAATCCCAGGATATCAGTAGCAGGCTAAACTATTAAGAGTTAATCTAAGCATCAACTACCAAAGACACAAACTCAACATAATAATTATTTTCCATAAGTGTGACCAATATTTGACCACATAATAATAATAAGTGTTATAATTAAGAACATAATGCACAATCATCTAAATTGTGAATTCCTTAGATTGGGCATATGATAAGAATGTAGGAGTATCATACATGTACTTAAAGTTAAATGTATATGAAAGTCACTGTAAACACATATACATAAAATTCATTTTACGGGTAGGTTATGTTACGATAAACATATCATATAATATCTTTAATATATGTTTTATTTGGATGGTGGGTTTTACATATTTGACCAAGAAGTTTGATGACCTTTATAGTGATGAATTGCATAACTCATTTTAACTTAGTTTGTATGTTTAAATATGGATTGACATGAATAAACATAAATCTAACTTGCACAACAAATCCCTTAATATTTTTTGAAGCATTCATCTTATTTTTCATCTTAATTTTAAAATATAACATATCTAAAGAGTTTAAAATAATAATAAAACTATATTAACAAGTATATACAATCACCTATGTTATAACTCAGACTAATATATTTTCTAGACGGGCCATTTCAATGACATGACATTATTATATAAATAGCTTAATATCTAATAATCATAGCTGTGTCAACATATATAATCCAATACATAATATTAATAGTTTGTTTCTTATTGTGTGGCCTCAATAAGCCCAATGAAGAATAGTGACAGTCGACATTTCTTATAATTTCATTTAGCTTTAGTTATGATCATTTGTTGACTATAATGGCTTCATGAAAATTTGCAAAAGATGGATGTTATGTTTATCATTTTATGTCACTTTGTCATATTCATAAAGTTTTAATTGTATTTTAGGTACACTCTGTTTGCTCATATATTCATAATTGAGAATAGTTCGCGTGATACATCTTTAGTGCAGGAAAGTAGATTGCTACAAATTTTTTCTTCATTTGAAGAGTACATGCACACATGAGGCGCTCAATTTGGTGTCTACACTTAAAAAGTATTTTTAAAACTCTTATAATTCAAACCATGTCATATATATGATGGAAAGCAATATATCACTCAAATGCACCATAACTTAGATGTATATATGCATGCAATATATGCTATTTGGTGAATAAGCACAAGACACAATAATAATGGCTCCACTTAACTAGATCAACAAGCATATGATATAAATATACATGTGCAATCATAAATAAAAGTTATGCTAGATGTGTAAATATATTAATACACCACCAAGAATCGCCTTAATCAGGCACGAATCTTTATGCAAATCTAAATTTGGCGCATCCAGATTAAATTCGGAACTATCCAAACTCAGCTTCCAGCAAGCTTATAATCAAATTAAACATCTCAAGGAGACAAACTCAATGACATCAAATTTAGTCCAATCAGAGCCATAAATAAGCTCAAATAAAATGACAAAAGTATTCTTAAAAGTTTTAGAATATTAATTGGATGATCAAATGATATCCAAATATGACATGCTTATAGTCAAAGTGAGCGGCTCAACAAGATGAATCAAATGAGCCCAAGATCAAAATTTGATGATCTTGTGCTCGTTGGATTTGTCTTGTTGAGCCGCTTGATTCGACTATAAGCACACCATATTTGGAAACAGTTTGGTAATGCAATTCATGGATTGAACCTTCCAATTGTGCTTTGGTCTTTGATTTGGGCTAGTTTGGGCTCGGATTGAGTCGAATTTGATGTCAATGGGTTCATATTTTCGAGACGTGTTCTATTCGACTGCAAAGTTTGCTGAAATCGGAGTTAAGATGATCTCCAATTTAATTTTTGAAGTTTCCAACTTGATTTTTGCCTCGAGATTCATGCCCGATCTAGACAATTTTTTGATGATATATCAAGGACGATTAATTATAAATAATTAGTTGGTCATGATTAATTTTTTTGGGTAAAATTAGGATCATGATTAAAATTTGATTATTACTCCATTTTAACAAAAATAAATAAAGAATAATTACATGCTAGTATTGACTTGTTTAGAACCCTATCCAACGCAATTAATTTATAATCATCATTAAAATAACCTAAACCTGTACAAAGCGCTGGACTAATGGCCGTATCAATTATTGAACCGTAATGATTACTACTATAGAATTCGTCCGCATAGTTTTTGGTCAGCTGTCTCTTGGCTGTTCGTCTCATTACCATCCACATTTGAACGCTAATCAACAGCAGCACCCACCCGCGATGCTGTAGGTTTGCAAATTGTGGTAGCCAATCGGGTTCTCCCACGTTACATTCCACCCAGCGAGTCCCAGTTTGGGTCCTACGCGCGGTCTCTGTCTGACCTTCGCTAAGCTTCTCTCGTTGCTTCGTGTAGTTCACTTTCCCATTCTCTCACCCCATCCGCGGTTACGGGCGGACGCAACTCTCTCTCTCTCTCTACAATCTAGTCGGAGCCGCCATCCCCTCTCTCTGGCATATTGCAGATTTCTTACTCTGGTCCTTATCAGTGGAAAGAGAAGGGGAAGCGTCGTCGCATTGTTGCCGGACCAGGCGGAACCCTAGAACATCTTTCGCTAATTAGGCCGTTCTCTGTCCGTTGGCTCATTGCGCCATTCCTCGTGTTGTTTCTTGTGCTCGCAATCTTTGGTGGGATTTCTTGAATCTTTTCAACAGCAGCTGAGCAATCTCAATATTTTGTGTTTAGCCCCAAACTGCGGTGAATCGGGGGAGTTTGGTTTCGTGTGTTGTGCGACTAGGGTTTATATTTCTTCCTCCACTCCGGAAAATTTGATTTTTTTCTTGGTAGCATGTTGGGATGAGGTATATTGTGATAAGGCATCAGTAGCATACTAGCAGCTTCGCTCAAGGTTTGGTTGAGTCTTCTGGGCCTTGCGGCACTTCTAGTTTTTTTTTTTTTTTTGTTATAATCTGATTGTTCTGTCTCGATTTATAATTTGCAGTGAGATTGGCGAATTAGGTTTTCTGGAAGTGAAAGAATGGCTTTTATATACTATGTTATTGTTGCTTTTCCGTGCACGATTGGGGCGATAGCTTTGGCTTTGATTCATATTTATAGGCACCTGTTGAACTATACTGAGCCCACTTTCCAGCGTTACATAGTTCGCATAATCTTCATGGTCCCGGTAAGTGAGTGAATGTCGCAGAAGAGCTTTTGAGCTGTATAACGCTGTTTTACTCTCCTTTTCCCCACTTTTAGGTTTGAAACAAGTCCTCTTATTCTACACCAATGTAACATTTTTAGTGAATTGTTATTTGTTTTATGTGCAGTACAAGCAATGCCCGCTTCTGCTTATCCATGTAATATTTGATCGAACAATTCCACAGATTCTTTAATTTATCCATCTAGTATGTGATACATATGCTTTGCATGCATTGATACGTTCAGAGTTCCCATAATTGAACATGGCACATTCCAAAATAGTTGTTCTTTATGTGATTTGTTATTTCTTTTATCTGTTTTATTCTCATTGAATGCTGTTTTCTTTTTATTGCATTTAGTATTTAAGTTAAAGAAACGAGGATGATAAGCTCTTGGAGAACTGAATGTTTGGGGGTATTATTGCCCCATTAAACTTAGCAATTTAGATGTTGATAATCTCTAGGAATGCTAATCTTGGATGTGTTTGAATTTCAGGTCAAAAGATGCAGTCCGAGTTAACTTCTAGATTTTTATGATTATTTCTATTTATTAATAATTGAATTTTTTTTCCTTTTGTTGTTTTATGACAATCAGAATTTTCTTTGCTTGCAGGTTTTTGCTTTGATGTCTTTCTTATCACTTGTCTTTAATGACAGATCAATATATTTTGATTCAATTCGGGAAGTGTAAGTATCTTAAGAATTTGTTGTTGGAATTCATTATTGTATACTGTATTTTTAATTTGTTCTATTTCCTTAACTGTTTTAGAGAACTATCTATACAACTTAATGGTTTCAATAATATAAAAAATTTTCTATACGTGGTAGGAATTTGAGCATGAAACTCGTACCATAGATTGTGCACTTCAAAGTTTCACATTAGGCTTTGTGAGCATATAAAGCATTCCTTACTGCCTTGTATGTAATGTTTTAGTACTGGAAATAAAAGGGAAGTTATGACATATCGTTGAAAATTCACTATAATCTTGCAGTCTGTTCACTAAGCTTTTAGCATTTGCTCATCCTTTTTAGATTATAGATATACATTTACATTTTGTTCAAATCTCTCATCTTCAGCTCCAGATGCAAATAAAAAAGAGGCATAAATCCATTCTAGTGTAGGAATGAAGGAGATAATTGTCCTTTTGATTTGATTGTTATGCCATAGGGGGGACATGGGGATTGAGCATGCTAGAAATCATTTTATTTTTGTTTTTACTGGTAAGTATTGATTATTTTGTATTTGTTGGATTTAGTTTTAGGTATTGTTATATTGGCATATTCAGCAAGAAACTACTCCATGCTTTTTTAAGCTGTTTAGCATTGGAGATCTTAGTTGAAAGGTTTCTCTTGGAGGGTCATTAGGAGTTTCCATTTTTATTCTCTTTTTTCATATATTTTCAATGATGAGGCTCGCCCTTTGATGTTTGGTATTTTAATCCTCTATGTAAATTTGGTAGAACATTTTTGTTGTTTGTATGACCTAATATATTATTCTTGTTGATAAGACTAGAGAGGGAATTGAAGGTAAACTTGAATTATGGAGGTCAACCTTAGAGTCTAAAGGTTTTTGCTTGAGTAGATCTAAAACGGAATATATGGAGTGTAATTTTAGTAGTAATAGACCTAGTGAGGGGATTGTGACTTTGGGGGATCAAGTCATTAATAAGAGTACTCGTTTTAGATATCTTGGATCTATTGTTCAGAGTGATGGTGAAATAGATGGGGATATTATCAGCAGAATTCAAGTTGGATGGTTGAAGACTTGAAGTGGAGGAATGCATCGGGCTTGTTATGTGTTAGAAATGTACCCCTCAAACTTAAGGGAAAATTCTATAAGATGGTAGTGAGGCCTGCAATGCTTTATGGTGCGTTGTTGTTGTTGTTGTTGTGTATGACCTAGTATGCAACGCCTAAATCATACACTATTGCTCCAAGGTCATTTCCCATTTTAATACCACCTATTTGCATGTCAAACTGACGATCAATACTTTATTTCCTTGTTGTCTAAAAAATTCTAGCGAAGAAATGTTCTCTGATGTCGAAATTTACCTATTGCATGATGTTGGATTATAACAATATTTTTTGTCTTTTCCATGCAATTCTCCATTTAAGGCCACGATCATATAGGATTCATGATTTGCTATTATTTTTTTATGAGGAATTTAGGTGTTCTTTTTTATTTCTTTGTATATATTTTGTCCATTTTCATGGTGGCCTAATTTCCAATAATAGTTGAAATATATATTCCATGTTAATTAGTTACAAATATAAAGAAATCAACATTTGTAGATCTTTGTATGAATATATGTTTATTTTTACTACTAATCACTGTTAAATTTCATCAAGTATTAATAAAGCTAAATAATTCTGTAATGGTGATAGTTGAAAAATGATATTCAAAGGGAGGTGCCTTTTTCATGCCATTTATGTATAAAATATATTAGTTAAATGTTTGTGGAAATAAGTGGAAAGTTATGCCATTGGAGAATCCTTGGAAAATAAGGGGTTTATAATTAATTGATCAATCCCAGGCGTGATTTGTTTTAAGTATCTCAAATCTATAATATTGAGGTACAGAACTAAACGAGAATATATGTTATTGTGTTAGATTGAATGATAAAAATAAAATAGTATACAATAAAGAGACTTGAAAGTAAATTTTATAAAATCGGGATTAAATTTATATCATGTGGATTGAAGTGTTAGGTGACATAAAAATCATGTAAAGTTTATGTGTGGCAGAAATGATAATGTTAAAATGGATTTTTAAAAAATCTATAAGAATATATTGCATATGATTATGTAAAAGGGATAGTGAAAGTTTCACCTATTGAAAGTAAGGTAGTAGAAAATAGATTTAAATGAGTTTCCTTGTTCATTGGGGAGTAGATGATGCTGTGATAAGATGACAAGGTAAAATTAGTTAAGGGATTATATAGGAAAAAAGTTAGAGCAAAAGTAATATTGATAAGTCGTGCAAAAGTTTGCCACAAATTTAATTCAAGCTTTCAAGTAAAATTTGTCATGAGTGAACCAAAACTAAAAATTCATGAGTTGTATACCCTAAATGGTTGGAAAATAGATTTAAATGAGTTGCATATGATTATGTAAAAGGGATAGTGAAAGTTTCACCTATTGAAAGTAAGGTAGTAGAAAATAGATTTAAATGAGTTGCCTTGTTCATTGGGGAGTAGATGATGCTGTGATAAGATGACAAGGTAAAATTAGTTAAGGGATTAGATAGGAAAAAAGTAAGAGCAAAAGTAATATTGATAAGTCGTGCAAAAGTTTGCCACAAATTTAATTCAAGCTTTCAAGTAAAATTTGTCATGAGTGAACCAAAACTAAAAATTCATGAGTTGTATACCCTAAATGGTTGGGATACGGCTAATAATGATAATTTTTATTCTGTTTTTTTTTTGTAAAGCTAAATTTGGGCATAATTGTGTTGTAACTCATGTGTCTCTGTCATGGTAATGCAAATCCAGCTTTACATCTTGAGTTACACCGTAAGTACAAACGTCAGGAAAATATCTGGATTTAAAGCTGCTGGTGCTGTTTTAACCATTTAACAATAATAACTCAATCATGAGGGTCATTATATGCATGCAAATTGAGTTGTGTGATGCAAACTAGTTTTATGCTTTGCGTCACCTGACAATCAGCACGCTTCCTAGGAAAACTGACATGGCGTCACCATGTTTTTGTTAGAACCCAACATCGGGAAAATTTATTGAGTTTGAGGCTGTGGTGCTTTGTTTGTCATTGACAACAAAAACTCACTCGTGAGTGTCACTGCATATTTATGAGAACTACTTTGCCACTTGCATCACCTGGAATTTAGCTCGCTTTACCCAAAAAACATGCTGCCACTGTTTTGTATGGACCTCTTATTTCTCATTGCTGAAGTCCTCAAGTACAGATTAGTAGATCATATGGTTCTAGTAGTGGCTTAAAAGTATGATTCTCGCTGTAGATATTACATGATGTTTTGTTTTGTTTTGTGCGTGGATACAGATATGATTATGTAGCTATTTGGAATTACTTCATAAAGCTTCCAAATGCATTTTTTAATAACTGTAGATAATGGTGCATGCATAGTGCATATTTTAGTGATTGACAACCAAGATTGATGAAGTTTGAGTAAGCTCTAGACTCAGTTAATTATAGGTTTGATGATCAAATTTTCTCTGTTCCTAGAACTGCTTATGCCCATTGTCACTTTGGTATGCCCTTATGTGTCTTGCAAGAGATTTTTCTTATATTGGTTTGTCCTGGGCTATGGTGTCTTGTATGGTGCTGAGTCGGTGGAAAGTTTAACAAAGAGCCATTTTCATCATAAATACTAATATTTGTGAATTATTTGTAAACATATGAAGAATCATAACTATGGACCTATTTGTTTAGATTGTATAGGTTGAGGTGCACACTTGAGAGTTTCAAACTATGAGGGACCATTCACAACTCATGTTAAGGATCAAGGATCTCTATTTGGATTTTCTTTTATTTGATGAAACTGGCGTCTTGTTCATCCATTAACATGGCATTGGCACATAGTTAATCAAAGTCAGTTCTAATATCTTCCTAGAACGTTTTAGATGTCTTGGGTCAATTTTTCAAAGTGATGATTAAATAGATGGGGATATTATTAGTAGAATTCAAGTTGAAATGGAGGAAAGCATTAGTCTTGTTGTGTGATAGAAAAGTCTTCCTCAAACTTAAGAGAAAATTCTATAAGATGGCGGTGAGACTTGCAATGCTTTATGGTTTAGAATGCTGGCCATTAGAAGAGAGCATAATATTAAGTTAAGTGTTGTATGAGGATGCCCAGGTGGATGAGTGACTTACTCGTAGAGACAGGATAATAAATGAGCACATACGTGAAAAGGTTGGAGTGGCTCCAGTGGAAGATAAGATTAGAGAGAGCCACCTTAGATGGTTTGGTCACATAAAATGGCGGCCTTCTGATGACCTGGTTAGGAAAGTAGATGTATTAGATTTGACTTATGTTAAGAAAGGTAGAGGTATACCTAAAAAGGCTTGGTTAGAAAATATTAGAAATGGCATTTCTTTATTACATTTAAATAAGAATTTGATTCTTAGCATGACACAAGGGAGAAAAATGATTCATGTACGACACCATAGTGGTATAAAGGCTTGATGTTATTGTTATTGTTGATGATTGAGTAAACGTTTTCTGAAGAACAAAGCAGCATCAAATTTCAGCACAAGACACAGGCAGTCAATGCAATGGTAAAACAACAACTATACATGAAAACAACCGCATGAACACTTGTGTTATAGTACTCAGAAGAAGTCTGCTTTGACTCTAAGCTACTGGCATTGGTGAATTGAAGGCAGTGGCTTTCATGTTGATTACTAATAGAATTGTAGAGGAAGAAAGAGAAATAGTTTTGGGAGGAATTATCAATTTTATTTTTCTTGTTAAAAATTCAGGATACCAAGAAAGAGTTGAGATATTTGAAAGAGGTATTGAAGTGATTAGCAAGAACTTACAAGAGAAAACCAATTCCGCTAAGGAGAATACAAGCGAGGTCACCAAGCACTGACAAGAGAAGAACTTCTCGACAATATTTTTATTATTCAAAAGTTGAAATTTTCTATTATATCTAAGCACTATTTATATGAATTTAAAGTACAATTGGCAAACACAGCATAAATAAATTCTTTATCTTTCCTAAACAAACTCCACAAAATAGAAAATTTTATCTATTATAATAAATTATTTAATCCAACTAAATAATAATTTTAGGTGAAATTCAACACAAATTTGTCTAAATAATTTTAAAATTTCATCCTTACGCTATTGTAATTTGAATTCAATCCAACAATCTAGTTTTCACAGTTTTGATCTCCCTATGATGTTCACTTGATGATTTGACAATCTCATGATAATATTTTCTCCAATCTCAATGGTGTTATCTTATAATTTCTATTGTTTGTATATTTTTTAGAAAAATATTATTGCTAAAACTTCAATGAACACGGTTTGATTGATCTTTTTAAGATTTAATGCACAAATTATGAATATAGGAGATATGTTTGACCACCTATTTGATTTGATCCCTAGATTAAACAGTGAGGTAGCACTTTTGCTGTGGTAATTATTTGTTGTTTGAGATGAAAATTAGAAACAAATAGTATCTTAATATAGATGATGATGCAATAATTTCTACCAAAAATAACTTTTAGATATCTAGAACTATGAAAAATTACACAACTAATTGAAATCATGCACGTGGTAGAAATTAGAGTATATCCAACATGAATAAATTTTATCACTTGTGCAAATCAATGATAAGATTTATAAAAGAAAATCGGAAGGAGGAAAGATGTCATTAAATCCAGGCTGTTGCTTGTACCAAGGAATAATCTCTGGAAAATTTCAAGGTTCCCATTTGATCTAGGAGATGAATAAGAGGACTTGCACAGCTAGCTATTAATTTATTTAGAATTAGTCGATGCAAACCCTATCATATAATCACAATGTTGCCTTTTATCAATAATAATAAAAGAGTTTGTTAGCGAATCCCATGTACTCATGGCGAAAATCTCTCTATTTCTTATGTCAAGCAGGATAAGCCACATTTAATTAAGCATACTAATCTAATAAATAGGACAAGTCACATTATAAGACATCATATAACTAATCTTTTAACCATTTTGCCTGTTAGATTTTGGTAAGCCTCTCACCAAAAATTTCTTAAATATCTGACCATAATATTTATTGCTCAAGGAACTTAATTCAAAAGGAAGCAGACCCTATATCACTGCCAAATAGAACCCGATCTCAAACTTCCATAAAAAAATTCCAAAACTATTGAGGGATAGTGAAAAACTCCACAATTGCTAAATTTCTTAGGAAGTTGTAGAACAAAGCTTCATATCACTTGTATCAATATTGATAGAAATGTAGATGGTGAATCCATTACCAAAAACATGCCATGCAAAAGAGAGAAGATGGTGGAGTACACAATTTGAGCCAGTCAAATACTTTTATGAGAAAAATTAAGCTCTCAAATATAATGGTTACAAGTTTACGAAATTTGGTAGGATCAATGGGAATCATCATCATTGTGGAATTCAATTATAATTGCCTTTGTGCCATCTTTATTTGTAATGTTCGTCATGCTTTCTTATATGGAATTGGCACTGCTCCCACTTTCAATTAATAAAATATTTGAGATATATTTAAATAAAAAGTATTTATCATCATCATCAGAGCATGCCAGTTTTATCCCAACTATTTTATGGTTGGTTATGCGCAATTCTTAATAGGAGGACCAGAACAGGGACAATTCATTGCTAGATAAAATTGTTGCATCGAAAAGCGATATTGATGGTTGTATCAATTTGCTTTTGCAACAGAGGATGATGCGTAACTATTTTATTTATGGTTGTATCAATTTGCTTATGCAACAGAGGATGATGTGTAACTATTATATTTTACTCTAAAGGTTTAGTGAAAAGATATTGGTTTGTTTTTGTTTGATTTGGAATTTATAGTTGTTCCCATTCAGTGGTTTGAAAATTGAATTTTCTCCCATATATTTGATCATTGAGATTTCAGAGATGAAATCAGAATACTGTTTGTATTGATAAATAAGAAGTGAACTTATAAAGAAAAAAGTTTGCAAGTATATATCCATGATAAACTACCAAAACAACTTATTTAATAATTGCTACTTAGTAGTCATGTGAAGCTAACCACTTCAAATACCACACAATTGAGCAAATGAAGCTTTGGATTAGCAAATTTTTATTCTGCCCTTGTGCATGTTTCACTCATTTAATGTAGAGGATTGCTATTAATTTCTTACGCTAAGCAATTTATTTTTTATAAGGACGTAGGCTTCCTAATTAGTTTTATAGCATAATTGTTGGAGAACTAATATGCTATGCTTCTTTTACTCCAGCTACGAAGCTTGGGTCATCTACAACTTCCTTTCACTTTGCTTGGAATGGGTGGGAGGCGCAGGTGCTGTGGTTGTAAGTTTAAGTGGTCGAATGCTGAAGCCATCATGGTCGCTCATGACTTGCTGCTTTCCTGCCATTCCTCTTGATGGGTAGGTTGCTTATCCATCAAATACTGTTTGCACCATGCCATGGTTAACATGAATTATTGGTTATTCACGTTGATGCTGTGGATCAATGTTTTTCAATTAATCCGTTCTGACCCTCTCTTTAAGGCAAATATATCTGAAGTGTTTCTATTTTTCACAGACGCTTTATTCGGAGGTGCAAGCAAGGTGCATTGCAGTTTGTGATACTTAAACCAATTTTAGTTGCAATTACCTTCATATTATACTCAAAAGGGAAATATGAAGATGGGAATTTCAGTGTTAACGAGGGCTATCTCTATATTACAATTACGTATACAATTTCATATTCAATAGCGTTGTATGCGCTTGCCTTATTCTATGTGGCTTGTAGAGATCTGCTTCGACCTTACAATCCAGTTCCAAAGTTTATCCTAATCAAATCCGTCGTCTTTCTCACTTACTGGCAGGTATGCATAATAGTGTTCTGGTTAATGTAGAAAGGAAAATCTCTATACCTTGTCTGCTGTATTGGCATTCATCCGTTCTTCTGTCATTTGGTTAAATATATGCTGCGTTTTTTTTTTTTTTTTTGATGAACTTTGCAGCTTTGTTATAGCACTGATCAGTCATTTTTAGCTTAGCTGTAGCTTTATCGTAAAAAATTTTTGGAGCAAGGAGTAGGTTCATGGTTTTGAATATGCACGTGTAACTAGTCATAGCATCTTCATATAGAATCGTTATCAACTTCATATTTTACTTTGCAATTAGTTCATGATTTATATTATTAGAAGTTTATAACATAAAAAATATATTCTCTCACCATAGTAACATTCTACTATTTCTACTTCTAGTAATACCATCTAATTCTTGGCGAGCACAACATTACAACCCATATTTTTTTGCTTTGCGCAGATTCATTGATTTGCTAGTTTTTTTTTTCTTGAGTTTTACATATGTAAATAAGGAAGATTGGTGATTTATGCTTAATTTTCCCTAATAATAAACTGATTTGATCTGTTCATCATATGCCATTTCATTTACTGAAGATTGCTTGATGTCTTACGGAGCTATTCTTAGAACTTTTATTCTGATTGATCTCACCACTTAAGTATGCCTTTTGCTATTTGAGTGATTTCTTCTGTCCTTCAGAAACTTAGGCATGTGTAATTTGGTGGGACTTCTTTTTTCTGACAGTCTTTAGATTTTTTTTCCAAGTATATTCAAGGTTTAAGTTTCCATTTACTTAGTTTTCAAAAATTTTTTTATTATAAAATAAAATTTACAGTTGATTATGCTTTTTAATCACTTAAAACTGATATTTAAAATATACACATTATCGGAAACATAGTTTGATGGGAACACTAAAAGCTTTTTTTTGGCAAAACAAAAGTGGTACGTTTACAGTTTTTCAGTTAATAGGCTACCATCATTAATCTTGAGTTAAATTATAGCTATAATAGGGAAAAATTCCATATAGTCCCTAAATATTCTTATGTGGCCAATTTAGTTTCAAAATATTATATTTATTTAATTTAGTCTCTTGACTGAGGCACCATTTTAGATTAATTTTTTATACTCAAGGGACTAAATTTTTAGTAGTTATTTAACTGATCATTCGGAATCAAGTACAGCCAATAGACCAAATTGAAAAAATGCGATACTTTGATATTAAATTTTCTCATAAATAGTTGAGGGATTATTTTGAGCTTTTTTTTTACTATAACGGGTCCTAAATACAGTTTTAGAAACCGTGATGAACAGCAAAAGAGTTGTGTGCATGTATAGACACATGTAGCCATTAGTTTATGAGGAGGATTTGCATAATAACTAGCTATCTAATTAGCTACTATTCAATCAAGTTCTCACCGTGCAAATCTTGCATTTATGTTGTGTTGTAGGGAACATCTCATCTGAAGGGCCTTGCAGTTGATTTGACTTTCATTTTTATTGATATTCCCAGCACTATCAATATTTTTATATACTAACACGAGGAGGCCTCTATACTCTTTAAGTTTGATCAATGCTTGGAAGATATGTTAAGAATGTCTTCTCTTATTAAATAATGCTTGATGTATGGTGATAAGTTTTGATCTTAGATGGTTCATCTTAACATGCAGGGTGTTTTGGTTTTCCTAGCTGCAAAGTCTGGATTCATAAGTAATGCCAATGAAGCTGCTGACCTCCAAAATTTTGTTCTGTGCGTGGAGATGCTTGTTGCTGCAGTTGGCCACTTCTATGCTTTTCCCTATAAGGAGTATGCAGGTGCCAATATTGGTGGTTCTAGTGGTCTGATCGGCAGTTTTTCTCATGCTTTAAAATTTAATGACTTCTACCATGACACGGTTCACCAGGTAAACCCTCCCGTTTTAGTTTTTCACTCAGTGAGGGCATCTCCAACCGAATTCCAAACTCATGCGGCAAAATTTGCGGTATTTGGTTGCCGGTGAACAGTGCGACGCCAATTCACCTGCGTTATTTTTATGTCTCTACCGGATTTGTCGAAGAAACATGCCAAAGAAGAGAAAGACGGTTAACTTTTGCGAAGGGCGGTGTAGAATGGAGTTCGATTGGAGATGAATCACAACTTTTTTTTAGTTTCACTGCATTTTGGAGGGAAAAATGAGATTTTTCGGTTGGAGATGCCCTGAGTTTTTGTGTGCACTTATTTTCACTATTCCCTGAACGGAATCTTCTTTCCTCAGTTTGCCCCAACCTACCATGATTATGTGCTTTACAATAGCACAGAGAGCGATGACGGTGCAAGAAAATATCGATCGAGGACCTTCGTGCCTACCGGGCCGGAGATGGATGCTGTGAGAAAAAATAGACAGATCTATGGCGGCAGGCTTGATGATATCCAACTTTCTAGTGTCTCCACATCGGGTTCCAACAGTCCTGCTGTTTCAAATGCTTCAGCAGACATGGCTGACTTGGAGCTTATTAAATCATCCTTGCTGAAGGAGTCATCTGCTTCAGCAGCCCAACCATATGATTTATCAATTCTGCTAGATACTGAACTGTCAAAGTACCCTTCCAAGGTTCCCTCTGCTGAAGACCCAAGCAGAAGATGACCTTGATTAATTACTTCACAAGTTCATGCAAAAAAAAAAAAAAAAAAAACTTGTTTCCAAGGTTCTAAAGCTGGTGATCTGAACCACTCAATATCAATAGAAGCAGCTGTCGTTTGTTCATGACAAGCTGCAACAATCAATTATTAGTAGATACAGAAGATTTGTTTCCTTTGTGATTTGTATGACAACTGGGCAGGTTAGTGACTGATGGTTGTGTTTGTATATGGATCTTCCAGGCATTTTTTAGAATCGATTTCTTTGCGAGTCTCCCCTAATGGTTGGTAACCATACTTGCAATAATTTTTTCTTTTGCTCTTCATGATATGCACTAAACAAGTTAGGCCAGCAGGGCATCATTGGAGATTGGGAAACTTGGCTCGGTAGGTTTCATTGTATATTGGATATGGTGATTAAAAAACAAAGAAATTATTCAGTTTCATTTAAAATTTCAAGGGATTGTCAACTTGCAATTAGAAAATGTTCTAACCACTCAATCTTCTCGGAAATTTTGTTAGGATGATCTTTTGGCTATAGAATTTAGTTTAAAAGGAGTATAATATAAAATTAATCTGATATTATACACATTTGGTCATAATTGAATTAAAATGTTTTGGCTTAAAATTGTTACATTGGATATACGTTAAGTGCTGCAGAGATGAGGATGCTCAGGTGGATGAATGACTTTACCCTTAGAGATAAGATACAAAAGGAGCTTATATGTAGAGAGTCGCCATGGATGGTTTGGTCACATAAAAAGATGGCCTTCCGATGACCTAGTTAGGAAAGTAGAGTTATTAGATTTGACTTATATTAAGAAAGATAAAGATAGACCTAAGAAGACTTGGTTAGAAAATATTATAAATGATATTTCTTTATTAGATGTAAACAATAATTTGACTTTTAATATGCACAATGGAGAAAAAAGATTCATGTAGTCAACGTCACATGGTGAGACAAAAACTTGATGTTGTTGTTGTGTTATTGAAACTCAACACTAAGACATCTCATAAGCCCACCCATAAATACGATACAAGATGAGCATTCTTCAAGCAGGATAAAATTCTGAATTATATATTCAGAAACTATGTAAACTTGCTAAATCTCTCTAAAAGAACCAAAAAAGAAGCAGCCTTAAAACTTTTTTCAAACTTATTATGAGAAAAACTCTATTTGTACAGTTGTCAGCAGCAAATGATCGCTCAGAGCATACATTCTATGAGCATAAAATCAAATTTTCCACAAAAATATGGCTATCCTAACGGAAAATGCCATTGCAATCATGATAGACATGATCTCAATCACTTAGTCACCAGAATTTACACTCCCTTGATCAACATCTTTGCTCTGTAAAGTGCTCTGGCAGTTTGAACCACCAGAGTTCTCGCTTGTTACAGCAGCTGAACAATCATCTTGATCATGAAAGAACTGTCCAATAGATAGGGGGTTGTAGGTTGAACTGGCTCGGCGAAGGCCCTGTATTGCTTTCATTGCAGCTAGTGTGCTTCGACATATGTCGTCAGTATCCTCATTTAGGGATAATGTTTCAGCGTCTTTGTTCTTACTGGTTGATCTTGCAATCTTCTTTTCAGACGAGCCTGCATCAGTGACTTCAGCTTCCATGGGGAAAAGGAGTTCCAGGTTGGCTTCGCACTCCACGACTAACCTCGTGAGAGGCTCTGTAGTGAAGAAGGGTTGATGAAGAGCACGCCGAGTGAAAGGAAGACTCAGTAAGCCTCCAGTCCTTTTGTCATACTTCTTGAGTATCTTTACAAGGCCTGCCAAAAAACACACAAGACAAATTCTGCTGCTTTTGTTATTCATTACAGCTTGAGTGGAGTTGAAGTACTAAAATTTCTGATATACCTGCAAAGTTTAGGGAGCTATAGTTTTTCAAGAGCACCATCTCCCCATGGATGGTCACAAATGCCCTACGGATCTCCAACATTTCCTCACTAAACTTAGTGTCAGATGTAAACGCTCCTCTTTGTTTTGCTCTCAACCTCTCAATTCTTTCCTTGAGTTCCTGCCAAAGAGATGAAGTATAAGCAGAGTAAATTATATTAGAAGGTTCCATGATACCCAGGTGCAACCAAAAAGTAGGGAAGAAAGGTTTAAAAATGTGGAAGAAAGAGCCAAATCAAATAAATTACATGAGCGAGGCCTCTATGAGGTTTAGAACATTCTTTACTTTTTGCCTAGCACAAAATTCAAGTGTCACTTCGCCAGGGGTCATTTTTCTGGACCAAAATAATAAGCAAGTAATTCCTTAAAGAGTTTTCCATTAGGAACGGTTTATGCCCTACTCATTTTGCATAGAGATTTGTGCTATTAGAATATATCTCTATCAATGATAGAGATTTATAAATACAATTATCAACGAGTAAATAGGGGGAAAAAGGAATTCATTACAGTTTTTTGTCCCATTTTCTCACTTAAAAAATAAGATTTTCTCTTTTAATCAGAGATAGATAATGGAAGAACAATACTTAATACATGTCAATCCATAATTTTCTACATATGAATCTGTGAATTTTGTCCAACTTAGTAGCAAGGATTGCAAACGAATAAAAAATAAATTCAATCAACATGTAATGATGTTTATAAAAAGAGGTTTAAACATTGAAAGTACTGCATATGATGGTTGTAGCTGAGCAATTAGAAGTGATGCATAACTTTAACTGAATATCAGGAAAATCATTTAAAAACCAGTATAATATAGCATACTGAGATATAAAAAAATCTTCAAATAAACACCAGTAGAAGTAATAGCTTACATTAAAGTTGTTTTAACCAGAGAGGTTTCAGTGTCTCTCTCCAAGTACACAACAACAACAACAAAATCAAGCCTTTATCCCACTACGTAATGTTGGCTACATGAGTCATGTTACTCCATAGTGTTTTTGTTAAGAGTTAAATTCTCATTTAAATTTAATTAAAAAAAAGTTATTTCTAATAGTTTCTAGCCAAATCTTTTTAGGTCTACCTTTACCTTTCTTAACATAGGCTAAATCTAATACATCTACTCTCATAACTATCTATGGTGACTCTCTCTAATCTTATCTGCAACTGGAGCTACTCCAACCTTTTCACATATATACTCGTTTCACATTCTGTCTCTAAGAGTGAAGCCACTCATCAACTTGAGCATCCTCATCTTTGCAGCACTCGATTTAGTTTTATGCTTCTCTTTTATGGCCAACATTTTGTGTCATAAAACATTGCAGGTCTCAACACCATCTTATAGAATTTTCCCTTAAGTTTAAGGGGTACTTTTCTATCACACAACAGGCGCTTGAATTCTATTAATAATATCCTCATCTATTTCACCATCACTTTGAATAATAGACTCAAGATATATAAAACATTTAGTCTTATTAATGACTTCCCAAGCTCTCTTCCAATAAACAGAAAAACAGGAAAAGTGATTTTCTTTGTTCAGCATTCTTATAGGCTTAATTTGTTATACAAAATTGAGGATGTCTGGTAGAGCCAAGTCATAAAGTCAAAAATCTTACAATTAAACTTGAGAATACATGATAGACTACCCCCAAAAAAAAAAAAGCTGACCGGCTGAAAAGATCCTAATTGATGTGTCAGAATTATGGAAGAAATTACTGCAGGGAAGAACAAATATCCTGCCAACAATTAGTAAGCACATGATTTTGTTGACTGTAGAAAAAATAAACCTTCATAAGTTCGACACAACATCAGAAAGGAGCTAGTGCGGGACATTGCAGAATTTGCAACAAAAAGATAAACAAGGATGGAGATGTAAAAGAAATATTTTAAAAACCCAGGTTATATAAATAGACATGGATAAAAAATCAACAGAAATGATAGCTGTGAAAGGGAACAATAAAGCTGAATCTAAGAAGTTGTAGTAGTGCTGTTAATAACAATCATATAAGGTAAAGACAGACGCCCATACATGTATTTGTATCTCAGAATCAACATCAGCAAAACAAATGATACATGTCTTGGCCCTCTCAGACGCTAATGAAAATATAAAGTTGACATAGGATCCAAAGCGACAACCACCCAATATATTAATTCCCTAATAACAAGATAATCAGAATACTTAATTCTAGGTACCATTCTAATAGGAAGTAGATGTAATTTCAGCCGAAACTAGCGAACGACAATAAGAAATTAGGAAGAAGAACACACCACGACTCTTTTTATTACAAGATATATGATAGAAAATAGCATGATACAATTAGGATCTTCAATTGGAGAGGAAGATCTGTCTCTCCCAAATCCCTAGCCGCCAGCAAGAGCCCTCACAATCTACAAAATTCTAATTTCAGCAAACACAAGTACAATAAAAAAATAATCCTATGATTAGCCCTAAATATGCTCCCCTAATTCCCTCCAAAATCAACACTTTTTCCTTAAATGATTTCCTCTCAAATTTGAATATCTTTCCCCAATTAATTCTCTAACAATTTTAATTAAAACCTTCCTAAATATTTCTACCTTTATTTCTCCTTCTTACATATTGGATCATAGCTTTCTTGGGCCCCACAAAGGGGGCCAAACCCCCCTCCTTGCTCTGCTGATTCCCACCCAACATTTTTGCTAGGTTCGGTTTTTGGTTCGTATGGTTTAAGCAGGACGACGGGCTCCCGCTATCCAGTGACATAACACTTTCACCAAACTATCCATGCAAAGGGTTAAAGATTCAGATAATTCAAGCAAGGATTAGTTGATAGAATAATTTCAAAAGTATCATTCTCTAGGTTCATCTGCTGCCACAAGCTATGTGAAATAGAGAAAAGGTGCACACATTTCAAAGCTGCTTGAACATTAAAAAAGCTAGCTAACAACATCTTGAATCTAGAGAACCAGACTGAAGAGCATGCACTCACAACGTCATAGTAGTTTTAAGAAAGAGGTGTGGAGTGCTAAAGGTGACCATACAGAAACTTCCATGATGCAATAAGTAGAAACTAAGATGCACAGTGATTGGCAGACCTTTCCACTGCATAGACAGTCCTTGTCCCCATTGATTCTCAATTTGCAGAGAATATCTAAATTCCAGATTATATGCACCATCCTAACAGCAAATCCGCTCCAGTACCAAAAATATCCACTTAGAGACCAGCATAGTTGAAGTTTCACAATTACATTTCTAAAATTTCTTTGTCGAACCAAAAGTGGTGAAAAATAGCTTCAAAGCAAGCTAATGAGCAATCATCTGCCTTTTTCTTAAATGAAATAAAAATTATACGTGATTAAAAAAAGGACTTATGAAATTGGTTGAGCATCATATCACAAAATGTTTCTTTACATGATATATTCAAATACTTCTGTGTTTAATGCGTTTGCGATATTTATGCAGTAAAATAACGAGATATGACATGAACACAGGAAATTGACTGAGCATCATATTACAAAATGTTTCCTTACATGAAATATTACTTCTGTGTTTAATGCATTTGCTAATTGCTACATTTATGCAGTAAAATAAAGACATATGACCTCCACACTCTTTTATGACAGCCGAGTAAAATAACTCACTTAGGGGCAACCAACATCTTTAACAATGTAGCCCCTAAAGTTATTTTTAGTAGATTTCTATTAAGAGGGTCTAGCACCATGGGGCTCAAGTAAAGTTTAGGATACTAATGGATGGAGATCCATCAACTCAGAATCTTAAGCTGATGGCCCAATGGTAATAACTCAACTCTTATTTTATTTTTTAAGAGGGACTATTTAAGAGTTGCCTACTTTCGGATCTTGGTCAACCATGAAAGAAATTGCAAAGACTCATGTATAATTCTTGAAATTCCTAAATAATCTCAATTATACCCATGGCGCCATTAAAGAGTATTGGAGAAGAAGGTTTGAGATGAGATGATCCTACAATCTCTCAAATTCCTCTTGGGAACTCGAACTCTTTGAAGAGGCATGTGGCTCAATTCAACAAAGCACCACATGATGCCATTAATGTGACCAATCAATAACAAAGGCTGCCTTATCTTATGAATTCATTCGAGAACATCCATATTTTTTGTATTCAGAAACCCTCTCGAGTCCTTGAAAAAATTATTTTGCAAAGCAGTTGAGTATATATTAATACTATGGAATTTGATTTGGATACTAAATATACTCTTAAAAGGTCTTCGTCCCTTTCAAAAATGAGAAAAGACTCCATTTTCTTCTTGTTTTGAGAAGAAAGTTTATTGAACTTATTTTCTCCAACTGAAGAGGAGGTCAGTTTGCAGAGAAACCATGATTTGAAGAGGGAACATCTAGCCTTTCCTCTAATTATATATGAAGATATTGAATTGCCACTCTTGAATTGATCATTGTACACTAATAAGGAGTATTTTAGATGGCTGACGCCTATGAATCGGTTAGTAAAAGGTCACAATAATACTACATTTTACATGTAACAAAATGATTATAGCCGTGATACAGACAAATGCTGAGTTCTAAAAGCCTTCTTGCAGAAGCTCATTAAAAAGAGCCATCACAAAGAATTTCTTATTGATTGTCGACAAGACAAACATCTAAGAAAATCCTTAGGCAAAGGGACAAAGTAAGTCAGATGTAATCACAAGAGGAGCTAAAGGTGAAGCTATACAACTAAGTAGTTTAAAGAAACTAAGTTTTTATGAGGTCAATGCATCCTATGCCTCTACCCCACTTTAATTTTAGTAATAATGATTTGTTATTGTATTAAACAACTATAATGATGCAATAATTGTGATTGTTATAATTGATTGGTTCAAAGTATTGAGAATTTGATTGAGACTCATAGTTTAGTTAACATAGTAGTTTTATTATCTTGTTGATGAGATGTCATCAAAATTTTAGATAATTTGACGAGTTAGTAGTCGGTTTTTCTAAAGAAAAGATGTTTTCGCGGAGTTATAACCCCATAAGTCATTGGGTATATAAATATTACTTGAGAAGGCTAGTCGATTTCAAGGTTATCAGAACACCATTGACATACAATTGCATTGTTGGTTGTCCTTCACCCAACTCTTTAAAGCCAATAGAATTGACGAGGCATATTACTGTCAAATTCCCCTATCTAATAATATTGTCACCATTCAAAGCGACTTAATTGAATCTAGTAAGTAAAACTTAATGTTATAAAAGATGACAACTAATTCTCTATGTGAATATAATTTTCAAACTCAACTTGCTCATTTATTATGAAAGAATATATATATATATATATGTATATATATATATATAATACATATATATATATAAAGTTTGAGGACCATCTTAACAAGCTAGCCTTAACACCAATACCAGCTTCTAGACAACTCATGATGTCTTATTTTTAGTCTCATCAAATCAAGGGAGTGACTGACACTCCTCCCCAAAAAGTGCTTAAGAAGCTCAAGTTTCTTCATAAAATAATATATTTAACTCATTGAATGTGAGATTAAATATCTATTGAAAATATTAATATAAGTTTAGGTAATTGCTGACTTTATAGAGGTGACGATAAAATGGAAAAAAAAAAAAGAAGGCCAAGAAGAACAGATAAAATGGATAATGCACACTAATGGTGCAATTAGTGAAATCATCATTTCAATAGGCTATGTCCTAAAAATTCCTTAAGGATCAATTTTCTAATGTGCAGCTAAGATTTTGCTTCAAATAGCAATCAACCAATTTGAGTATGAAGCTCTCCTTGCTAGTGTCAGACTCATAAATGATGCTGGAGCAAAAAGCTTAAGCATCTTTAGTGACTTTGAACTCATAATGAACCATATTCAACGGAAATATAATCCCTACATTGATGTGATATATAAAAAAGGTACAAGCTAAAGTTTTAAAGTTAGAAATATCAAATTGCACATAATTTTCAAGAAGAAAACATAGTGGTTCTTCTTACAAAATATGGCAATCTTCATGCCACTTCAACTTGCGAGCTAGAGCATTTATATTGATAGTGAGGAAAATATGCTGCTCATTTAAGGTGAGTGCTGGCATACTCCTATCTACAACTGCAATTTTCAAGGAACTTTGCTAGAAAATGAAGTTAGTGGCCAAGCTTTACGATACACATCAATAAGGTATTTCATCTCAAATGAAGGCTTACTAAAAAAATCCACCTAAGGATAATATTGATGAGACTTTATCCACAAGTTCAAAGAAGTCTACAAGAGGGAATGTGAAACCATTCCAAAAGCTGAAAGCTATGCAAGAAAGTGCAAAACTATCAATATCATGGAAGAATCATTCACCAAGTCAAAAATTTCAACTCATAGTCTCTTATGGTTATTTGCCTTGTGGGGAAATGGATTTCATTGGTCCCTTTTTCATGATATCTAAATTGAGGCATTTTTTCGGTATTAGTTGATTATTATATAAAGTGGGTAGAAAAACTAGCATTAGCTCTCTCAACAATAGAAGCACTTACTTTCTTGTGACAAAAATATTCATTCATTTTGGTCTATCGATTGCAATCATCACGATTAATGGATCACAATTCTCCAATAAAAAGTTATTAAATTTTGTGTAAGCAATAGTGTCAATATGAATTTCTTATTAATTCATCATCCACAAACAAATGGGAAAGTTGTAGCTACAAATAAAGGCATACTCAATTTTAATAGATGAAGTTCTTTGAAAAACAAAAAAATTGGGATGATGAACTAACTTCTATTCTTTTGGCTTATAGAACAACACCCTCAAATGATACTAATGATACTCCATTCTCTTGTGCCTATGAATGTGAAGCAATAGCTCCAATGGTGATTTACAACCCAAATGCTAGAACACAAGAAAACATTCCATTACCTTTACAGAAGATATTAGATTAGCTCAGCAAGAGTGATGAAACAATGCTTGATATGCTAGATCTATTGGGATACGTAAGATTATAAACTATTGAGAGAATCATAAGACATAAAGCTCAAACTATAAAATTTTTAAACTCAAATTTTAGGCTTAAACAAATTTTCCCGAGTAACTTAGGTTCTTGGAAAGGCTGAAGTATTAAGGAAGCACAATGATACAAGAAAGTTCTCTGTAAATTGGGAAGGGCCCTACATCATCCAAGAAACAAGCAATGGCACATATAAGCTCCAAGCTAGTGATATAGAACTACTTTCAATAACTTGAAACTAAATGATCTTAAATTATTTTCAGCTTAAAATAATAAGGACTAATCCTTATTCGATTCTATGTAGAAAACCATAGATAATCCTACTATACAACGTTTCTAGAAATTTTATCTGCAAAACAATTTCACCCGGACAATGCTTCTTTTATTTATTCACTCTTATGAACAAGTCAAAGGGGTTTTGTGTTCTTTTCATCATGGAAGATTCAAGCAGGCTTATACACAGGGGGAGGTTGACAATCATAGAGGAAGAATTCAAGGAGCACTGAAGATATATTTTAAAATCCTAGCCTATTTACATATTTTCAAAATTATAGATTTTTGTGAGTGAGTGTGTCGGGGAAGGGGGAGGCCCAAGATAAGCCCAATATATTGCTGGATGGACACTCTTCAACACAAAAAATTATGGTAACTGCAAAAGCTAGATGGTATGGGGTTTGAAGTGCCTCAAAAAGACATTATAGTAAATTGAAACGTGAAACAAAAGCAGTGCTGAACATATTATAACTATCCTTCACAATACAAAAGCAGAATATATCATCAATTAATAGATATGTAGCTCAAGTTATTTTCTTCAATGTTATGTCCAGATACAGAAAACTCAAGATTCATCTTCTTAGTCCATTCAGCCATGCAATTCACCGAATAAAAAATTGGCAGACACAAAGAAAACCCAAGCATATACATTCTGTAAAGCTCCACAGCACACAGACCCAGGCATTTTTCCTACACATCTCTCTACTTGGTATATTAAGTCATAATTTATAAACAACTTACTTAATCTTACTAAATCAATTCAAACTTCGAAAGGGACAATCTTAAACCGGCCTACAGTCCATCCCCAAGCTATCTACTTCATCTCGAATGTCAACACAGCCACAACCCAGAACAAGCCATATCCCAGATTCCGATCCCCTTTACGTACAGAAAGAAAAAAACCACAATCACAATAACAATTCAATTATGAGAATTAAATCGGAGAAGTTCAAATAGCACGTATCCAAGATAGAAAAAAAGGTTTCACCTGCAAGCGAATGACGAACTCCTCCTCCTTGTCCACGTAAAAATCATTGAACTTCTCGAGCTCCTCATCAAGGATTCGCACAAACCATTCCTCGAGTCCGAACCAGGGGTTGCCGTCGGCTCCTTCATCGCCGTCTGGTTGAAGGTTTTTGATCAGCTTCTTCAAGGGCTTGTAACTGAGGAACTTATCCCGCCATTCCGGCATCGTCTCGTCGAGGTGAGTCCGAAAATCCTTCCCAAACTTCATCGTCTCCACTGAGACAAAAACCCTATGGTAGCCAATTCGCCAATCGGACGAGAAGAGGACCAAAGCTGTAATCTTGCTGCAACCTTTTAGCTTTTTAATGCCGTGTGGATGAATTTTTGTAGAGAGAGCGGCGGGGTATATTCTGTCGGCTAAGGCATTATCCGTTAGGATTTTGGAAATAGTCAAATGATAGAAGTTCGAATTTTTCTTCATCCAATTGGAGGAGTTAAGAAAATTATATATACATTTTTTATTTGGGTGTAATAATTTGTTATATTGATGTGTCTGATTTATTAACTTAACATAAAATGCTCATAGGTCAATAATTTTGTTATTTTGCATATTTTCTATATTGATATAAAATTTTTATTCATGTGGTTTAACCTATATTTTTAATTTCATCAAGAAATGATTTCGTAAGATTAATTTATAGAAGATTTACTATCTATTAAACAATTGATTAAAAGTTGATACATCTTTATTAGGCATGAATTTTGAGGCATATTAAAATTGAAAACTTTCAATATTAAATTTGAGATCATTTGAACTCCAATAAGCAAACTCATAGTCAAATTGAATGTCTTGATGAGACGAATCAAACAATACCAAAATTGATCCAATCTGAACCCAAATGGGTCAAAAGCAATGGCTCCAATCATATTTAGAAATTTCAAAATATTAATTAGATGATCAAATGACTTTTGAATATGACATGCTTATAGTTGAATCAAGTAGCTCGACGAGACAAATCCAACAAGGCTGAGATCGCTTAATTATGACATCATTAAGATACTAAGTGATGACAACATTAAGACACCCAAATGTTGAATGAATGCTCTATAATTGAGAGGATCAATATGAGCCATCCGATGTAGCATTCTGAATTTACCTCGGATCTTCTCCATATTCAAATAGCATGCCCCTCTCAAAATCTATAAATAAACTTCTAATCTCTACATGAAGAGGACTTTTGAGGAGGAGGCTTATACCTTGAACTAGAGATCAAGAGAGCTCCAAGACTTGAAGAATCTCGAAGCTATACTCGACTATGGTCCCTCCAACCTCCGTTGCCAGACTATGATCCCTCCGACACTCGACTATAGTCCCTCCAACCTCCATCGATGGAATGGCGGTGCCTCCAACCACAGTTGTCTGCCAACTACAATCTCTCCAACCACAGCCGCACGACAACGGTCCCTTCGACCTCTACCACCCGTCGACTATAGTCTTTCTTATGACACCGCCATAATCAATATAGGGTTTTACCTGTTTAACAAATTTATATATTCTATGGCGAAATTTAATTTTGAAAGCTTACAACAAGTCTATAGATTCAAAAAAAAAAAATCATATAAATGATGCATAATTGTAGGATGGTCACATTTCGTTCTTCATGTAAGAATAACTAATAATGTCAGTTATGTTATATATATATGTATTAGCTGTATATTTGAAGTAACTTTCGATGTAGTATACACTCTTGAAGGGCTTATTATATTCATTGTAGTTATCATATATGGTGAAATTTCATCATCATACGATCAAAGAATAATAAGATAATGTCTCCCTTAAGTTTATTCAGTTGTTTGCCCGTACATGAGTGACTTAGGTTATTGCGGGAGTTTTACTACAATAACTAGTGACAATTACCTCACTAATGTCCCATGTGAATGATTTAAACATGCGATGTAATAAGGAACAACCCCACAAGCTTTTTTAGCAAGGTCTTATGTAAGCTTTGGTTTATTGCCTCTTAAACTAGCAATAAATAGAATAAGCGATATTTTCTCCCCATTTTTACATGAATCAACTACTCTTACCAAGAGGAACATTTTGAGATAAACAATATGTGGGCTCCAAATATTCCATTAAGTGTGATCCCAGTCTCTCCACGCCATCCGTCTATTTTTATTTTAAGTGTTTGTGTGACGATGACGGTAGAGAGTTTTAACGAGATTAGGTTCGGAAGGAATTTTCAGAAGGCAGATTGGGTTTTAGATAAGACACTACCCAGAGATTTTCCCCTCATTTCGCGAGGACTTTTTGATCTGAGTTCTGGTTTCCTATAGACGCAAGCCCTATAGTTAATTATCCCTCCTGATAATAGGAGAGAACTTTCAATTAAGGCTAGTAGTTAAAGGGGTCGAATATGTTATAAACATATCGTATAATATCAATAATTTTAGGGTTTAAATTTTGAATTTGGAAGTTTGAAATTTAGAGTTTATCACAACAAACTTAAAACTTGTGGTGGGGGAATGAAGACGAGCCCGATCAAGATCTCATGGTTCCGTCGTCCAGGGATGTCATGATCCCTGGTCTACTTAGTCAGAGGAGGTAGTCGACCCAACCTGACAAAAGATACCTTGTTGACAGCCATGGTTTGCTTCATCCAAGAAAAACTTGTAGACCTGAGTTGGTATTTGTCTAAGTGGATATATATGAGTCCACCTTAGCTGGCAGAGGGCTTGATGCCTATCGAATATACCATATGATTCATAACTCAAGAGTTTGAAGCCTTTAGTGAACATACGGGCTTTGGCCGTGATCGTAATATAATGGTGCCATTTTGCAGCAAAATCACAAGATCAGAGGGCACGTGCCACGTCTCTGTTGGCAAGATACTATTTGAGGATGAATCAAAGTGATACACCCGACATGCATTTGCTCTTTGTGAGCTGAGGTTAATTTTCAAATTTATCGCTCTCGACAAACGATTGAGGAGGTTGATGATTTTTAGTTTTAAGTTTTTTAGGTGATTGATTTTATTTTAAAAATTTGGGCTGTTTGTTTGTTTTGAGATTTGAACAATCTTGTTGAGATTTTCGATAAACACGGCCATCATCGGGGTGACTTCAAGGTCACTTGTATTTTTGTAGGATTTTGGGAGGCATTTTGTAATTCAAGTCGTGTCGACTCCGGTCCTTTCAAGGAGGAGGATGAAACTTAAATAACTGACCCACGCAGCATATCGAATCGTTAGATTTGGGACTTAGATGTGATGATTTGAGCACATGCGGGTTGTAGCATTTGACCATGCGTAGCATTCTCGGTCATTAGTGTTTATACTTTTAACATGTTGACCAGAGCACATGCAGGATAATTTAGTTTAAGAGATCATATTTAATACATAAAGGGTATTTTAAAATATTTAAATATGATCCATTTGCACAAGTGATTTGTTTAAAAAAATGCCCAAATTTTCATTTAAGGGTCTACGAATGCCTTCTATCTGCTTGTACACATGTTGCAGATCCGGTGGCGTTTGTGCTGCAAATTTTTATTGAATCTATTCGTGGGTTATCCATGAGTATTCAAGAGTTATAAACTTAACTTGTATATAGGCTATCGTGTATATCATTGTGACGCCCCAGACATCCATAGTGAAAGGATTCGTCGACAGTCTTGATCAATCTCCATTCCTGCTCCCTTGCTCGGACCTGAAATTGTTAACCACATATAATGAGCTTAAATAGCCCAGCAGATCACCAAAGCCTACAACTGAAATCAAAGCACGACACGAAAATAATATGCATGTCAATCAATCTAATCATAGCAGTCAGTTGCACATGATCAGTGAATCAATGCAGATACGAAAATCAGTACATAAACAGTATCGATGCAGATAACGAAAATCAATGTATGAACAGTAATCAGTACAGTAACAATAAGAAACAGTAAACTCCTAAATCCACAGTAGAAGAATCAATAAGCAGTTCAAAGGTCCGTAAAGCTCAATAAATCCAAAATCAGTTCGTGCATCAAATCTCGTTAATAGTCGTCTTAACTATCACATCAGTCTATAACATCAGTCAGTCAATGTAGTAGAATCATATCAAAACATATGCTTGCAAATCAATCAGTTATTCAATATAACTTTCTCATTAAATCATATGCAATCCAGTAATCGATATCACATGTTCAGTAAATCATATATCATTTGATCAGTATCTCAATCATTACAGCAGCGTATGTATCAATATCAATAACAATCCAATGACGACATGAATGATTATGCTATAACAGATGAAATCAAATCAATCAGATCAGTAAAATAATTAAATAACGTCCGGACGACTTGCTCTCTGGACAATTTTCGTCCAAACGGATCGTCCCGACCCTTACAGGTTCGTACAGACGAAATTGACAGATTCTTCACAATTTTCTTCAGTTCATCCCGTACTAAAGCCAGTTCGTACGGACTAACTGCACTAAAAAAAATCAGATTTGGAGGGGGTTTTACAATCATGAGCCTTTTTATTATTGCTTGCAAGTATTGGCATTCATCACAACTTGTTGCCTTGGATGTATATATCATGTACTACACATATTATAAACTTAACTTGTAGTTGATTATTATATCTATAAGTATCTTAAATTAGCAAGTAGTCATTAAACCTCTAATCACCGTGGCATAGCTTTTAGCTTTTTAGATCAACACAATTAAATGAGTTGTCTAGTATATTTGAATCAAAGGTGACATCTCCTTGCATCGACATAACCCTTTAAATAGATCTTCTTAAAACTATTATTTATCAATTAGGAGATATTTATCCAATAGAAAGAGGCTAAAGACAGCTCTAAGGTTCTTAGTTTGAATAAAATTTCTCAAATTTCTTAAAGAACCATCTTCAAGCATACATTGCTAAGACAGATGAGATGCACGATAAAAATTTTCAAGCAAAGACTATAGTGGAATGATCTTGATTTGGCTGAAAGATGCATCAAATCAAAATGCTTTGATTTTATGTAATCTCAAAACTTTGTTGCCAAAATTTCCTTGAATAATCAACTAAAGTTAAAATCAATTGTTAATTTCCTTGAATTTTTAAAACAAGATTGTGTTACTTGCCATTAACACAATCTACACTGTTAGGTTTGGATCAATTTAATGTTATTATTTTGATTGAATAATTTGATTCATTTTGACTTATCATTCATCACTTACATGCAATTTGAAGGTTTGTTCTCCATTGATCACATCAACTTTAAATAGAGTCAGATCTGAGTTCAATTTGAGTTTATGTCCAATATTATTTGATCAAATTTTAATTTAAAATTGATTTTATGTTTAAATTTTGTTCAAATCAATTTTTTCAATTTTTTGTCCAAGTCACGTATTGTTCAATGAAAATTTCGGTAGCCTCCCGACGTCTCCTCCCCACCGAGGGAGAAATCGGGACGGCATCTGCCGAAATTTCTTCCTACCCGGACCTAAGGTCGACGACGTAGGGTCTTCAATTTTAAACCATTCCATCAGGATCTAAGATCGACTGCGTGAGGTCTTTGAATTTTGTTTCATCCTGCCCAGATCTAAGATCAATGGCGCGGGGGCTTTGAATTTTTAGAACTATCTGCCCGAATTAAAAATCAGCGGAGCAGGTCTTCAATTTCAAACCATCCCGATCGGACCTAAGGTACGACGACCGGGGTCTTCGACACTTGTTTGAAAATTCTTTTTTTATTTTATTCTATTATATATATATAACATAATATATCATATAATATATATTATATAATATATCATGTAATATATCTGTAATATATATATATATATATATATATATATATATATATAAGGCCGGCGACAGTCGGCTAGGGCACAAGTTCGGACACGAAGGCAAGCGGCTGGAGTCCCCGAGATCGAGAGGTAAGTCGTGAACCTCCTTTCTTGAGTTTCTGTGTGTGTATATGTGCGTGAATGAGGGAATGAGAGAGGAGTTATTTTTATGTCGTGAGTGAGGCGGTGGTTGAATCGTCGTGTCCGATCCTAGGTGAGTCGGTGGTTTTGGTCGGGAGCGGTTTTGTCCGATCTGGAGCTGGTCACGTGCAGCAGTTACAGTCAACACAATACACAAAATATTGAAATTTCAAGGGTGCAATTAATATGAAAAGCTTTGTGATTTTGAAATGGAATGTATAACAAAGTGCATGCCTACACAATTAGAGGCCTTAGACATGCCATTCATAATGAGAACTAAGAGGTTAGTTAGGTTGCCTCCCAATTACTTACAAAGATAATGCCAACCAAAATCCTTAGTAGAGATTCCATTTATCTAGTGTAGGTAAGGATAATTTTCATTTATTAAACCTTTAAAGTTAATAGATAGAACTATTCATAAAGTAAATATTTTTGGATTTAAACTTAAAAAATGAGAATTAAAGAAAGGAAATTAAGTGATGTTGCGTCCTGGAGTATTCGCGGCGGTAGAGAAATATAGTTTAATGTCTTAGCATTGTACGAAGATCCAGCACACAATCAGATAAGTGAGAGGGTGTAGCATTCATAAGAGACACCAGAGTTTTTTACGTGGAAAACCCCTGAAAGGGGGAAAAACCACGGGGCCCGATCGAGCTAATTTTGCATGTTGTATCAAGTGATAATATTTCTCTAGAGAATTTTGCTCATCTTCCAAAAAAAAAAAGGAATTTGCATAAGTAAATTTCAAATAAAACCCGAACTACCTTTATTTTAATAAAACAATAAATATTAATACACTCTCAATCCATATCCATATCTTCCTATAATGTCTACAATATATCTTTTTAAACTTTAATCAACAATGAGATCAATATGTATATATATATCTCAGAACTCACACTAATACACATATAGGTATCTTTCTTTTCACTAAATGAATCAAACTATTCTAACCCAAAAGTTTCCTCTAAATCAAGATTACTTTATTTAACAAAAAATGCAGTAAGACAATAAAACAAAAGGAAATCATAATATGCAATTATTTCATTTCACACCAATTTTACAGCAATATAAATAACATCCTTCATGATATATATGCCTATCATAGGATCACAAAAGCTGAAACATCCTAGCAAATTATATAGTTCATTTCAATTTGTGTGGACAAGCAAAATAACTTAATTTTTTTTTCCTCCAAGAGGGGGCCGGTTGAGAAATCAAGTAGAAGCACCAATAGCTGCATCCATCTCTGTAGAGTTCTTTATCAAGTTCTTGCTTGAAGGCAACCCAGCAACGACATTCGCTTCAATGCCACATTCATTTGTCCCTCTTAAAATCTTGAAATAGCCATCCTGAAGAGAAAACATAAAAAATTTTGATAGACAAGTGTTACCAAAACTAAACCATACACAAATTTTGCCAAGTCTTATTTTGAAACATACATCACCCCAATTTCTATTCCACTGGTTAGCAAGTAGCTGCAAAACAAATATAAGAGATAACAAAAAAATTGTATCAGAATTGGATTTAATCTGTAAAATGTAAAAGAAATGTGTGTGTGTGTGTGAGAGAGAGAGAGAACTCAAACCCAATAATCTTCTCCTTGCTCACTAGTACCCCATCCAATTAGCTTAACAGCATGTCCACCTAAGACATCACCTGTGATATATCTGTAAACTCCAGATTTGTAGTGGGCAAAATCCTGTTTATAAGAAACTAAAAATCAGGTGACCTGCTTGATTATATTGTAAGATCCATTATAATAAAGTAAAATTAAACAATGAAAATTTCTATCTTTTGTGATCTATCGTTAATTTCTACGAACTATCAAATCAGAAGCACATGAGAGATTCTGAACAAATAAAAAAAATAATGTTTGATAGTCATTATCTTTAGCTTTTTTTAACTCTTTAAGGTAAAATTTAAATAAAGTAATCTTTTATAAAGGGTATTATCCAATTTATAAATCTGGAGTTTTATAAAGGGTATTATCCAATTAATAAAGATTCTCATTTAATTTGTGTTTTGTGTGTTATATAAAGGGTATTATCCAATTTATAAGCTCTTTTTTTCAACAATTTTCAACAATATTTTTTTTAGCTACGAGTTTTACTTTATACTTTGACATTAATAATATCCATTCACTTTATGAGCATATCTTTTGCTCTTTATTGCAAATTCTAAAATCACATAATATCTATTTGTAATATTTAATTTATCAACAATTGATATGTTTCTACCAGTTGTCTAATATAATTATTTAGGAATTAGGACTCCTTCCTTTTTGCCTAGTAGTAGTTTTTGTGTGTTGAGCAGATGGCAAGGGTTCAAAATCATTCACTTTATCATTCTTAATTGTAGCACAAATTCAACTTACAATTTTCATTTCCACCTTTTGATTGTTAATGATCTCTTTGTTGCCCAACATAATGATCACTTTGTTGCCCAACATGATGATCCATAAGTCTACTATAAATTCCCTACTAATATGTTACTCCAAATGGACTTCCAAATTTTAACCATTCAAAATTTTGTTATATATAATAGATCCAAACCAGATGAACCAATCATTTGTGGATAGCTTGACTAAAAAAAATAAATATTATTTGGTAACTACATTGAACGTAACCCACGAAACTAACAAATGTAATTGATTTTCAAAATATTTTCTAATTCTAGCAACTAAATGAGGCCTTTATGTGGAATCTATTTCAATATTTTTTAAGTTTTTCATGACAATATTTTGATGCAACTATCTATTTTATGCAACATAATATATAGTTTCTTTCAACTATAGAGGTTCAATTTGCCTTTTTTAACAACTTATCTAGGAAGACTAACTTGTCAACATTTTATACTAGGAAATTATGAACCATTTGTAAAATATGAATTCCAATCAACATACCTCATAGACTGTGAATGCAACTTCTACAGGACCATTTTTATAAACCTCTGCCATAATATCATGAACATCGTTGTTTATTCTATACGCATTGATACTGAAACGCTTGTTCTCCTCCCAAAGCAAGTTTTTCACATGACACTTCTTCATACACAGAGGTGTTGGATAAATTGGTGTACATCCGGGATGGTTACAACCAATCTGATCGAAGTATGGGTCACACTGCATTTTATCAAAATGTCAACTCATATTGGAAATAAACAACAATGTATAATTAATATCTTTTAAAAACGTTAATTACATAACTTTGCAAAAAAAAAAAAAAAATAGGACTTAAGGTGAACAACAAACAAAAAATTTAAAAATTTGTAATGTTGGGCCCAGGGGATCAGAAAAGTACCCTTCAAACTTTAAGTAAAAATTGTATAAGATGGTGGTGAAGACCTGCAATGCTTTATAACACAGAATGTTGGCCATTAAAATAGAAACATAAAATTATTCAAGTGTTGTAGATATGAGGATGTTAGGTGGATGAATGATATTACAGTTAGAGATGAAATGAGAAATGAGTATACGTGAAAAAGTTGGAGTATCTTTAGTGGTAGTTAAGATTTAGATAGAACTGCCATAGGTGGTTTGGCCATATAAAATGTCGACCTTTTGATGATCTTGTTAGGAGAGTAGATGTAATAGATCTGAATTATGTTAAAAGAAATTGAGGTATATCTAAAAAGACTTGGTTAGAAAGTATTAAAAAAATAGTTTTTTTATTATTTTTAAATAAAAATTTGACCCTTAATATGACACAATGGATAAAAAGGATTCATGTAGCCGACCCCATGTAGTGAGAAAAAGGTTGTTTTTAGAGTTGTTGGACAGAGTTGTTGACCCTGGTTGTACATTCATCATAGAATCCTCATCTTCCTTCAAAATTTATTTAAAATATGAACATAAACAAAAAAAAAATGGAAAATCATTGCATGACAATTTTAAGGAAGAAATCTTTTTGAAAAAAATACAATAAACAAAATCATGAGATATATTATAATTAATCTAAAAGTTGAAGTGGAGTTAAATTTCAAGAAGATGCATAAGAATAATATAACAACTCAAACTCTTAACTATCGAGATATTATCCGCTTTGGTTTAAGGGCCTCATGATTTTGTTTCAGGACCCATCCAAAAATTTTTCCGGTATGAGCACACTTAACTATAGAGTTTCTAAATAAAATTTCAACCACTATACCAAAAGGGCCTCTATTTTTAAGAGTTTAGCTTCTTTTACTTAAGGGATTTCACAATAAAAGAAAAAAGTGCATGGCGGCTTTTGCAAGATGAGGAGAAAGGATGCCCTAGGTTTTCATTGCCTCCTTAAATGGCAAGAGAGAGAGAGAGAGAGAGAGAGAGAGGAGCGAGAAAAATCATAAAATTTACGGGATTGGAAGAATATTTGCCGATGAAGGAGGCTGTTTGTCTACTCACGTGCGAAGGATGGGAGTTGCACTGCTCTGCGATTGGAAGGAAAGCCAGCCCGACTTCCTCGTACAAAAGACTTGGACCGAATCGGTCCAGGTTATAACAGATAAAGATTTGGACATAGATGACGGGTCAACTAAAATTTAGAATTAGACTAGTTTGGGACGACTTTCTTACTGCTTTTTAAAACAAATTTTTAATATAAAATTTTAATTTTTATACTAAAAAGTTGTTTTAAAAAGCAGTAAGAAAACAATCACAAATGAAGCCTTAGTTGGTTCCGAGCAAACTATGTTGAGGAAGTGAGACAACTGCTTACCTCCTCAGTCACAACACCATGCTTAACAAAGTAGCGCCAAGCAGATATAGGATAACCTCCATCACATCCAAACCCGCACAAAAACCCGCAACATGCTAAAAGGTCATTAACAGACATAGATATATTCTGCAATGTCCAAATAATATTAGTTAGATCAATTATTGCAAAGCACAATGATCATCACATAAGAGACATGGCATAAATAGCAACCAACAAATCTATTAGTAATGGAGATCTAACCACGCCAAAATGAATGCAGAAGCGATCAGATAGAGCCTCCACTGCACCAAAAGCCCAACAAGAACCACAGTGTCCCTACAATCACTCCATTAGAATACTACAGCATTACAATCGCCATGCGAACAATTGCTACAAACAAAAAGAAAAACCTACCTGATCTTTTGACCGAGTTGGTGATGAATATAATAAGGCAAAAAGGCAACCAAGAAAGGTCAGTTTGCTGTTCAAATAAGAACTGTCATGCCAAGAAATTTTAATGGCAACTTACCAAGTATTCTCCCAATAGTGCTGCATTGAGACCAAGTCCTTCTAGCATCAAATTCTTTAGGCAAATTCAAAGGTCTGGCATGTTTTTTGACAGGAATATTGTCTAAAATATAGCGAGGAGTCTGTTTTACTCCAAGAATATATTTGAATTGGCTAACCTACAGAACCAGCATAAGTTAGCATTTGGAAACTAATCTTGATCCAGTTATTTTTGAATTTCACATGATATTGTGGTACTGCTGAACTCACTGTGTAATTGGAGAAGCGAGTGTTGATGGAAGCTTTCCATCCAGCAGCAGGATTTCCATTGATCTTTTCCACGATTGAATCCTACATAAATAAAGTAGAGAAGGATGAAGATGAACGTGAGCTATGAGTATGGATACAAGAAATTACCACTGATATTAATGAATGAACGCGAAGAACTGATCACCTGAAGTATCTTTGATTCATTACTGATCTGACGGACTGGTTTAACAGCAATCACCTGTGAAAATAGGATGGATCAGGTACTGGGAATGCCAACACAATCACATCTGATTTGAAAGTAGCAGGAAGTAAACCAATTCATTGCCAACTCGCAAAATCAGACAAATAGTTCTCCATTTTCATAAGAGCAACAGCATTTGGCAGCCACAAGTTACTGAATTCTCCATGACAGCAAATCAGCTGGGCATAGTGTTTTCATATAATGGGTATAATCTACGAACCGATCTTTATTTAATTAAAATAACAATCAACTCACTATTTTATTAATTAATTACTCATTAAATTGTTAGTTCATGACTTAAGTAGAGTATAATTATGATAATCAGCACTTAATCAATTTAATTAGGAATTATTTTAATTTTAAGTAAACAAATTAAAAGATTAATTGGTTAAAACATTACTTAACCTACACAGTTAACTATTAATTAATCACTTATTAGGATGTTAATTTAGTTTCATTAAAAATTAAGTAGGAGTTAATTAGGCCAATTATTGACTAATTAGAATGACTAGATTTTGATTGTTCTGATTAAAAATAATAAATTTGAAAATCGATAATTAAATAGAAAATATTAATTAACATAATCATTTAGTAATTACTTTATAATTATGATGTTGACAGTTAAATGGAGTCTAATTATATTGATTAACAATGAATTGGAATAATTAAGGAATAACTAATCTTTAAAAAGATATTTAACCATATAGTACTTAACAAAATATATCAATAAACAAAACAAGTTAATAATTAATTAATTATTAATAAATTAAGTTAGATTACTTAGGCTTAAAGGAGGTTGGATTACGAAGTACTACACCAATAGCGCAATTTAATTGGATCAATGATCTACACAAACAAATTCATAATTTCTTGCTATTTTTTTTTAATCTTTTCTTGTCCAGCTCACTTTATATTAAAGTTCATGTTATAAAAATAAATAAATGGTTTACCCAAAAAAAAAAAAATAAATAAATAAATAAAGTTCATGTTATAAATATTCAATTAGTGATTTCTAATTATTTATGTTAAATTTAAAGTTTTTCCATCGCTTAGGATTTAATAAATGGATTGATATTTGAAGAGAAAAGAGCGGGTACAAATTTATATTAACAATCTTTCTAGTGACTCTGTCTCCGACATTCTATTTTGAGCTATGATATTAACGAGAGAGATATGATTTGAAAAATATATTTGAAAGTACGTAGTAATGCAATATTATCAAAAAATTGTAAAATCAATAGAGAAGTTTATAAGTATTGTTCAAATTTTATCAATTATAATGAAATATAAGATTTTATTATGAATAATATTTTTATATATAAATTTATGTAATGAGTTTGCGGGTTCGTGCGCTCGTCTTGTTAGTAGATGCGAAATAATTTCTCCGGCGAACCCGCATTCGAAACTCCTAATGTTCCAAAAAAAATGTGTCCGGACGTGAATAATTGTCCGGACTGTAAGTATATAAACTACGTGTATAATTTGTATACTCACATATCCGGACGGTTCATAGAATAATTTCTCCTGATCAAAAGAATGTCTGGTTCAGCCCCGTTAACAAAAAGTTGGAACTTTTTGAGATCGCTTACCAGTTCGGATGGGATAGCTGCGGCCAACAACAGCAGCAAAAAAGCAGCCATGTTTGGCGATTTCCCGGCCATCTTTTCCTTTCAGCTCTCCCTCCGTTCCAAGCGACGACATTCGAAGGAAGGATCAAGGACTTAATTATATACCAGTTGGCGAGGAAAGGAGAGATTTTTAATGGCCTAAAATGGATTGAAGTAGGTTGGTCGAATGGGATAGAACTCTCGATCGGTTGCTCACCCTCAAAACGATACAACGAATCTTGAGCTGGGTGAAGGACCTGGATCGGCTGAGCTTCGCTGAACGGCCTAGCGTTCATTATGAAAAACTTCCATAATTAGTTTGATTTTATTTGAGATCGACCGTTTTATTTTTGAGGCTGCAATCATAATTTTTATTTAGTTATTCATACGTCATGCAAAAATTATCTTGACCGGGCACGAATCTCGAGACAAAAATCAAGTTGGAAACTTCAAAAAATAAATCCGGGAGCACCTGAACTCCGATTTCAGCAAACTTACAGTCAAACTGAGCGTCTCGGAAATACGAACCCAACGACACCAAATTTAACTCAATCCGAGCCCAAATGAGTCCAAATCAAGGACCTAAAGCGCTGTTGGAAGGTTCAAACCACAATTTGAGTTACCAAACGGTCTCCGATTTTAACGAGCTTATACTCGAATCGAACGGCTCGACGAGACAAATCCAACGAGCCCAAGATTGCCGAATTCCGACATCATTAAGGCATTCAAATGCCTAACGAACGGTTCATGATCAAAGGATTCGATATCGACCGTCCATTCAACACACTCCCAATTTGCCCGTGATCTCACGCCTATTTATGGGCTATGCCACTCCAGAAAAACTATAAATAGAGCCCTCATTCTACACCAAAGGGACTCAAGTGAAGAGAGAGAAGAAGAAGGGAAGAAGAGGAGAAAGGGGAAGAGGAGAATCCACTCCTCCTCGACCACCGCCGGAGCTCTTCCCGCCGCCCGAACACGCGGGGATTCTGCCGGATATTTGGGAGAACACCAGAATTCTTCCCAACTTCCACGGGATGTGGAAATTCTTCTCATTTAACGACAGAGTTCCCTCCTGACGCCGAAACTCCGCCCAAGTGAGGCCGGAGTTCTCCTCTGCCACCAACAGACGTCGGACTTCTACCCGACGTCGGACCTTCACTCTTCGCCAAGTCTCTACCCGATGGATGTCTACGCGAAGATGGATTTCTTTCCATTGTTGGACTTCTACCCGACGTTGTCCTTCTGATCTTCGTCGTCAGACTACAGTCTTTCTAACCTCCGTCACCCGCCGACTTCGGTCCTCCTGAATTATGTCGCCCGCCGAATACAGTTCTTTCGACCTCCGTCGCCCGCCGACTACGGTCCTCCTGACTTAAGTCGCCTGCCGACTACAGTTTTTCCGACATCTGTCGCCCGCCAACTATGGTCCTCCTTACTTATGTCGCCCGCCGACTACAGTTCTTTCGACCTTCGTCGCCAACCGACTACGGTCCTCCTGACATACGTCGCCCACCGACTACAAGTCTTCCAACCTCCGTCGCCCTCCGACTACGGTCCTTCCGACCAAACGAACATGTCAATAATGACTATTTGTATTAACATCATGTAATGTACTCCATAAGATGTACATCAAGCTAAGACCTTCCACCAAGGAAGGGCCTCATTTGTAATCGACTGCAATACTAGTGGATTCATTCAAACTGGGCTAGGCCCCGTGGTTTTTCTCCCTTTTCAGGGGTTTTCCACGTAAAAATCTTGGTATCTCATAAATGCTAGACCCTCTCTCTTATCTGATTGCGTACCATATTTTCGTACAACTCTAAGATGATAAACTTTATAGTTCTCTACCGCCGCGAATACTCCTGGACGCAACAGTTATTATTTCTTTTCACCCTCTTAAAAAATTCTTATGCTATAAAACTATTTCATATATTAACTTTTAAAAAAATTATTTTTTTCATAGCAGTTCTATAACTAGCTTTATAAAAAAAAACAACCATCCAAGACAAATCCTAGCTTTTCGATAAGTCAACTTTAGTATTTGATATTATCTTGATGATATTTTTCATGTATTCTTAGCTCAACAAATTTTTAGACATAGAGAAATTCAGGGAAAATATGACTTTTATATGAGAAAGGAGAAAACAATATTACAGTTTCAATTATAAAAATTCATCAACAACATCAAATTTTAATCCCACCATGTGAGATCAGTTACATGAATCTTTATTCTTCATTGTGTCTTGTTAAGAATCAAATTCTCATTTAAATATGATATATTATCGAAAAATTATCTTGATCGGGCATGAATCTCAAGGCAAAAATCAAGTTGGAGACTTCAAAAATTAATTCAGATACTGTCTCAACTCCGATTTCAACAAACTTATGCTCGAACTGTTCTTCTTGGAAATACAAACCCAACGACACCAAATTCAACTCAATCTGAGCCCAAATGAGTCCAAATCAAGCACCCGAAGCACTGTTAGAAAGTTCAAACCACAATTTAAGTTACCAAACGGTCTCCAAACATGACATGCTTATAGTTGAATCGAGCGGATCGATGAGACAAATCCAACGAACCCAAGGTCATCGAATTCTGACATCATTAAGACCTTCAAATATTTGATAAACGGTCCACAATCAAGGGATTCAATATCGGCCGTCCATCCGAACCACTACACATTTGCCCTTAATCCTCCTATTTACGGGCCATGTCATCCTCAGAAATCTATAAATAGACCCCTCATTTCTCTTGAGAGGGGACCCCAAGCCAGAAGAAGAAGAGGAGGAGAAGAGAAGAGAAGAAGGATAGGAGGCAAGAAACTCCTCCTCGACCACCGTCATCGGAATTCTGCCCAAGTGACGCTAGAATTCTGCCCGACTTCCACGAAACGCTGAAATTATGCCCAAGTGACGCCGGAATTCCGCCCGACCTCCAAGTGACGCAAGAGTTTTTCCCGGATACCATCCAATGCCTGAGTACTCCTCTGCTGCCAACTAACGTCTGACTTCTACCCGACTTCGCACCTTCGCTCGTCGCCAAGTTTCTACCCGACGCTGAACTTCTGCCCGTTGTCAGAGTTTCGCTGGACATCTATCCGATGTTGAATTTTTATCCATTGATGGAATTCTACCTGATGTCGTCCTCTGACATCCGCCGTTAGACAACAGTCCCTCCAACCTCCGTCGCCCGTCGACTACGGTCCTTCTGATTTATATTTCCCAACGGCTACAATCCCTCCGACCTCTGTCGCCCGCCGACTACGGTTCTTCTGACTTATATCACCCACCGACTACAGTCCTTCCAACCTTCGTCGCCCGCCGACTTCAGTCCTCCTGACTTACATCGTCCACCGTCTACAATCCTTCCAACCTCCATCACCCGCCGACTACGATCCTTCTGGTGTACGTCGCCTACTGACTACAGTCCTTCAGATCAAACAAACACTTCAACAGTGATTCTTTATATTCTCATCATGTAATGTACTATATAAGATGTACATCAAGCTAAGGCATTCCCCTAATGAAGGACCTCATTTGTAATCAACTACAATACTAGTGGATTCATTCAAACTGGGCTAAAAAATAGAGTGATTTTTTGACGTATTGACGTCAAGCTGTTCACCCGCATGCCATTGGAAAATTTTTTGGCGTTTCATTGGAGCCAAAAAGCCACTCCATACACCCAAATGCAATTTAGCTGAAGAAGCTCTTAGAATACTCGCAAAATACTAGGAAGTAAGTTTGGTGCATGGATGTTGATTGAGTAGTTACTTTGGAGCTTTTTCAATCATTGATGAAAACATCATCAAAATTAATTTAAGGCTTATCTCAATAAGTGAATTCTTTAATGATTTATTTCACACCAAGAAAATCAACAATGCAAAACCTGATGATTTGATGTACTACTTGAGGTATCAAACCTAAACTTTGGTTTGCTTGTAAGCGAAGGCTTCGTTTGAGACAGCTTTTTCACTGTTTCTTAAAGAAGCTTTATAGTACATCAATTAAAATTTTTATACTAAAAAATTCTCTTAAAAAAAATAAGAAAGCCATCCCAAAAGAAGCCTATTTCCAGCCTGAAAGCTGCATCGCTACTTTCTTTCCAGTTTTGCTGCAGTAAACTCCTGCATTGCAATCTCTCAAAATAAATTCAGTTGTTATGAAACTAAAATTGAATTAGAATATTCTGAACGCAAAAATTTCCTCTAAATCAATATTACTTCACAGAAAAGAAGCAGCAGCAGCAGGAGACGGTAAAACAAAAGAAAATCTTTATAAGCAATTATTTTAATTCACATCATTTTTACAGAAATTTAAATAACATCTTCCATGATAGTTGAATTGGAATTTAACATGAAAGTTATATAGGAATCCCTGCAAAGAAGTTCCATAAAACCATCATTCTGGCATTATAAGAGATGCACAAATCACACAGATGATCTATCTGCCAGTCTATCAGATGTAAATATGCCAATTACAGGATTTGAAGAAGACGAAACATCCTAACAGATAGATTTTTTCCTTTTTTATTCTAGCTTGGGCCAGCTGAGAAATCAAGCAGAAGCATCAGTAGCTGCATCCATCTCCACAAAGTTCTTTATCAAGTTCTTGCCTGAAGGCAACCCAGCAACGACATCCTCTTCAATGTCACATTCATTTGTCCCCCTTAAGATCTTGAAATAGCCATCCTAAAGAAAAAACAGGTTTGTGTTACTACAAGAAAACTACCTATAGACAAATTTTGCTAAATCTTATTTTGAAACATACATCACCCCAGTCTCTATTCCACTGGTTAGCAAGTAGCTGCAGGACAAACATAAAAGATAGTAAAAGATTTTTATTAGAACTCGATTTAATTTTGCAAAATGTAAAAGAAATTAGAAAGAGGAGGCAAACCCAATAATCTTCTCCTTGCTCGCTAGTACCCCATCCAATTAACTTAACAGCATGTCCACCTAAGACATCACCTGTGATATGTCTATATACTCCGGATTTGTAGTGGGCAAAATCCTGCTTATAGGAAAATAAAAACCAGGTGACTATATTGAGTATATTTTAGGATCCATTGTAATCAAGTAAAAATCTACAATGGAGATTAGCTTTATTCAATTGTTTAAGGAAATATTTTAGTACTCCACAAGATACTAATTTAATTTGTGTTTTGTGTGCTATAATTAGCTTGATTAGAAAAAGGTAAATATTGTTTTATAACTACACTAAACAAAACCATGAAACTAACAAATGAAATTGATTTTCAAAAATATTTTCTAACTTCTAGCAACTAAATGGGGGCCTTAATATAGAATCTATTTCAAAAATTTTATAAGAATTTAATGACAATATTTTTAATGCAACTATTATTTTATGCAGCCTCATAGTTTATTTCAACTGCAGAGTTTCAATTTACCTTTCTCAACAATTTATTTGGGAAGATTAACTTCTCAACAATTTATCCAAAGGAAATTATGAACCACTTGAAAAACATGAATTCCAATATTTGTCATACCTCATAGACTGTGAATGCAACTTCCACAGGACCATTTTCATAAATCTCTGCCATAATATCGTGAACATCGTTGTTTATTCTGTACGCATTGACACTGAAACGCTTGTTCTCCGCCCAAAGTAGGTTTTTCACATGGCACTTCTTCACACATCGTGGTGTTGGATACGCTGGTTCACATCCTGGATGACCACAGCCAGTCTGATCGAAGTATGGGTCACACTGCATTTTATCAAGGTGTCAGCTCGTATTGGAAATAAACAAACATGTAGAATATGTTTTAGAAAATTTAACCTCATGACCTGGTAATTAACAGGACTTAGGGTGACAACAACATAACTAAAAGTTTAAAATCTCGTAATGTTGGACCTAGGGGTTCCTTATAATCAGATTTATTGAGCCTGGTTGTACATTCATCATAGAATCCTCATCTTTGTTGTTTGAAACTTATTTAAGAGATGAACACATCAAAAAAAAAAGAAGAAGAAAAAATTATTTTAAGAAATTACAACATCACCATTTTAAGGAAGAAATCTTTTTGAAAAAATACAACAAACAAAATCATGAGATATATTAAAATCAATTAAAAAATAGATGCGGAGTTAAATCTCAAGAAAATGCGTTAAGATAATGCTTTGGATATAGATGAGGGACCAATTGAAATTAAGAATTATACTAGTCTGGCTAATACATTTATTAATAGAATTTTGATGACTAGAAGAATGTCAAATGCTAGAAGATGATGAATTTTAACATCAATATTGAAGAACAAAGGAAATGTTTAGAATTATAATAACATAAAGAAACAAACTTATGAGTCATAAAATGAGTTATGAGAGATAATAATGGAACATAGAAAAATTATATTGATATTAGAGAAAAAATTTAGTTTTATGCCAATAATATCCACAATTGATGTGCTTTTTGTGCTAAGATGATTAATGGAAAAATATAAAGAATAAATAAATAAATGGTCTTCATATGGTGTTACATGTCATGAGAAGGTATATGATCAAGTTTCATGAGAGTTGTTGATCCACATGATATGCTAAAGTTATTAGATAAATTTAGTATTAAAAGTAATTATGAAATGACTAAGAAGTTTGCAATCATGACAAATTTATATCAAGAATTAATATTTACTCCACATCTCTACATATGGGTTATGTAGATGAATGCAAAGCTTATGTAAAATGAGGTATTTTACTAAAGAACTCGATTTAATTTTGTAAAATGTAAAAGAAATTAGAGAGAGAGAGAGAGGAGGCAAACCCAATAATCTTCTCCTTGTTCGCTAGTACCCCATCCAATTAACTTAACTGCATGTCCACCTAAGACTTCACCCGTGATATGTCTATAGACTCCGGATTTGTAGTGGGCAAAATCCTGCTTATAGGAAAATAAAAACCAGGTGACCATATTGAGTATATTTTAAGATCCATTGTAATCAAGTAAAAAAACCACAATGGAGATTTTCTATCTTTTGTGAGATGTCGTGCCTTCGAATTATCAAGCTAGATGCACATTAGAGATTCTGAACGAATAGAAAAAAACAATGTTTGGTAGTCATTATCATTAGCTTTATTCAATTGTTTAAGGTAAGATTTTAGTACTCCACAAGATACTAATATAATTTGTGTTTTGTGTGCTATAATTAGCTTGATTAGAAAAAGGTAAATATTGTTTTATAACTACACTAAACAAAACCATGAAACTAACAAATGCAATTGATTTTCAAAAATATTTTCTAACTTGCAGCAACTAAATGGGGGCCTTAAAATAGAATCTATTTCAAAATTTTTATGAGACTTTAATGACAATATTTTTAATGCAACTATTATTTTATGCAGCCTCATAGTTTATTTCAACTATAGAGTTTCAATTTACCTTTCTCAACAATTTATTTGGGAACAACAATTTATCCAAAGGAAATTATGAACCATTTGAAAAACATGAATTCCAATTGTCATACCTCATAGACTGTGAATGCAACTTCTACAGGACCATTTTCATAAATCTCTGCCATAATATCGTGAACATCGTTGTTTATTCTGTACGCATTGACGCTGAATCGCTTGTTCTCTGCCCAAAGTAGGTTTTTCACATGGCACTTCTTCACACATCGTGGTGTAGGATACGCTGGTTCACATCCTGGATGGCCACAACCAGTCTGATCAAAGTATGGGTCACACTGCATTTTATCAAGTTGTCAGCTCGTATTGGAAATAAACAAACGTGTAGAATATCTTTTAGAAAATTTAACCTCATGATCTGGTAATTAACAGGACTTAGGGTGACAACAACATAACTAAAGTTTAAAATCTCGTAATGTTGGACCTAAGGGGTCACTATAATCATAGTTACTGACCTTGGTTGTACATTCATCATAGAATCCTCATCTTTGTTTGAAACTTATTTAAGAGATGAGCACAAATAAAGAAGAAGAAGAAGAAAATATTTGAGAAATATTACAACATCACTATTTTAAGGAAGAAATCTTTTTGAAAAAATATAATAAACAAAATCATGAGATATATTAAAATCCATTAAAAAATAGAAGTGGACTTAAATCTCAAGAAAATGCATTAAGATAATGCTTTGGATATAGATAAGGGACCAATTGAAATTTAGAATTAGACTAGTATGGCTAATACATTTATTAATAGAATTTTGATGACTAGAAGAATGTCAAATGCTTGAAGATGATGAATTTTAATATCAATATTGAAGAACAAAAGGAAATGTTTAGAATTCGAATAACATAAATAAACAAACTTATGAGTCATAAAATGAGTTATGAGAGAGAATAATGGAACATAGAAAAATATTATTGATATTAGAGAATAAATTTAGTTTTTTGCCAATAATATCCACAATTGATGTGGTTTTTGCGCTAAGATGATTAATGGAAAAATATAAAGAATAAATAAATAAAAGGTCTTCATATGGTGTTATATGTCATGAGAAGGTATATGATCAAGTTTCATGAGAACTGTTGATCCACATGATATGCTAAAGTTATTAGATAAATTTAGTATTAAAAGTAATTATGAAATGACTAAGAAATTTGCAATCATGACAAATTTATATCAAGAATTAAAATTTACTCCACATCTCTACATATGGGTTATGTAGATGAATGCAAAGCTTATGTAAAATGAGGTATTTTACTAAATTTTGTCTGTAGCAGGTGAAAGATTTTCACTCAATGAGACCCTTATTGAAATAAGTAGAAAGTTAATGAAAAAATAAAAATAAAAATAAAAAATAAAGCACTTAAGACTAGTAAAACACATATAGAGCATATGATATACAATTTAGTGCCCTATTACTTGTTACCAACCAATGCTGATAGAAGATAAAGTGATCCCTACGTACCATAAATTTAAATAGCTTAGGTTGATTGCATTAAAGAATGGGGGTGTAACTTCCAAAATTAAGGCTATGTGATTAAAATAAAATGGCTCGTGGGTACTATACAATAACAGAATTAAAGGAGATTAAAAAAGTAAATATAATAAAACTATAAATTAGGCTTCTTATGCAGGATGGATTGAATTGCTGGATAGTAAGGATATCATCAATAGACAAAATAAGCATGAAAAAATGAGAACATTAAGATGTATGTGTGGAAATAGGAATGATGGAATAAGAACTAATCATGCCTAATAGATGATGAGATTAAAATTTATTAAAAATAAAATACTGAAAATATAGTTGAGTTATTTGGGTATGTGCAGTAAAGGGAATGAAGAAAAATACACTAATAAGATGAAACTACAAAATGATGTATGAGGATTAAGAAGCAAAATGGGTATACAAACGATAAATTGAATATAATTTGTACAAAAAAATTTCTCACAAAAGAAATTTAAGACCACATGCAACAATTAGTAGCAATGACTAAGACCGAGGATTCATAAATTAAACCCACAATGGTTGGCATACAAATAATGATAATGATGTTGCTGATGATGATATTCTTACATAAAAATACGAGATGCTCCATAAGTTGTTCCATATTATCATGAAATCACACAGAAATTACAAATACAAAATTGTGATTTTTGCATTTATCATATAAGCTAAAATACTTCTCAAAGAATTAAGCAACAGAAAGGCATAACAAAATGAAGTCCAAGAGACCAGACTCTAACACTAGTATTAATTGAATTTTCCATAAAATTGGTTACTGGTTCGTTATGGATGTCAATTTCATTTGGAGAGGCAACCATTATGCACTTGATTTCATGAAATTGCTAGAATGAGATTAGATGTAATCCACAACTCCTTACCATTACCCAGAAGTTTAATCCCCAAAGGCTAGTAATTATCATACAAGCTATGGATTTCTACATAAAATGACCTCAAAAGGATCAGAATTTCTAAAATCATCTATTTATGAGACGTTAAGAATGGGCTCCAATGTCATTGTCAATTCTAGAGTATCAGAGATGACGTAACTTAATATCCAGGTCATTTTAGTCACTAAAAGCACCACTTATGCCTGTTCTAAAAGCGATGAAAGTTGAATAAAATGGCTCCACGAGAGCAGAAATTTTAAGATAATCTTTTAATACGATATAGAACTTTAGTACTAAGAACCAAATGTTTAGTCCATTCTATAATATCAAGGACATCAGCACCGTCATTATTATTAATACTATTCTAACTATGGGTGTCAATATTTGACACGACCCGAAAATCCGACATGAACACGACCCGAAAATTTTATGTTAGGATCAACCCGGACCCTAAACGGGTTCGGGTTCGGGTTCAACAAATCGATCAGTTTCAAAAACTAGGTCAGGTTCAGTACCTAGAAATCCAAAATTGACCAGTTTTTGACCTGAAAATCCATTTTTGACCTGGAAACCCAAGATTGACCCGTTTTTATCCGAAAATCAGAGATTGACACGTTTTTTTGACCCGAAAACTAGCAATTTGGGTCATTCGGGTTGTTTTGGGTTGACACGGACCCGAAGCGGGTCAAGTTCAGGTCTGAAAAACTGGCCTGTTTGCAAAAACGGGTTGGGTTGACCCGAATAGTGCTAGGTCAGTTTTGGGTTCGATCCGAACCCGACCCATGACCCGAAAATGACACCCCTAATCCTAACTATTTGGGACTAATTTATGAATCCTCATTCCCATCCTTTTTAGAATATATGGACAATATACCTTAAGACTCTGGTCATCTATTCAACTATTTCACAAGTAGAGTGTCACCAGTACGTTATATAAATAAAACTACATAGCCCAATTGATGAGGTCATCGATAGGAGATTTCGGCGTGTCTATCAGAGACGACCACGGAGATCGACGGCCATGATGGAGAGCCTATATTATTGATTTTATTTGTACTAGCAGATTCTATGTTATGCATTAATTTTCTTAGTTTTCCCATTTTACCCCTGAGGGTATTAGTAGCTCTTGTAGCCCCAAGGGGCATTTTAGACTTTTGCATTTACTTTTATTTGGAGCCTATTTATATGGCTCATTGTATCTTGTATGAGATTATTGATTTTGATGAATGAAATTTCTATTGTGTGATCTCTTTGTGAGTTCAAAGATCTCTTAGTGAGTTCTTGGCATGAGATCTCTTTGTGAGTTCTCCTTGCATTAGTTTCCCTTGATCTTCGCCTCATCCACGAGCAACGCCATCCACGCCTTCAATTGGAGAGAAGTCGGACCACTTTCCTTCCTGCCGCCGCCTTGAGCTCCACCCGTCGTCCCCATCAACCCACCGGCCAGCCACCTCTACCGCCGGCTTTCCTTCCCCCCCCCCCTTCCTCCATCCTCCCACCACCAATCCTCTTGGAATCATTTTTCTAATTTGAATTCCAAGTTCAAATTAATTCTTCCCTCCCAATTACATTAAACTGAAATTAAACTTCAGTTTTAATCTCAAGCAAACCCGCCCCTCACCCTTGCTCCACCGCCAGCCCTCCTCTTCCATCTCCAAACCGCCGCCCCTCTCTCCCCCTTTTTGGAGATCTTCTTGCGGCGACCACTTGTTTCCCTTGCAAGAATGCATGGACGAACCCGAGTGGAACTTCGGGTTTGAGTACGACAACAACGGAAGGGTCAACATCCTTAGATCACAGTTCTTCGACGTCGGTTTTGACTTCGACGACACCGTCGAAGAATACTTGGACCGGATCCTACCAACGCTAGTGGATTCCATCGACGAACACTTCTCCGTCTACACGTGGATCATCAAAGGTCGATCTACCGTGCCCCCTCCACCTCCGAGATCCTTCTCCACGGCGACGTTCCTTGGCTCCTCCCTCCTCGTGGCAACCTCAATGCTAGTTTGGACGATCTTCCGCCGCTCAACCTAGTCTTCGTAGGAAAGAGAGAAAAGGTCTCAAGGTGTGAACAACTCCGTATTAATTGTGGGATTTTTATTTACTAGCCTTAGCTTTATGTTTTCCTTTGTGTTTGTTTAAATAGTTTGGCTATCTTGTTGAAATTTCTTTGCCTAGCAAGTTGAACATCATGAATTTCTTGTAATCGACTTAACTTTGATACATGATTATATAATTGGTTGAGCTAGAATTTAATTCTCTTTTAACTCTTGTGTAACTCCATCCATGCATCACATCACCAATACTTCCAAGTAATCCAACCTTAAATTATTTAATTGATAAATATTCCATTTTGCTTCCCTTTTTAAAAAATTTACATATATAATTAATATTTTTTTACTGGCATCAAATGTATAATATTGCCAATCTAATAAGCATCCAACAAAGAGAAAAGGTGTTTCGTTGATTCTTCAAGTTTTAAGATACAATTTTCAAGCTTCTAGTAATTATTAACTTATTTCCATGAAATATTGAAATTAATATACATTAGTCAAATCCTCCGGTGGGATACAAACAATGTTGAAACTGAAATAGAGCATTCTTAGTTGATTCCAAGCAAGCTAAGTTGAGGAAGTGAGACAACTGCTTACCTCCTCAGTCACAACACCATGGTTAACAAAGTAGCGCCAAGCAGATATAGGATAACCTCCATCACAACCATCCCCGCACAAAAACCCGCAACATGCTAAAAGGTCGTTAACAGAAAGAGATATATTCTGCAATGTCCAAATAATATTAGTTCAATTATTGCAAAGCACAATGATCATCACATAAGAGACAAATGCATAAATAGCAACCAACAAATCTATTAGTAATGGAGATCTAACCACGCCAAAATGAATGCAAAAGCGATCAGATAGAGCCTCCACTGCACCAAAAGCCCAACAAGAACCACAGTGTCCCTACAATCACATAATCACTCCATTAGAATACTACAGCATTACAATCGCCATGCGAACAATTGCTACAAACAAGAAGAAAGACCTACCTGATCTTTAGACCAAGTTGTTGATGCAGAGAATTAGGCAAAAAGGCAACCTAGAAAGGTCAGTATGCTTTTGAAATAAGAACTATCATGCCAAGAAAAGGTAATGGCAACTTACCAAGTATTCTCCCAATAGTGTTGCATTGAGACCAAGCGTTTCTAGCATCAAATTCTTTAGGCAAATTCAAAGGTCTGGCATACTTTTTGACAGGAATATTGTCTACGACATTACGAGGAGTCTGTTTTACTCCAAGAATATATTTGAATTGGCTAACCTACAGAACCAGTATAAGTTAGCATTTGGAAACTAGCCTTGATTAAGTCAATTTCACACGATAGTGTGATTAAGAAGGTACTACTGAGAACTCACTGTGTAATTGGAGAAGCGAGTGTTGATGACAGCTTTCCATCCAGCGGTAGGATTCCCGTTGACCTTTTCCACGATTGAATCCTACATAATTAGAGAAGGATGAACATTAACTATGAGTACCAATACAAAAAAAAAACTACTAAAATCAATGCAAGCACGCGAAGAACTCACCTGGAGTATCTTTGACTCAGAACTGATCCGAGGGATTGGTTTAACAGCAATCACCTGTGCAAATATGACGGATCAGGAATTGGGAATGTCAACACAATCGCATATGATTTGAAAGCTGTATGAAGTAAACCTAGCCATTACCAGCCCGAAAAATCAGACATAAATAATTCCACATTGTCATAAGAGCAACAACACTTGGCAACCACAAGTTACTGAATTCTCAATGACTGCAAATCAGCTGGCATTTTGTTTTATCGAAATGGGCATTCTACAAACGTTAGGCATTCATTAATGGTTCTGCTAGATTGTCATCGCTACAATGGGTGCCAACTAACACTTACTCTCTTTTAAAATAAAGTAAAATTCAATGACCAGCCTCTGGGCGCACAGATTTCAAACTTTGGACCATTCATTTGGCACACATCTATTTAAAACTAGGCCGTCTGGAGGTTGATGCTTTTCTATAACTCCCGAAAAGGTCCAAATGTAAAAATTGAACCCATGTATCTTCATGCTGATGTTCGAAGGCACAGAATGTATTGTTTCCAACCATTCTTGCCTCAGAATCTGCCAACATGTTTAAATCACTGGTTTTGACAAACCCATCTTTCACAATTTTCAAATGCAAATACAGCAGTTTGGATGAAAGTGGGATTTAGTAAAATCAGCTTTTCAAAATACTGTAAATTAAGATTTGATAGATCTTGAGATTGTTAAATCCTAAAAACTGTATGGATGTCAATACATTTTATCCAGAGTTAAATATTGAAAACTACTTAGCAGAGAATTGGTGGTTTTAAGGGATTTACATTAGACTTATGAGGCAATTTGATTAACTAGACAAGTTAATCAACATTTAGTTAAAATAATAAAAGAGTTTGTTTGTGTTATTTATTGCTTAATTAGACTAATTTGAGTAAATTAGACGATTTAAACCAATTTATCATATGCTAATTAGTTATTTATTTAATTAAGATAGCAATCAAACGACCTTTTGATTAGTTAATTACTAATTAAAATGTTAGTGCATGACTTAAGTAAGGTATAATTATGATAATCAGCACCTAATCAATTTAATTATAAATTACTTTAAAATTTAAATAAACTAATTAAAAATATTAATTGATTAAAAGATTAATTGAACTACACAGTTTACTATTAATCATTTATTAGTATGTTAATTTAGTTTCATTAAAAATTTAGGAGTTAATTAGGCTAATTAATGCCTAATTAGAATGAATAAATTTTGATTGGTCTAATTAAAAATAATAAATTTTAAATCAGATAATTAAATAGAAAATATTAATTAACATAATCATTTAGTAATTACTTAAAAATTATGATGTTAACAGTTAAATGGAGTCTAATTATGTTGATTAACAATGAAGTGGAATAATAAGGGAATAACTAATCATTAAGAAGACATTTAAACAAATAGTACTCAACAAAATATATTAATAAACAAAATAATATAATAATTTATTAATTATTAAGAAATTAAGTTATATTAATGAGGCTTAAAGGGATTGGACTATGTAGCAACCAAAATCTCACCCAACTAAATATTGTTTATTTCACTCATCCAAGAAGTACTCCAACCATAGCACAATTTAATTGGAGTTATTGATAGAACATCATCAACCATTACACTGAAAGATGCTTGAGTTCTTCAATATTTAAGAGTTTAAGTTCAAATCTAAGAGGTCTAATAATCTAACTCAGGTCCTCAGTTAAGGAATCAATTTCCATGCCAATGGCCTCTGGTTCAAATGGAAAATTTCTCTTAACAATCACTAAAAATGTGAACATAAGCTTTCGAACTCCCAATAAGAAGGAAGTGGTTCCCCTTTCCTGCAAAGCCCCTAAAGGGCTTATTTGGTTGCCTGGAATTAGAAAACAATTTGGCAAAAAAGAAGAAGGAGATGAATCTATTGGATTGATTTTCCCAAAACAAAAATAAAAATTTATCGGATTCCGTTATTTGATGGGATCTCGTTTAAAATTTTCAACTTAAAATCCCTCAGAGAAGAGGATTTCAGTTTGAGATGAGTGAGAATAAAATATTTTCTTTCTAAAACATACTCTTCCATTTGCAAGCAAGCAAAAAACCAAGGATCCCTCACAAAATTCTCAAAACGTCATTAGCAAAAGTTGGAACTTTTTGAGGAGATCACTTACCAGTTCGGATGGGATCGCAGCAGCCAACAACAGCAGGAAAAGAGCCGCCAGGTTTCGCAGTTTCACGGCCATCTCTTCCTTTCAGCTTTCCTCCGCTTTCTGGCGAGGACTTTCGAAGGAAAGGAGATATTTTTATTGGCCTAAAGAACGTGATGGATTGAAATAGGTTCGTGGGATCGGATGGAATTCTCGCGGGCCACGATACTATCCTGGAATCTTGAGCTGGGTGAAGGGCCTGGATCGGCTGAGCTTCGCTGAACAGCTTAGCGTTCATTTTTGGTATTTCTATGGTTATATTTTTAAATTATTATTTTATGTTCAATTTGTCAAAAATATATTTATTAACCCTACACGTCTTATATGGAATCTTTTAATAAAAGTTTAATTATAATTTAAAGAATAAATTAAAATATTATCCATAAACCTTTTTTTTTTTTGTAAAATATGAACAAGACATTTTCATTAATCAACAACTAGTTACATGTGTAAAAGAAACTGGAATAAAAAAACAGATAAAAACAACATAAAGAGGCTACAATTAGCAAAAAAAACTCAATGGAGAGAAAGAACAATCTAACCCAGGGTTAGACGGGATCAGTAAAATGAACTACTGTAGGAAAATTTTCCCCTGATTGCAAAGATAAACGGTCGGCATAGTAAGAGGATCAAAAAAGTTGCCGTCCAAGGGGAATGGAGCAATTCATACATCATCGCCCACCAAAACGATACCCACCAGCCAATTGGGTAAGAACAAGGCAGCCATCTATTCCAGAATAGCCACCAAGTTATTTCATATTGTAGCTTTCAAAAAAATTATTTACTTCACAACAATTTTATAACCACCTCAATAATCCTTGACAGATCCTATTTGTCGAAAAATCTACTTTACTCTTTGGCATTATCTTGATGATATTCTATTCAGAGATTGATTTAGGAGAATGTTACGATATATTTGAATCTTTGATTAATCTAAGAGATTTATAATTTATGGCAAATAACAATGCTTCTTAATAATCATTTTATTTAATATTAGATAGGTAATATATAATCTCATGAAGAACAATTGATTGCCATCTTCTAACTCGTGTATTATTTGATATCATTTTTACTAACAAGAAATTTCATCAATCAACATATTATTAGAGCATGAAGATTTTATCTATTTAGTGCAATTTTTTATAAATATAATTTCAATTTTCATATTCTATGATTGATATTCTATGCATTCATGAACTAAATCGGCTGGAGAGAAGGATATAGAGATTGATAGTTTATGATTTAAACTATGGTATTCTGATATAAATGGTGTATGTGACATTCTCTCTCTTCTCTCTCTCTTCTCTCTCTCTTCTTAGACAACGCATGATGTTGAAATTCAGATTTTTCAATTAAAAAAATAATATAAAAAAATACTTTTACTAGAAGAGGATATTCAACAAAGGTGGATGAGATATTTTGCTAAAATTTTCAAAAAAGATTTTGAGAATGCGATTGACTTTAGTGACTTTAGCACCTTAACTGAAAATAAAATTTTGTTTATCGGCGTATTTGTAAAACCAAAGTTAAAGAGGCTTTAAAGAAATTGAAGTATGAAAAAGCTGTTGGAACTGATGATATTCCAATAGGGGTGTGTAAATGCTTAAGAAATGAAGGAATTTTTTGGCTTACTAAACTTTTTAATATTATTTTGAAGACTAAAAAGATGTCAGACGAGTAGGGAATGAGTGTATTTATTCATGTTTTTAAGAATAAAGGTGATGCACAAGATTGTGCAAATTATAGAATAATTAAGTTAATGTGTCATAATTTAAAACCATAGGAGAGAATTATGGAGCATAGATTGCGACGTGATACTAATGTTTCTCAAAATCAATTTAGATTCATGACAGGTAGGTCTACTATAGAGGCTATACATTTATTGAGAGGTTTGATGGAAAAAAATATATATAGAGAGAATAAGAAGGATCTACATATGACTTTTATTGATTTAGAGAAAGCATACGAAAAGGTTCCAAGAGAAGTGCTTTGGAGAGTTCTACATAAGAAATTGGTTAATAATGCTTATATTTAAGTAATTAAGGATATATACGCAGGAGCTGTTACTTGTGTTCAAACACAAGGTAGTTTGACCAAATATTTTCCTATTTCAGTTGGATTACATCAAAGATCTGCCTTAAGCCCGTATCTTTTAGCTATAGTCATGGATGATCTCATTAGACATTTGTAAGATGTTGTACCATAGTGTATGCTTTTTGCTGATGATATTCTTCTTGTTGATAAGACTAGAGAGGGCGTTGAAAGTAAACCTCAATTATGGAGATCATTCTTAGAGTCTAAAGGCTTTCGTTTAAGTAAATCTAAACTAAATATATGGAGTGTAATTTTATTAATAATAAATCTAATGGAGGGTTGTGACTTTGGGTGATCAAATCATTAATAAGAGTACACATTTTATATATCTTGGGCCTATTTGTTCAGAGTGATGGTGAAATAGATGGGGGTATTATTAGTAGAACTCAAATTGGATGGTTGAAGTGGAGGAATGCATCAAGCTTGTTGAGTGATAGAAAAGTTCCTCTCAAACTTAAGGAAAATTCTATAAGATGGTAGTGATACCTGTAATGCTTTATGGTGCAGAAAGTTGGGCATTAAAAGAGAAGCATAATATTAAGTTAAGTGTTGCTGAGATGAGGATGCTCAAGTGGATGACTGGTTTACTCTTAGAGACATGATACGAAATGAACATATATGTGAAAAGGTTGGAGTAACTACAGTGGAAGATAAGATCAGAGAGTCACCTTAGATGATTTGGTCATATAGAACGACGACCTTCTGATGATAGTTAGGAAAGTAGATGTATTAGATTGACTTATGTTAAGTAAGGTAGAGGTAGACCTAAAAATACTTGGTCATAAAATATTAGAAATGACATTTTTTTATTAGATTTAGATGACAATTTGACTATTAACATAACAAAATAATTTAAAAAAAAAATTCATGTAGCCGATTGCACATAATGGAATAAAGGCTTGTTGTTGTCGATATTATAGTGTCTCAATACAACCATAATTTACTTTGAATTTTCAAATGATAACTCTCAACTATTATAAATAAAATATTAACTTAAGGTGCAGTCCTAATCTAATACTTAATGAATAATATTTGATTTAAAAAAAAAGGTGTTTATTTTCATAATAAAATGAGTTATTGGCAGCATTTTAAGAAGATAATGACTAATTTTATTAGTTGCGTATATCTATGAATTACTATAATTAAAATATAGTCAAAAGATAAGTTTACTTGTATTTTCTTCTCATGATAGCTTGGGACAAGCAAATTGTAGACTAGCGTGGGTCTTCTATTAGATTTCGTTTGGAGTAAATTTTTATCAATATTTTTATATTATTTTAATAAATTTTCTTTTAAATTAAAAATTTTATATTAAAAAAGCTGTTACAAAAGAAACCTAAGTCTCAAAGCTTATAATCATTATATAAATATTTAAAATAAATTTGATTTAATGAAATATATAATTATATATATATATATATATATATATATTCTTTTAGAAATTATGCCTTCTTTTAATGTTATGAGATTTGCCTAATTAATGAAATTTAAGCTAAACTTATGCTAAGTCGGCTTATGAGGATGCTCATTCATAATTGATATGAGAGATGATTTGATTCAAATAATTGTTGTAATTAAATAAAAAATACAATGAGAAAATAGAAAATATCTAATAAGAAATCAACTAATATAGAGAATAAGGAAAAAATTCAAAAAAAAACTTGTTTAAATATATTTTATACTTATAGAATTAGTCAACTCAGGAGCCTCATGGTGAAAGGCGTGCCTCCTTGCCATTTTCAATTAACCAAGCAACAACAGGAATGTGAAGTTCAATAAGTTGGAGGGAAAACATATAGGCTTTTCATGTGCTCAAGTTCTCAATAAATTACAGAGTAAAAGTTCAAAATACTCTCCTAATTATTAATAAATGTCCAATTTAATCTCATATTTTCATAATAACCTAATTTAATCCTTCAGCTATTAGAAAATATCCCAATTTAATCTCAACATCAAAAGTAACAGGTAAATGTGAAGGCATTTTATATATTATGATATATGTGAGATTATATTAATTTTTTTATATTATTTATTATTTATCTTATTAAACTAAATACTAAAAATCATAATATAAGCTAACCAATTAAATAATAAGAGTGAATAATTACTAAATGTGCTTAATTTCATTATAGTTTTTATATTTATTTTAATATAATAAATAATAAAATATATAAAAATAATAATATAATCTCACATACACTCTAATACCCAAAATGCTCTCAAATTTAAATATTGGGGTTAACTTTTGGTCTTAGGATCAAATTGAGATATTTTCTAATAGTTGGAAGACTAAATTGGGTCGGGGTGTCAAAATATGACCTGACCCGAAATCAGACCCGAACTCGACCAAAAAAAAAAAAAACCTAGGTTCGGGTCAACTCGTTTGCCATACGGGTCGAGTTCGGATTTAAGATTTTGACCCGTTTCTATAAATGGGTCAGGTTCGAGTTGACCAACCAACCCGAAATTTCAACCCGTTTGCCATATGTTCGTCGGTTCGCATAGGGTGTCTCCGTCCCCAGATGCGGCAACAGGCAGCCGGTCCTCACGGCATGCTGGCCCTCACACCCGCTGACCCAAGGTCAAGCCGAACCAACCGGTCCTTCGCGCCTTCGCGGACCTCGACTGTGGCGCGCCTTCATAGACCTCACCCAAGTCGCACCATGCGGAGCCGCACTGGCCAGGCTGGCCTCAGGCCTACCACGCGTTTGCCCGGGTAGCACCACAACCACGCGTTGACCTCAGGCCTCTCACCCTCGGTCAAGATGGACCTATTGTGCGTCCGTTCGAGTCGCAGTGTCGCACCACGTGCTATCCTCCACATTGCAGCCTCCGAGTTTGCATTTTAAGAACGGGTCGCGGGTCGGGTTTGGTCAACCAAGTAACCCGCACGGGTTGGATCAAAGTTGCAAAATCTGACCCGTTTATTAAAACAAGTCTGGTTCTAGTTGACCCATTTACGGCCGGGTCAAATCGGATTCGACTCGAACCCGACCCGTTGACCGAATTGGCACCCTTAAAATTGGGATGTTATGAAAGTCTTGGACAAAATCTGAAATTTACTAATAGTTGGTGTATTATTTTAGGCTTTTACTCACAAATAACCCTTATGACCAGCACAGGACTGAAAAAAATAGTTAGCAGGATAGAAACACTGAGAGTCCAAGTGCTTTCATTGTACTAGAATTGAGTGAATGCATAGAAAGAGGAGCATAGTCAATTGCCTCTTTGTTCTACTATCTTCTTTCTTCACTCTTATCTATAATTCCTTTCCTTTGAACTCACTCTTTCAATCAAAATTTTCGCAACATTCTGATGGCAGCAGGGATAATACCATTTAAGAAAATCATTATTCATCATCGTTTACATGATTCTAAATGTATGATATAGACGATGATGATTCATTCATGCTTCTCTACTAGAAGAAATTATATGCACAAATGTTTATAATGCTCAAAATAATCATGGCTAGTAGTTACTATTTGAAATGACAAAGTTCAATAGCTATGAGCGTATAATCCTTCTCTACATTTCATCTGCTAATTGCTATAGTGCAATTTATTCATTTGCTTAAAACTTCATTAGGAAATTTACTAAAACAGGGAACTGAAAGATGTGAAACATTTGAATAGAGAAGGCCCACAAAAGTAAAAAGAACAGACAAGCATCTTTTCCTTTCCTCGTTACCCTACAATATTCCCCTTCATTATTAAAAGGAAATGGCTAATTTAGCCGGTTAGAATGTATCATAACAACAAACTTATGAAAAATGTAAGCACACAATAATATGAGATGTTGGACAAAGCTGATACCTCCAAAATAGCACTAAGTTCATAATAAATAGACAATTTACACAGAGGCTTATTGCCTGTTGCAGAACTTTGGAAAGCTAGTTTCTCTTTATGTGTGATTCGAGGTTCTTTTCTCAAGCCTTTTTGTCCTTATTGGCTTTCGGCAAAGGGAGGGGGAATAGGAACCGGAAAACCAAAGCAGCAAGAATGGCACCAATGAAGGGACAGATCCAATATACATAAAAATGTTCCCATGTGTTGTGCTGGTTATTGATATAAGCCCAGCCATATGCCTGCCAAAACTCAGATGAATATGCTTCAGATTAGCTTATGTTAATGAGCATTTAAGATGACAAACTAGCAATAAAAAAATTTTACCAGGAAATATAATTGAACAAGGATTTTAATAATGAATGTTATTGAATCACGAGCAACTAATATAATTTCTAGAGCTTATGTTTTGCAACTTTTGCTAAGATTTTGAACAGAGGAAGGTTCTAAGTAAAATAATAGCAAGAAGATGTACAATTTTGTTATGTATGTGTAGATACCATAAAAAATATAATGAGATAAAAGATTTTGGTTAAAACAAACATCAGGTTCTATATGATTTCAGATCATACAGTTGCAAAAGGTGAATTTTATCATGATTTGCTTCATAATATTAGCTTTTTATAATGATAGCTTCACAAAATCCTCTGCAAAGATCAAGCCAGCCATTTTATGGCAGATCCAGTATGGCGATGATGAGCATTGCTTCTATCAAATGTGATCATGGGAAGATAAGTAAACTCTAGCCAAAGTCCTGGAAGAAATTTTAGTAAATCCACAACTATTACTTCACAACAGCATGTCAGTTGTATTAGCATCTTAGCCTTCATAATATGATTGATATCAACTATAAGATATACTAACTGAACAAATTGATGAAGCATGTGAAGGGATGCAGATCAAGGTGTGGCAATTTATGTCTAAGGCTTCGTTTGGGACAGCTTACATACTGCTTCTTAAAGCAGCTTTCAAATACAAAAATATTAATTTTTATACTAAAAAACTGTTTTAAGAAGTAGCAAGAAAGCCGCCCTAAATGAAGCCTAAAATATAGAAGACCTAGAAAGCCGACCTCAAATAGTTGGGATAAGGCTAACGATGAAGATGATAATATAGAAGGTCTAGGGCTTAAATGCTTCATCTCTCATTTGTTTCTCAGATAGTTTCTTTCAAAAACAATTGGTCTCATTCAATGGTAGTAACTCTAATCCACCACAAGATTACAAATATTGACTCAGCTCATGGATACATAGCAGACTTACAACCAAAACCTTGCACTCAAGCATATATAGATTTGTAAATCCACATATTAAATCTAAGAACCGATCAAAATAATGGAAAAAAAAAACTTACATTGACAGGATTCATTGATGGCCCAGTATACCCAGAACCAGCAACAATCAAGGCCACAGTAGCAACAGAAAGCATTAATGTTTTAACTAATGAATTTACCGGCCCCTTGATCATTATCCACAAAACGGCAAATGTTATGAGGAAGGTCAACACCCCTTCTGCAATTGCACCCGTTGTCAGATCCACCTTCACCGACGGACCGATGAGCGTGTGCTTGTACTGCGATGGCATCAGCTCAACGATAGCCAGTGCGCCTCCGACAGCTCCAGCGGCCTATCCAATAAAAAAAATCAGATTTTTTACTACAAAAAAGAAAAAAGAAAAAGAAAAGAAGGTCGAAAAGAGAAGAACCTGTGCAGGGAAGCGGAGGGCCATGGAGAAGAGGGAGTCACCGCTGATGCCTGCGGCATAGAAGGCAGCGTTTCCGGTAGGGTTAAAGCTGGCCCCACCCAAGATCTCAGAGACAATGTTAAAGACGAAAACGGAGATGGCTATGAAGACCGTGGTGATAACGAGGCTGGCGACAACGCCCTGGAGTTGTAAAGCCGAGGAGATGATGGAGGTGAAGGCACCGATGGTGGAAATGCACATCATCCATACGAAGGTGATGAATGCATCGCCAATGGCGGCCTTTATCGCGCTCATTTTGTATAAAAAACCTAAATTGCGTCTCACTGCACCCTAAGTCTGAATCCACAGAATGGATGGAATGACTATGAGAAACTCTTGAATCCACCTCGAAGCCGGCTTTGATTCAGCGCGGATAAAGACGAGGAAGCGAACAAGAATCGCGCGGAATTGGGATGCGAGAATCTCTATCGCCTCTAGCGTTCTCCGGTCTTATCTTTTGGAATAAAAATGCTTATTTTAGCATTTACGGATTACCCATAAGCACCTAATCACTGGAAAGCTGCTTTACGCGTGGATCGAACTCGGAGATGCAGTTGGCGCTTGCGTGTTGTTTATGAATTGTTTGTAAAATAAAATAAAAAAAGCGGCCTATTTGCACAAATGACACATAAAATTATTTTGTTTTCATAATTAATATTTATATGCTATTATTTTGTCATATACAATTTTTTTTTGGGGAGAACGGGAGTATCGGCCCGCTGCCACGTCGTCTTATGACACGCTTGGCGGTGTCTACTAGTCCCTCGGCGAGTCTACCAGCAACCAGCCTCATAGGTGCAGGATCCACAGTTCTTTTCTCTCCACTTAAGGAGTCATGCCGTATGAGAGGGGATTCGAACTTGGGATGGGGGTTCCAAACCAAACACGCCCACCAACCCAGCTAAGCCCGGTGGGGTTTACAACTCAATTCTTAAACTAACACAAAATAAAAATTTCCCACTCTTATCTTATCATTAACTTCTTGTTAACTTGGTGACATTTTCATTGCAACTTCCTCAAACTCTTTTTCATCGTTGAGGGTTTTGGGTGCAAATGTCGTGCTAGCCTTATTAATTGACTCTTAGTGAGGCCTCATTACTATTTCCTATAATTTTTAACATGATTAGTGTCCAGAGTGCATATGCATTTAATCATGTTAATAGACTTCCCTAGCAGTGGCAGAGCTAGTATTACTTCTTTGTGGGACACAAATTGTCAATTTTAAAAATAACCTCAACATTTTCAGATGAGCATGAGACTGATATTGACGGTTTAAAAAATTATAGCTTACATGAACAAAAAAATTGCAATCCTCGTTTCAACACCTTCATTTTCATAAACTTTCTATGAAAGATATATGGAGCCTCTTTTTTTATTTTTAATATCTTAAAAATCATATCAAGAATAAAAGGTGAGTAATGAAGAGAGAGAGAGAGAGAGAGAGAGAGAGAGAGAGAGAGAGAGAGAGAGACTCATGGAGCTGGGCATTTCATTGGTAGTTAGAGCATTGTCATGTTGTGAGGGGAGCATCGTCAGTGCATTTTCAAGCCACCATAGAGAACGAGTGTGTGGTTAGTGATAATTGTATTTACACTAAGTTAGGTTATTCGACTTTTATGAGATTCTAAAATAGCTGATAGCTGCATTTTACACTTTTATGATCTAGTGGGCCAATGGGGGCATGTGCCCCCACAACAACTCCGCCATGTCCCCTTATGAGATTTCATTGCAACATCATCTCTTCAGAAGCTCATATCACATTGATGCCTTCACCGTGAGATTATATTAGACCTTCCTCTTCATGTGTGTGAGAGACATTACTAAATAGTATTGTTGTGTCATGGAATATTCGCAGTAATAGAGAAATATAAAGCTTAATGTCTTACCTTTGTATGAAGATCCAACACACGATCACATAAAAGAGAGGGTGTAACGTTCATATGAGACACCATAGTTGTTATGTGAAAACCCTTGAAAAGGGGAAAAATCATAGGACCTAAACCAGTTTGAATGAATCACTAGTGTTTGGAGTCAATTACAAATGAGGTCCTTCCTTGAGGGAGGGCCTTGGTTTGATGTAAAAAATATACATCATATAAAGTGCATTACATGATGGGAATTGAAAGAATAAGCATTGACATGTTCATTTAGTTTACAAGACTATAGTCGACGAGCAACATAGGTAAAAAAAACTTTAGTCAGATGACGGTAGTATGGAGGACCTTAATCAGCGGGTGATGGAGCTTGGAATGATTGTTATCTGGTGAAGGAGATCGAAAGTACTGTTGTCGACATGTGATGGAAGTCAGAAAGACCATATTTTAGTGATAGAGTTCAGAAAGATCATTGTCTAGCAATGGAGGTCGGAAGGATCGTAGTCGGCAGATGACTGAGGTCTGAAAGGTTATTGTTTGGCGATGGATGTTTGAAGAACCATAGTCTTGCGATGGAGGTCAGAAAAATTGTAGTCGGCGAGCGACATTGGTCAGAAAGAAAGTTGTCTAGCGACGGAGGTCAAAGGGACCATAATCGGTGGACAACAGATGTTAAAAAGATCATTTTCTGCTGACAGAGATCAGAAAAGATCGTAGTCAGCATGCAATAATGTTTATAAAGTGTTGAGAGAGTTACTACTTAGTTTTGCATGTTTGATATTCTTGCAACTTGTATGTTTTTTATGATTCCAAATATTATTGTTTTGATTATTATTTCTCTTAACATATTTTTAGAAGAATTATTTTGCTCTTGTGTGTACTAACATATCAGGAAAATTATACTCCAGATTGTTGAAGACTTCAACTTAAGATCAGTTTAGAGTTTATTGTGATTGAAGTCTGTATGTTTTATTTTATTCAGTTTGAGAGAGTGTGATTGTAATTGAGTAACTGAGCACACACACACACACCGGAGGAGAGTTTTAAAATTCATATTTTTAAACTGATCATAAAGTATAATATCACTTCGTATAGGATGATCTGATCAGTTATTTTTCCCAAACGAGCAATAGAACGAACATAAAGGACAAAATTTTTTCTAAGTATGATTTGTACGGGATGATATTTTTTATCGTCCAGGGATGAACATCTCTGTTTTGTCCAGATACGAAGTTCGTACGGGACGATATTTTTGATCGTCCAGGAATGAACGTTTCTATTTTGTCCATATACGAAGATCGTATGGGAGGATATTTAATTTTGTACCGGGACAAAGGTCTCTAGTTCGTCCACATACGAAGATCATACGGATGATATTTAATTTCATACTGGGATGAAGGCCTCTGGTTCGTCCTAATACAAAGATCGTACTGACAATATTTAATTTCGTACCGGGACGAACGACTATAGTCTATTTTTGTTTATTTCGTCCTGACGTTTCGTACAGACGAACTTTAAAATTTTTTCTGTTCGTGCCAGAAGAACTTTATGTAATATCAAAAATCTGCTCCAGGATCGTCCAGGACGATCTGGATCGTCTTGGGACGATCAGTTGTAATTTTGCTCCAGATTTTGCCCAGTTTTGCTCCAGGTGATTTTCTGTACACATCGTCCAGGCCAATTTGGACATCGTCCAGGCCGATCGGCACTGTAGAAAATATCGGCCTGAGAATAGCGATTCACAACATGTTCGTACAAAACAGTATTTGAAATGTTTGTACGTACGAACATACTATCGTATAGTACGATCGTATACGTTCAAATTTGAAAACTTCAATTTTCTGGACAATTTTTTCATATTTTTTATATAAAAATGTCAATTTTAAACTAATGTGGATCATCTTCTAAGTATTGTTTTCATGAGTCTTCAAGGGCAATTGAAAGAGAGAGTGTGAGAGAGTGTTTGAGAGAGATAACTTCGAGGGTGTGAAAGGACGAAGGTTCTCTGCTCACACTTTGGAGAGTGTGAATAACCGAAGGTTTTCTGCCTACACTTTAAGAGTGTGAACAACCGAAGGTTCTCTGCCTATACTTGGAGGGTGTGAAAGGATGAATGTTCTCTTCCTACACTTGGAGGGTGTGAAAGGACGAAGGTTCTCTGCCTACACTTGGAGAGTGTGAATAGCCGAAGGTTCTTTGCCTACACTTGGAGGGCGTGAACAGCCGAAGGTTCTCTACATACACTTGGAGAGTGTGAACAGCTGACGATACTCTGCCGACACTAGGAGAGTGTGAAAGGATGACGGTTCTCTGCCGCATTGGGGATTGGTGGAAGAGAGTTTTGTAAAAGCTTCTCCACCTTGCTGTGGGGAAAAAATGAGAGACACTTGTGGTAATAGTGTAATACCTGAAGATGGAGTTTTTAGGGAGTGGATGTAGGTTGTATTTGATCGAACCACTATAAATCATTGTGTCATTTTATTTTTTTCGTTGCATATTTACTTACTGCAAGTTCTTTAATTTTCATGCTTGAAAATTTTATTTTCAAAAACATTAAATTAACTTGCTGCAAATCGTAAGCTGGTTTTAGATTTTTTAAATCCAAGAAGGAATTTTTAAATTTACCAATTCACTCCTCATCTTGGTTAGCCTTGGGACATTAGATTAAGTTTAACAACCTAATCTAAATTCAATAAGAATCAACAGAAAGATCATTGTTTGACGACAGATGTCGAAAGAATTGTAATAGGAAGACGATAATGATCAGGAAGACCGTAGTCTGGCGACAGATGTCAGAAGGATCATTGTTTAGTGACGGAGGTCGGAAGGATCATTATCTGGCAACAGAGGTCAAAAAGACCATAATTAGTGGTTCGGTGAAAGTTCGACGTTAGTCTGTGTCCAGGAAGAAGTGTAACACCAATTGGTGGCATGATAGAAGTTGGGTTTTTAATATTCCAAACTCTTAACTATTAATAGATTGTTCTGTTTGGCCTAAGAGCATAATGATTTTATTCTATTAATGTAATTTTTCAACACGTAACACATCCCAGAATTACTCCAGGATGAGCATGCTTAACTATTGAATTTCTTAATTAAATTCCAACCATTACATCAAAAGTAGCATTTATGTTTAAGAGTTTAGCTTCTTTTACTTAAGGGGTTTCACACGACATTAGTCGGTGGCTGGGCAGAAGCCCGACGATAATTCGACAACGGTCATCCGATGGTGGTCGAGGTGTTTGGGGTAAGAGAACTTTAGTTTTTTTCTCTTTCTTCTCTTCCTTGCTTGGGGTCCCCATTTCATGAGAAATGATGTGTTTATTTATAGTTTTCTTTGAGTGGCATGCATGACCATTAAATAGGAGGGAGATTAATGGTAAGTTGGAGTGGTTTGAATGGGCGGCCAATGTTGATCCCCTTGAATGTTGACTGTTTACTAGGCATTTGAATGTTTAAATGATATCAAAATTTGATGATTTTAGGCTCATTGGATTCGCCTTATTGAGCTGCTCGAATCAACTATAAGTATGTCATGTTTAAAAATCGCTTGGTCTTCTAATTCATAGTTTGAACCTTCCAAATTAAATGCACTCGGGTCTTCGATTTGGTTAAGTTCCATTTGGGCTCAGATTGAGTCAAATTTGATGTCGTTGGGTTCTTCTTTTTGAAATGTTCAGTTCAAATATAAGTTTGTTGAAATCAGAATTCATATGATTCCGAATTTAATTTCGAAAATTTTTAACTCAATTTTGCCTCGAGATTCATGTCCGATGAAGTTAAATTTTTGATGATATATCAATTATACAAATAGTATTAAATAGATATTAAATATATAAATTGAATGATTTTGAATTTTATGTATGTAAATAACTCAAAAAGAATACACCATATATATATATATATATGCAGGAGCTGCATGTACTTGTTTTCAAACACAAAGAAGTTGGATTACATCAAAGATCGACAGCTTTAAACCCATATCTTTTTGCTTTAGTAATGAATGCTCTTATTTGACATTTGGAGGAGAATGTACCATTGTTTATACTTTTTTGGGCTTTTTGCTGTTGATATATATATATATATGAATTAATCTGTAACATAACAAATCAACAATTCATGCATAACAATCATGCAAATTAAACAATCTAAAAAGAACAAATTTATTCTTGTTGAATTTATTTGTAAGTAGCAGCATTACATTTGGTTAAAAATCACACATAAATCCTTACATAACATAAAAATTAAGAAAACCAACAACAGAACAAATATCACCTTAGTTGAAACTCCTCAATCTTTCCCTCAAATATCTTTGATTCCGGCGACCATGGCCGCCACCTCCGCCATCCTCGGCCGCGCATTCGCATCGCCTTTCATACACTGCAGCGCCACCTGAAGCAACCTCATCATCGCCTCCTCTACCATCTCCCCGTCACTAAGCAACAATCTATCAAAAACCTCCACCGTCCATTCCTCTCGCACCACAGAATGAACCCACTGCGCCAAATTGAACCCATGGCTCGGCTTCCCTGTCAGAAGTTCGAGGAAGATGACGCCCAAGTCGTAAACATCGGTGCTGGTGGAGAAAGGTTCGGTTTTTCCGGCGAGCTCTTCGCGGTGGATAGGGAGAGCGGTGAGGCCGTATTCGCTTATGAGAGGATCCATAGTGGAGGATAAAAGGATGTTGGAGGATTTGAGGTTGCCGTGGCCTGCGGCGGTTGTAGCGCCGGAGTTGATGAGGGACTGTTGCATGAAGGAAAGGCCGGCGGAGATGCCGGCGGCGGCGTTGAGGCGGCTTTTCCATGTAAACGGCCGGCCTTCTCTGTTATCTGTATCATTAATAAAATGTTTTAGTGGATTAAGTCAATAGTAATTAGCCATTAATAATGCTTGTGCATTGCATGTATCGTCATATTTAATTATTTAAATAATAAAGTTTGATTTTTTATTTTTTATTTTAATTTGCAACATGGCATATTAAGTTTGAAGGTGTCATAGAAAAAATTGGCTATTTTTTAATAATTAGACTTATTTTAAATAATTATAATATAAGAGCAAATGGATTAATTTCAAATGATTTAAAATTTTATCTTGATTAAATTTGAATTAAATTTATGATTCTATCAACACAAAAAACACAATTAATTGCATCAATTGTTTTTTGCATTAGCTTAAGCTTTGTTTATTTAAATTTGAGATAAGGATTTTTTTCTTGAAAATGGTGTAATTGTTTGCATATTTGTTTTTATTATTGACAATAATGAACATGTGTTATTTCTTTAACATAAAAAAATTAAAATGTTTTTCTTTTAAATTACTTATTTTTTAAATAATAGATTTATTGATGAAGTACTTTTTAGCAAACCATTGGAGCTTGAGTTTCAAATTGAAAAACAAAATAAAATAAATATATAGAGAAGTTTTGAAATTAAACATCAAACAAGTGATAAAAAAGGTTTTTTTTTCTTGATAATTGAATTAAATTTTAAATTGATTAATTAAAATCATATTAAATCAAAATTGTTATAATCATGTGGTAAACTGATCAAAAGAGTAATAATAATTGTAGTAATCCATAATTTTACTTTTGTAAATTGAAAGAATAGTGAATGATTTAGATTTTATTTGTGACAACTTTATTAATATTTTGTAAATTTACTGTAGATTAAATAACTTTTTAAATTTGTTATAAAAAGCAACTATCGGTACAATTTTTTAAAAAAAATAGTAAAAAATAATGGCCAAGCTAGTAGAAATTATAGTTAAGATTTCAAAAACAAAACATTAAGAAATGTATCTCAAATGAAGCCTTACATTTCTATATTGTTTTATTTGAGATTAGATTAGTGCAAGTGAAGGTTAATAATCCTAATTATATTTTATCATAAAATTGTTACTAATGTAGGATCTAATTAGGAGAAGGAGCTCATATGTTATATGCATGATTTCAAATTCTTCACAATAGATAAGTCTAATTTATATGATTAATGAACTAATAATGTGTTAATAAAAATTAAATATGTTATATTAGGTTATGGTGTAAACTCATTGATCTTTTCAACTAAGGAAAAAGAAAAATAAATTTTTATTTTTAATAGAATTAGACATTTAATATGCGCATAATTAATTTTACATTTATATTTTTTATAGGATAATATCAAAGGAAAATTATAAAAGAATTGATAAATACATTTTCATCAGAAAATATTACAAACAAATGCATCTTAAATTGTTTATAGATTTTAAATAATTATATTCAATTAAGTGAACAAATATTGATGATTTAGATTTTGTTTGGGACAGTTTTTCAAAAAAATTTCTTTAGTAAAAATTAGTGTTTTTTGAAATATAAAATTTTTAATTAAAAAACTGCGGTTGTCTTATGACTTGAAATCCTTACCATGGAGACGTTTGTAAAGGTTTCCATTCTTCTGAAAGTCGTAAACGACAAGCTTCTCCTGCTTGGAGCAATAGAAAGCTGTAACTGGAAGAACATTAGGATGTCTTGCTTGATCCATCATCATAATTTTTTTCTGAAACTCCTCCCCTGACAAAGTCCAGTATTTGATCCTCTTTACGGCCAACTCGTTGCTGCCATTGATCACCACCTTATACAAACTCCCAAACCTCCCCTTTCCGAGCAACTCCGCTGGAGCTCGCAGAAGATCCTCAAATTTGAGATCTTTACATCCATCCTTCTTCAGCAGTACCAGAGACGTCGATACGCCGGCAGAGTTGTGAGATGGAGAAGAGATCGAGTACTCCGACGGGGAGGCAGTCTCAGCCTTCTCGCTGCTCTCTGAAACATTCTTCTGGTTTAATTTTGTCATTTGAAGAGGACCACTCTGCTTCTTCTTTTTCTTGAGAAATTTGTACATCAAGAAGAGAACAACGACCAGAGCAAAGAGAACATAGCCTGAGATCATGATGCCCTTGCTTATTGATATCTTCTTTGAGTTATGATCGGAAGGAAATGGAAGAGGAGGAGGAGGAAGAAGAGGAGAAGGAGGAGGAGGGCATTCCACATCAAGTGGTTTCCCACATAGGCCGGGATTTCCAACATAACTTGAAACCGGAAAATTTTCAGAGTTCGCCGGTAAAGGACCAGAGAATTGATTGAAAGAAACATCGAAATCATTAATGAAGTTCAAGTTGAATTCTGGTATAGTACCAGTGAAGTTATTATTATTGCAAAGGAAAGATATGAGGCCTGAAATCCTCGACATATTCCATGGAATATTACCAGAGAAGTTGTTGTGAGAGATGTCGAGCCTCTTCAAGTTCCTTAACGAAGGCAGAGGAGATGGAAGGCTACCTGAGAGGCGATTGTTACTCAGATAGACGTGTGTCAATCTGGTGCAACTAGAGATCTCCGAGGGAAGGCCGCCATTGATGGCATTTCCCTTAAGGCTCAGCACAGACAGAGAGCTTGAGTTGCAGATGTGGGAAAGAAGATCACCATCAATGGATCCATCGAGTTTGAGGGATTCAAGAGCTATCGAATGGAGGGATTTTCCACCTTTTTTGCATTTGATGCCTTTCCATCTGTCAAGGCAGGGGTCGGAAGCTGTAGTCCAGCCTAAGTCGCCATTGATTTGGGGATTGCTTGAGGAGAGCTTTCCGAGGAAAGAGATGAGGGAGGTCTTCAAGTCATCGGAGGTTTGGGAGCTTGCGGAGTCTATCAGAAGCAGGAAGAGGAGAGAGAGGAGGAGCCGCATCGGGCTCACCTCCATGGGAAGAGCAGGCGGAGAGGAGGAGGAGGAGGAAGATGATGAGGAATTCAAGCTTTGTTATTGGAGAATTAGATGAAAAAGAGAGAGGAGAAATCGAGAATCGAATAGAAAGAAGGAGAAGTCAAAAGGATGGAGAATTTTTTTTTATGAGCTTGACAAATGGCTTAGTTACCGAAGAGAAAAGCCGCGCACCTTTTAACAGAACTGCATAAGAGCCCAAGCAACGCGCCAAAACGAGAGGACTCGAAATTTTAAAACGGCTGGCATGAAACGGTCAGATTTTGACGCTTTTGCTTCTTTTTTTATTAATTAATGTCTTTATCGGCCTTTTGGCTAAGATCAAGTGCTTGTCTATATTTTTATCTAAAGCTCCGTTGGATGGATGGGAGTGTAAAGGACTTGAGTCCAGCCCTATGTGATTTGAGCTTAAATTTAATTAATTAATCGACGTTGAGCTTGAGTTTTAGGCCTCGTTTGGGACGGTTTTCTTGTTGCTACGTAAAGCAATTTTTTAGTACAAAAATTAAAATTTTATATTAGAAAGCTGCTTTAAGAAGCAACAGGAAAGTCATCCCAAATCAAGCCTTAGTTAAAAATTTTGTACTAGAAAGCTGCTTTAAGAAGCAGTAAAGAAGCCGTCCCAAACGAAGCCTTAGTCTACTATTCAACCCGGCTTGTTTGTGATGAGAGAGAAAATGATTATTATTCAAGCAATTATTAGATTAAAATGATAAAAAGAATGAAAAATTAGAAGAAAATTAGATAGTGATATATAATTCTTAAATAATTTTAACAATATTGTACTTAAAATCATGCATTCTAATATATTTTAAGTTCATTTATATTAATATATTTTAAACGAGCATGCACGAGAGCTAACAAGTCGAGTTATGACTAGCTCAAACTTGACTCGTTAGCTTTTTGAGCTAAGCTAACAAGCAATTTATCGAGTCTAACACAAATCGCCGCACTGGTTTGCTTGACTAGCTCACTTACACCCCGAATTGGCTTTTTTTTTTTTTTCAAGTTTTAAAAATTGGGTCGAAAATTGAATCAGATGAAAGGTTCATGGTTCAAATGTTTTATTGGAGTTGAATTGATGATAAAACTGGATAACATATAATAAATTGTAAAATAATTTTAATATGACATAAATAATATAAGAATGATACAATTTCATTTATTTGTTATATATTTTAAATCATTTAAAAATTTTTATATGATTTTAAATTAAAATTTTATGACATATTATTTTAATTATTTATAAGATATTCATCTTTAAATAACAATAATATTAAGTGTAAGAAAATTGAAAAACATAACTGAAAGAAGGGTTGAATTTGTTAGACACTCTAAGCCTTTTATTATAGCCATTTGAACAAATCCAAATGTTAGAAATTTACCTTCTCTTATTATGTATTAGAAATGAATTTATATTCATATTTTGCATATAGAATAACAATAATGTGGCCTCGATGACAGGCCATAATTTACTATTGATACGTCATAAAAAATTGTCTTGATTAGACGCGAATCTTGATGCTTATTTGAATTTGAAACTTTCGAAATCAAATTCAGGACCATCCAAACTCCAATTTCAGCAAATTTATAGTCAAGTTGAATGTCTTGACAAACTGAACCTAATGACACCAAAATCAGTTCAATTATAGTTTAAATGAGCTCAAATCGAAGGCTTAATATATATTCAGAAGCTTTAGAACATTAATTGGATGACAAATAATATCAAAATATTGCATGCTTATAGTCCTGTTGAGTGGCTTGACGAGACGAATCAAACAAGCCCAATATCACTTTATTCTGACATCATTAAGGCAATTAAATGCTGAATGAAACTCTATAATTGAGGGAATCAATATGGTATGCCCAATGGAGTACTCTGAATTTATCTTGGATCTTCTTCATATTTACAGAGCATGCCACTTTCAAAATCTATAAATAGATCCCTTATTCTCTACATGAGGGGACCTTTGGCTAGATATTAAAGAGAGTTATAAGACTTCTAGAGTTTATCGCAGGTAAACTTTGTTGATCAACCATCGTCGGACCTTCGCCTGACCATTGGCCACCACTGAACCTATGATCAGCATTCTATCGCAGAGAGCTATAAGACTTCTAGAGTTCTATCGCAGTTGTCGGACCTTCTCCAAGCCCTTGACATCCGCTCCTGACCTCTGCCCAGCCAGCGACCTTAGACCTCCACCAGACAACCAATCACAACCAAATCACCGCCCAACTACCAATCAACATCAGACTTCTACCTTGTAACTGACCGCCATCAGATATCTGTCAGGACACTAATCGCCGCTAGACCTCTGCGCGGAAACCAACCTTTGCAGGACCTTCTCCCGACCGCTGCTATTAAACTATTATAATTTCATCCTCTCCAAGTAAGGGACATGTCAGCCTTTGTAACTCACTAAAGTATAGTGGAATCTTCTCACTTTGACAAAGCCCCATGTTATTTGTTTGTGTGTTGGATATTCATGCACCACTAAGATGAAAAACTCTCTCACCCTACCACCATGAATTTATCAGTCCACAACAAATATTATTGTATTTTGGAAGGTTTTCATTACTTAATTCGATTTTTTTCCCCAAAATTTTCACCGATAAAACTAGCTGTCTATTGTACTCTACAATTTGAACAAGCTCATTCAACTCTACATTAAAATGATCCATGTCCCAACAATTCTTTGCAAGACTTGATCCTATCAAATTTATAGTAATCCAAAACACTTTTTATGTGAAAGAAGCATTATGGAGTATAGTAAAATCTAATGACTTATGGCTCATATACATGTAAATGATAAATTAAATATTAGCACCAATTAATCTTAATTTTTATTTTGTTATAAATGATGTAAACTTTTATTTCGTCGTGGAATCTAACTAATGTCCTACGAATAAGGTTTTGTTTGGGACAAATTTTTTACTGTTTCTTAAAGTTTTTTTTTTTAATTAGGGTTTATATACATGTAAATGATAAATTAAATATTAGCACCAATCTTAATTTTTATTTTGTTATAAATGATGTAAATTTTTATTTCGTCGTGGAATCTAACTAATGGTCTACGAATAAGATTTTGTTTGTGAGAACTTTCTTACTGTTTCCTAAAACATTTTTTTAGTACAAAACTTTTTGAATTAAAAATTTCTATAATTAAAAACTATTTCAAAAGTAATAAAAAAGCTGTCATAAATCAAACCTAAATATTATATACACTATTACAGTTTTGCAGTATTTATGAGTCGGTATTTTCATTTATTTTTCTTCTAACTTTTATTATAAAATTATTGTTATTATTAGAATCTACTTTCCAAGATTACAAAATAATTGAAGGGTTTGCAAAAATATTAAGAAGTTATTAATTGGAAGAACCTGTGTAAAAAAAAATATTTTATTTTCTTAATTTATTGGATCTTCATGATTAGAATGTGATGATAAATCTATTCCTTGTAAATTTATATTAACCTATTTTTCAAGTGTATTCCAATACAAGCTTCCCTTTCTTTCAATTATTGAGCTTACTTATTAAAATAATAATAAAAATAATAGTAATAATAATAATTATTAAAAGCCCATTACTTTGTGTTTTCAAGAACTTGTTAGGAAGAGTTTGTAAGAAGAAACAATTGACATGGCCGCTCCAGAAGTGATTATCACCACGCAATTTTTTTATTTTTTAATAGTAAAGAAAGACAGCCAAAAATCAGAGCAGCAGTGAAAAAAAAAAAAAAAGAGGCAGCCAAAATCAAAGGAAAAGAAGAGGTTATGTAATGGTGAAAATGCTAACGATGGATGAAAATTCTCAAAATTTCAAAATATATAAAAAAAAGTTTAAATCAGGTCAAGAGAATTTATTTTTGCCTGTTAAGATATTCCAGCTGGAAATAGATAGCTCAATTTTAGTTTCAATAAGATTTTGTATGGGATAGATTTTTTATTGTTTTATTTTTTAGATTGTAATCATAATTTTATTTGGTCACGGTTTTTTCATTATTTAAAATAATTTTTTATGCTAGAAAGCTGCTTTCTCCAACAGCGTTGAAAAAAGCTGATTTTTTTTATAATAGATGTACAACCACATTCATAAAAACTGCAGCCGTCCCGAACAAGGGTGTAAATGTGCCAACTCGTGAGCCGGCTCGAACTCGACTCGCTAATGAGCTCGTGAGTCAAGCTTATCAAGTTTTGAGTTCGAGTTTGAGCTCAATCCGACCCGACTCGTTAGCTTATCTAGCTAATTGATTTTAAAATATATTTTTAAAAATTTTAATTTATCATTTTTAAGGAAATTTTTACGATAACAAAAATTCGGGCTTGAGCTTTCAATTGAGTCGAGCTCGAGCTTAATTTTTATACAATGAGTCGAGTTCGAGCTTGAGTTTGAGCTTAGTATGAGCTAAACAAGCTTAGCTCGATAATGCCACTACTCAACTGAACTTGACTCGTTTACACCCCTAGTCCCAAACAGGCGCCATGTCTTATAGGAACGGAGTCGAGTTTATGATTCATAAAATTAATGAAATTAACTCTGAGCTTATTTAATGAGATGATTTTTTTTTATAACAAAAAAAAAAAAGAATTTTGATATCCATTTTTTATTATTTTTGTGGACAGATTTTAGTTAAAAAATTAACATTTTGTACTAGAAAGGTGCTTTAAGAAGCAATAACAAATTTCATCCCCAATGAAGCTTTAAGATCTCAACACTAATTAAACATTGATGACTTTTGATAAAGAGAATATGAGCTTGATATATCATCATAAAATTATCTTGATCAGACAAGAATCCCAAGGCAAAATCAAGTTGGAAATTTAAAAAATTAAATCCAGGACCATCTACATTTGAACTGAACGTCTTGAAAATACAAACTCAACAACACCAAATTCGACCCAATCCGAGCTGCTTGATGAGACGAATCCAACTAGCCCAAGATTGTTGAATTTTGATATCATTAAGACATTCAAATGCCCAGTAAGTCCACAATCAAGGGGTTAATTCAACATCGGCCGTCCATTCAAACTACTCCCATTTATCGATGATCCTCCTATTTACTGGTCATGTCACTCTAAGAAAATTATAAATAAACCTCTTATTTCTAATGATGGGGAACTAAGCAAGAAGAGAAGGAAGAGAGCTCTCTTACCACTAGACTCTTCCTCGACCACCGCCGGACTTCTATCTGACTGCCAACTGATGCCGGACTTCCGTCAGACCATCAATTGAAGCCGGATTTCCGCCCGACCAATAAACGATGCCGGATTTATGATCTCCACTCGTAACTAGATTTTAACCTAACAGTTGATTATTGTAATCTGATCGTCCTTAATTTCAAGGACGAGTCAACCACTTGTAATTTAATTAAACACTAGTGGAATCATTTAAACTCGACGTAACCCCGTGGTTTTTTTTTCCTTTTTTAGGATTTTCCACGTAAAAATTATGGTATTTCATTTTTCTTCTGTTTATGTGCTGGATATCCATACAACGCTGAGACGAAAATTCCTAACTCTATCGCCGGGTATATTCTAGCTTGAAACAGAGCTTAATGCTTCATACATCATTTTAAAAAGATTCAGATTTCTCTTATCAATTATGCCGCCTATAATTTACTATCTAACAACTTGTTGGTCTTAAACACTACTCTTAGGAGAGGAGTTATTCCAAATAAAATAATAAAACTTTATCACTTGTGTTCATCCATGACATCACCAATGGTTGTGGCCAACTCAATGACAACCACCATTCAAAAAGAAATTTGATCAAATGAGTGCATTCTATCTTCATTGTCTATTATAGACAATAAAAAGAGCTATTTTAGATAATGACTCAAACTAATCTTCTTAATTTTAGTATGTGTTGTTCTCTGATTAAAATAGCTCTGAATAAATCCTTGATTCCATTGCCATATTACCATCTAACAAACTGTTATTTCCATGAGTATTTTGGATGGTAGTCATGCTTTTGGTTGATTGTCATTGTCTCATAATAACAAAGAATAGATGTATCACTAATTGTTGCCTACTTTTTACATCACAAGTATTAAATGTGTAGTTACAATGAATGCATCGCATATATCATAAAATATCTCTATGTTCTTAGCCATTTTAAGGACCATAGCATAAGTAAACTATCATTCATACTGTTCAGAAGGTAGAAGAGCCACTTTGTGGAACCAATAAGGCCACAAGTTTAACATATTTTATAGAGGCCTAAGGGCATCTCCAATAAAAAATCTCATTTTTCACTCCAAAATATAATGAAACTAAAAAATGCCGTGATTGATCTCCAATCAAACTACATTTTGCACAGTACCTGTCTTTCTCCTCTTTTGCGCGTTTCTTTCGCAAATCCGGTAGAGACAGAAAAATAGCGTAGGTGAACAGTGTGACGCCAATATTGGCCACAACCAAATAGCGGAAGTTTTGCTGTTCGGCTAAAGCTCGCGATTGACGTCATTTATGCGTTTGGAGTTCGGTTGGAGAAGGCCTAAGAAATGTGACCACACCTCAAGGCCAGAAAATATAGACTGCAGTGTATCTGGATCACGCTAAATAATAATGAACAGCTCAAGGACACAAGTTTAATAATATGAATCATCCTTTATAATAATCGCAATTCATTCACTTAGTTGGCAAATCATTTATGTACAACAGTGCTAGCAAGTTCAGGAGATACCAGACCTTTCAAAGACTGGAGATATTTACAGCAAAATTTAGGAAGATGATAGTTGTATGTACAATGATATTTACATAAGAATTGCCCATATATATAGGCTATATATACAGGTTTTATAGAATCATAAAAAGAAGTAAAAAGAGGAACCGGAGCTTCGCAGGAGGTCCTGATTATAGTTCCTTAATTACTCAGCATTTTGTGTCTTGCAGCGAAGTATTTGATTATCAACACCAGGATGGATGATCCTTGGTCAATCCAATGCACTCCAATCTTCATTTCCAAACATGGCTTGCCTATTCTTTTTTTCTTTTTTCTATTTGGTAAGTAAGTCTTTATATGATATCATGGAAGTTCGATAAGATGAAAGGGGAAGCATCTCAGTAGAACAAGCCCAGGATGAGTTGAGGACAATCAAATGCCTAATCTGAAGAAAGCCACCTTTGAATGTACTCAATCCCCTCTGACATAAGAAAAATGCAAAAAACAGATTACCAAACAATGCCATTCCATGATAACAAACCAAAGAAAAAATAACAAGTAGATGAAGCATATTAGCAGCACAGACTGCTTCCTAAAGAGAAACCTGTAAGTACCCTATATTCAATAATAATCACTACAACTCTTAAAAAAAATCAACAATATTCCAATATTTTTGTAGCACGCCTCATAAATTTTGAAAAAAATGTTATTCAAGGATATGAACGAAAGCAGATAAAGTCATAAATCATAAGCAACTAAAACTCAAGCTTTTAGGAATTGAATATGATCACTAAGAACATCTCCAATCGAAAAACTCATTTTCCATTCCAAAATACAGTAACACTTTAAAGTGCAGTAATTCATCTTTAATTGAACTTTATTTCTTAAAAAAAAAAAAAACATTCAATATATATTATTTCTCAACTGAACTACACGAGCTAGCCTTTCTCCACCTCCGCTTTCTCTATTTCCAAAAGAAAATATGCGTTTGTGATATTGGCGTTGCACTATTCACGATACGAGAATGGATCGAGTTTTGTCATTCGATTGGTGCAGTTTGCGGACAGCCGGACACCAAACACGGGTATGAAGTTCGGTTGGAAATGGTCTAATAACAAAAATTGGGTTGTCTCTTTGGATGGCAGTGTTTTCCTTTTCTTTTCTTGGTCTTTTATTAATTGATTAGAATTTGAAATAGTCATGATTTTTGCTAGGTTGTCTTCAGATTTTGCAATATGGACCTCGCATCTTGGCGGTTACTGTGGCATGCTTAATGACTTGGAGTATTATGTTTGGATTAGCTTTCAATTAAGGACTTTTTGTCACCACTTGATTATGCCATTGGACCATGGACTGACTGATTAATTCAAATATTATGATATCATAAAATTAATGAATCATTTCTCTCACTATCTAAATTATCCATCATAATGCTACATTGCATATTTGATACCGGGCCAAATTACCATCAAAATCCTACTATTAAATGGTGTACATTAAGATGAAAGTACCATATATTCAATAATAATTACTACAACTCTTAAAAGAAATCAACAATATTCCAATAGCACATCTCATAACTTTTGAAGAAATATTATTCAAGGATTTGAACGAAAGTAGATAATGCCATAAGTCATAAGCAACTAAAACTAAAGCTTTTGGGAATTGAATATAATCGCTAAGATCATGTCCAACCGAAAAACTCATTTTCTACTCCAAAACGCAATAACACTTCAAAATGAAGTAATTCATCTCTAATTGAACTCTATTTCTTAAAAAAAAAAGAAGAATATTCCATATATATTCTTTCTCAACCGAACTCCACGCGCTAGCCTTTCTCCGCTTCCTTTTTTTCTATTTCCGCAAAAAAATGCGTTTGTGATATTGGCATCTCACTATTCACGACGCGAGAATGGAGCACGTTTTGCCGTTTTCGATTGAAGAGATTCGTGGACACCAAACAAGGGTATGAAATTCGATTGGAGATGGCCTAATAGCAAAAATTGGGTTGTCTCTTTGGATGGCAGTGTTTATCCTTTTCTTTTCTTGGTCTTTTGTTAATTGATTGGAATTTGAAATAATCAAGATTTTTGCAAGGTTGTCATCAGATTTTGCAATATGAACCCCCAATGAAACTCTTTTCTGACATGAAAGCCTGCATCTTGGCAGTTACTGTGGCATGCTTAATGACTTGGAGTATTATGTTTGAATTAGCTTTCAATTAAGGACTTTTTGTCACCACTTGATTATGTCATTGGACCATGGACTGACTGATTAATTCAAATATTATGATATCATAAAATTAATGAATCATTTCTCTCACTATCTAAATTATCCATCATAATGCTACATTGACATATTTGATACCGTGCCAAATTACCTTCAAAATCCTACTATTAAATGGTGTACATTAAGATGAACGCTCTTGATTTCACAATTGAATATTGCACCTAACAGGGCTCTCTCAAAATCAATTCAAGGCACAAAGAGTCACACAGTATATCAGGACAAAGCTATTCAATGTCAACATTCAATGAAGGGTCTCTGATAATATACAGCAATTACAGCTACAGATATCTTCTTCGTTGTTCAGTATTAAAGTAAAACTGCACCAGGAGGATTAGTTCCAAAAACTACTTACCAGATGAAAACCCATTGAATTCAGCAACAGCTCCCAAGACATGGCTGTTCGGAATTTCAGTGTTGAAGCAGCGGCCGCGTCCATAGCATGGAACAAGAACAGCAAAACTGCTCTCATCCTCGTCTGCTTCGCTCAGGAAATCGGATGAATGAGGTTCCATCCATCCGATAGACCAATCTGAATCATCGGACTCGGATCCTGACAAGCATCCTCCATCACAGGGAACAATGACAGCATCATACTCTCTATCAATCCCCACCCTCCTCTCCTCCCTGCTCTCCCACCTCCTGCTAAATCTTCTTGAGGATGAACTCATCCTACCGCCATTCACCGTTTGAAATTTGATGGAATCGGGCTCGAGGAACCCGCCTGAAGGGGAATCAGAGGCTGAATTCAAAGCTGAATTAGTACTTTCGTGTTCCTTTGTACCCCATAACCAATACGAAAGACGGTTAAAAGCAACAGACATATCAATATAAGGTGTTTCCGATGACAGAATCAATTTTTTTTCACAACAGGGGACCTCGGATTGAAACTATCAGGCAAGGAAGACAATAATAAAAATTACTAGAATAATCAAAGCTTTCTCCTTGAATCCTAATGAGATACTAACAAAATCTCCTTTTTATCAAATGAACCAGATTTACACCGAATGAAGATTAGAAAGAAGAACAAGTAATCTCAAAAAGAAGCCATTTTCCCCTTCGGTTGTCTTTTCCTGGAAGTAGACGCTTTATGAATTGTTCTAAATAAGAAACCCCCAAAAACCAATTCCCAAAGTAACGCCAAATAGAGCACAGCGCACAAATCCAAACAATAAAAAAATTTAAAACTAAAAGCCTTAGAACGCTAATTTCGAAACCCTGCTCTCGCCCTTTCCCCAAAATTTTCAACCAAACAAACAAATCGCATCAAATTTCACCAAGTTCAATCGACGGCAATTTAGGTGAATAGGTCATGCAGACTCAGAGAAGAGAAGAGAGAGAGAGAGAGAGAGAGAGAGAGAGAGAGAGAGGAAGTGGGAGGGAGAGAGAGAGAAATGGAAGTCTTCTCGTCGTTTTCCAGCCATCGTTCAATTTATAGCCAGTTGATAGTCGATAAGTCCGGGAATTTTAACGGATGAGATTAAATGAAAAATGGTCCGAGGCTGTCATAGCCGTCCAGCCTTAGGTCGTCAGCTACCCAATCGCTTGATTCCCTTTGAAGCCTATAATAAGTTTTATTCTTCTGCAACCAAATTGTTATTTTCACCCCGCTGGACCGGTTGCCACGTGTCTCACCGGTATTTTTAATGGCACGTGTGACGTGTAGTTGTTTACTTTGTCGTGAGCGAGTGATACGGACACCCGTCCATGGGCGCCGCTGTCCTTCCTTTGCGGGCAAATTACTAGGTCCGGTCACCGGAACCGGAAGTAGAGATACGTCAGTATATTAATTAAATATTGATATGTGGAATGTATACGTGTCCTGGGAATTTCAAGTCAAGCGTGTCAAAAGCGCAAGTAAATGTAAAGCGTAGTCAAAAGCGCACCTAAAGTGCAGTAAAAAAGCACAGTTAAAGCGCAGTCCACATGACAAGTTTTCATTAGATGTCCGGACCTATTTTTAGGTCCAGAGACCACCGGACCTAATAATTTACCTCGTTTGGGAGCATCTTGAAACAGGATTTACTATTTTCTTTAGCTTTTTATTTTATTTACCATAGAATATAAATACTATTTTATACTAAAAATACATTTTAATTATATATATCCAATTATTATTTATTAACACAATTTGTAATTTATTCTATAATATGAATTTAATAAATACCGATAAAATAGACAATTCATAATAAAGTTGAAAATATTTTTATATATTTGTACCATTTTTAATTGAAACTATTATTCTTTATGAAGAATATAAATTTTAAAGGGGGTGCGTTAGGGGAAAAGTTTTGATGATCGTGTCAGTCCATCTCCGAACTCTTAAATATTCAGGGTTGCATTGTAATCAACCAAATATTGATATTTTTGTTAATGCTGAAGCATCACATAATCGTAGCAAGCATACATCCGCTATTCTAATCCAATTAGTTGTTGTCCGAAGTGATCTACAGAAACCCCAATATGATATACTTGGTCATTGAGGTTCGCCACCTGATCTCTTAGCATTCTAGAATCTATGCCCCGTTGCTGCATGGGTTGGTTAGAATGGTTGGATCCCTCATCACGCTCTAACATTGTGATTTTAGAGGACAAGATCTTCGATCAAATTAGGGTAGAAGTAGGCATGATTTGCTCCTCCCATGTGTTCTCTACTATCCCGACTAACTCACAAAGGTCATAAATTAAAGTAGGATGTCCTAATCCCGCAGTCATTGAGGTTTGTCACCTGATCTCTTAGCATCCTAGAATCTATGCCCCGTAGCGCTGCATGGGTTGGTTAGAATGGTTGGATCCCTCATCACGCTCTAACACAGTGATTTTAGAGGACAAGATCTTCGATCAAATTAGGGTAGAAGTAGGCATGATTTGCTCCTCCCATGTGTTCTCTACTATCCCGACTAACTCACAAAGGTCATAAATTAAAGTAGGATGTCCTAATCCCGCAAAAGTAGACCCCATAAGAAAAATAAATTTTCCGAAGTCCACATTCATATCCTTTTTAATACAATAATTCAAAGTCACCCTATCATTGGTTAATGTTAGGCATAAGCTTAACAGAAATAAAGTAATGATAGGCTTTGGACAGTACTAGACAAATATATTATGCCATTGAGTTTTGAATTATATTTCTATAATCAAATCAGCATGGTTAACAACATGCCATCTTGAAAGACCGACTTATGCTTTACTATTGATTTAACACATTGATGGTTGCATTGTAATCAACCTTCCAAACGCACACACACAGACATATATATATGATAAGTCAAGATATTGAGCATAAAAACTCTTTTGAACAGCATTTTAATTTAATTATTTTAGTCATTTTATTTCTCGTGAGATTTATCACATTTTTCTTATATGCATTTTTATTTTATATTTATAGAGTCTTAACATTTTATACAAGCTTGTTAAAATTTTGATTTAGGTTCATTTGGGATATTTGTTTTTTGTCTGTCTAAATAATTTAGTCTTTATATTGAGTAAGTATCCAATAAATTTGTCATTTATCATTTTTATCGATCATTTTTTCTCCTAAAGGTTCAGCTATTATGATTAATTCTAATTTGTAAGATTTTGACATTTTCATTAAATAAATATATAATACATTCAATTATTTCTCTTTGTACTTAATTTCTTTGATCTCAATGTTTTAACTATTACTCTTATACTAAGTTGCAAATATTATTCAACGTTATTGAATAAATCTCTTATGAACACAATCATTTTTCTTTGTATTCTCATCCCATGGTCCATGCAATAGTCTCCTTCTCTTCGATGGGGACACTATTAATGAAGGGAAAGTGCTTCTTCTAAGCCACCTATATCAATTATTTATATCATGTGTCCTCTAATAAGGGGCTAAGAAGCCCACAACAACTTTGTTAGCATAATAGAAAGAAGATTCTTATTTCTATTTATCATATGAGTCAAATAATCGTGGAGATAGGAAATGGTATACTCGACACCTCATGATCAAGATGATTAGAAATAGATTGAATATTTGACATTATATAGTTTCAGATACTTTGGAAGATTGCTTTAGAGAGTGACTTTTATATGAGACAAATGGATGTAAATTATCATAGTGAAAGGTCAAGTTATGATGTGAACTTATGATGTAGAGGTTTCCCATATAGTGTCATAACTGATGGTGGCAGGTGACCTTTCAATGAGACTAATGGATAAAAAAGGCTATGTATCTTCAATTTGATATTTAAAAAAATGATTTGGAGTTTTGGAGGAATGACTAGAGGTTTAGATGAGTATATTAGTAGAAATATCAAGGCTAATCAAGTTTGGGCTAATTTGAAAGATCATTTTAGAGAGGGACTTTTATGTGAGATAAATGGATGTACATGGTGGTGAAGATTAGGTTAGAATGTGAACTTATAATATGAAGTTAATTGTAGAGTTTGGTGGAATTTAAAATGATATTAAAGTGCAAGGAATAAGACGAAGTCTAAGTGCCCTTTTTTTGGGTTGATGATTACATGGAAATGTTAGAAGAGTTTTATGAGTTTGGTAATTGGTTTATTGATCTTAAAAGATACTTATGAACTAGGGGGAGAGGTATGAATAATTTAGAATAGGCATTTAAAAAGATTTTCAAGTAAAATAAAATAAATAAAGATAAATATATAATCTCACTAAAGAAAAGGCACATACTTGAAACCACCAAACATCACACAAATGAAAGAACATCTTGACACAAAATTATTTCATTCTCAAAATTGAAAATTGCAATACATATCCGCCTATTTTTATAGGTATTACATGACCAATTTTTAGGAAAAATAATAGAGAAAAAAAGTAGGATTGGTGGATATTAAAGAGGAATTCTACCTACCCATTTTTTTAATGTCACATCCCTATCTAATCATTTATTGGCTCACCATACAAGCTTCTAGATGAAATATAGAATATAAATTATATTTAAATATTTAAAATTATGGGCTTATTATTGGGCTCTTGTAATTGGGCTTTTTATTTGATCATTTTCTTGGGCTTTGATCTTAGCTCTTGTAATTAGACTTTTATCTTGACTATCTTCATCTATATAATGTGCTACATCAATAAACTCTCTACAAGAGAAGTCTTCAAGTGAATTATCTCAATAATTAGTGATATATCATCAAAAAATATCTTGATCAGGCACAAATCTCGGGGTAAAATCAAGTTGGTAACTTTCAAAATTAAAATTGGGATCATCCAAATTTCAATTTTAGCAAACTTTCAATCAAAATGAACGTATAAAAAATACAAACCTAACGACACCAAATTTGACCCAATCCGAGCCTAAATGGGTCCAAATCAACAACCCGAAGCACTCTTGGAAGGTTCAAACCACAAATTGGATTACCAAACGGTTTCCAAATATGACATGCTTATAATCAAATCAAGCAGCTTGATGAGACGAATCTAACGAACCCAAGATTACTGAATTCTGATATCACTAAGACATTCAAATATCTAGTAGACGGTCCACAGTCATGGGAATCAACATCAGTCGTTCATTCAATCAACTCCTAATTTACCCTTGACCTTCCTCCTATTTCCAGACCACTACCATACCATCAATTTATGCCCGAAATTTTGTTGGACCACTGTTTGACAGCGAAATTTTGCCGGACCACCAACTGATGCTCGAACGTCCGTGAGACCACCGCCTGATGCCAAACTTACGCCAGACGACCAAGTGACGCCCGAACTTCAGCGAGACCACCTCATGATGCCAGCTTTTTGTCGGACCACCGACTGACTTTTGGACTTCCGACGAACCACCGACTGATGTCTAGACTTTTGCCGGACCACTGGGACCACTGCCTGACGCTGGACATCCGCCGGACCACTAACTGACGTTGGACTTCCGCCCGACCAAACGTAACCGGATGTACCTTTGGCCGACCTCCGTTTGTTACTAGATTTCAACTAGAAGGTTGATTATTCTAATCTGATCGCCCTCAATGATGATTTAGTTAAGTCTAATATACTCAAACACTACTGGAATCATTTCAACTTAGCGTGACCCCGCGGTTTTTCGCTTTTTCAATGTTCTCTATTTGTGTGATGGATATTTGTACAACACTAAGAAGTAAACTTCTGACTCTACCGCTGCATATATTCTAGCCCGCAACAATTAGTTTTTAAAATGTAAAAATGCGGGGCTTTACAATGAGTGTAAAGTAGAATGAGAGTATTTATGTATTATACTATAAGATATAGCTAATTATAAAACGATATGCAAGAAATGTTTAATCAATAGGTTTTGACAATGAATGAGACGATTGAATCGCACATGAATGCTAAAATGCAGTAAAGTATTGATGCAATGATGCATCAATAGATGATTTGACTAGTAACAGTACAAGATTTTGGATTTT